TCTCATCTGATAACTTCTATGAATAATTACTTTATATATATATATCTCTGAATCTTTCTCTTCAATCAATTGAAAACTCTGAATTTCAAACACTTCTTCAAATACTTAATTCAAATCTTCATATTTTATATCAATTCTGTCTTCAGTTCAATCTTAAGATACACTACAAAGTTAATATATAATATCTAGAATCAGAGTTGAAGAATCATTGAAGAGTATCTCTTATAGTAAATGTATAAACTAGTATAAATAATCTTACATTTATGAGAGTTATATGTTATTATATTGATAAGAACTGAACTTATTAAGAGATATTAATTGAATTTAAATCATTAATTAGTAGTTATACTGAGAATTATATAATAGAGATATTAATAACTGTGATTAAAAATAACTATTAAGATATTAGTCTCAGTCTTCTTATAATTACAACTGATAATGCTGTGAATAACTATACTATGATAAACAGCTTGAAGCAAAAATTGACTTTGTATTTCTGAAATAATAAACAAGATCATATCTTTTATATTATTTATGTGATTTAACTTATAATATAAACACTGATAAAGAATCTTAACATTGAGATGAAGAATAATAAGATGACTGATTCTTGAGATGAGAATGAGATGAAAGTGATTACTCAAGTAACTTTTATATTTACTTTATAAAAGATAATATTTTTTAATAATACTTTTTAATATTACTTTTTAATAATATTTTTTAATAATACTACTGTTAATTTTGAATAGATTGATTAATAATTTAAATATCACAGATTTAAAACATTGTTAATATAATTTATATCTTCTCTAAATAATAATAATAATTTCATGATATTCAATAAATAAATAAATCAGTCACATCACTGAATATAATACAGAATGTTAGAATATAGTAAAGTTTAATATATAAGATAACTATTCAGACTCTTCAATTATATCAGATAATTGATTATTAAGTGTAATACTCTAATTAGAAAAAGATTCAGATATTGAAACTTTCTGATATAAAGTAAACTCAGTTGAAATATGTGATTGATTTACTGTTTCAGTTTTATAAGATAATAAAGATAGTCTCAATCACTTATATACTAATACTGCAGTCAGTCTGATGAGTGTATAACAGTTTATTTACTTATCTTAAGAAGCAGTTGAATCACTTAAAAAGAAATTCAGTCTGAAATAATACTATAGTGCAGGCTATTATTACTGTAAGAAATAAACTGATATATTATTACAGTAAAACTGAACAATCTTTTACAGAGTACTATACTATAGCAGCTTTACTAGATTTCTTCTATTAAGTTAATATCTACACTTCTCAAGATTAAACAGAGAAGAAATGAGACTTATATATTAAATTAGCCTGAGACTACTATAATATCAACTATCAGAGATTTGAATAAGCAGATGTTTGAGATATAAAGACAGTGAAATATAATTTTTTAATAAGTAATAATCTTTGATAACACTTTATATCTCATAGAACTATAATACTAACTTTGAAATAGAACTTATATACATTGATTATAACTGAAAATCAGATAAAACTATATACTTATAAAACTGAATTTAACTGCTATTTTCAAGATAATCTGATAAATTTACACATCAAATCAATTCTAGAGTTATAAAAAATTATTAAGAGTATATATTCAACTGTTGCACTGATAATACATGATATTCTGACAATTTTATTGATAGAGATGAGAATGAAGTGAAAGTTTAACTCAAGTTGAGATATTTATTACTATCACTGAGAACAATTATAAGAAGAAATAATCAAGAAACTCATGATTATAAAACATGAAATTATCAGATAGTTTAATATCTCTGATCACAGTATATCAGAGAAGTGTAGTTTTCATGAGAAAGTAAAGAATAAACTTGTATAAGAATGTATTTAGTTGTTTCATGAGTATTATCAATAATTATTACTAAATTCTGATTATATAAGTAATCACTGAATGAACTGAATGAGACTGATTTTAATCTTCAGTCTCAGTCTCATTCTGATTTTGAAAGAATGATCATCTTTCACAGTTTATTCTGAGAAATTACTCTCATTTCACTGTTCTTGAATTAAATCTGGTCATTTTTCACACCATTTCTCTCAGAAATGGTCCATTTTCAGATTTTTTTGAGGCTTGGTCCTGGTGGGACTCACGCCAAGAAATGTATGGGACCAATGGGACCAAATGTGAAATTCATGGTCCCGCCGGCCAGTCTAGGCACTGCTGAGGTATCACTCTGACTATTCTCACTCATGAAATGAGAGAAGGTATTCACTCATTGTCTATATAGAATAGCTAGATGCTGGCTTCTCATGAAAGAAGCCAGTGATTCATTTCTTTTGCTATAAAAGAAATATACACAAGAGTTACTGCATGCCTCATACAATCTTCTTAGTATACTAAGTACCATATCTGTGATATCCTCGCAATAACCCTGTAGCCTACGAGCTCGCTATTCAAGCAAGATAGTCAAGCCCACCCATACAGCTTCCCAAACAACTACCCCTACGTGACGCCGCCGACTAGCCACCGCTTCGGTTCCGCCACGTTACACAGATCTTGATACAAATAAGATTCATATGTCTCCAACATATTCATCCGTGACACCCAATCCGACAGGTAGGCAGCTAAATAAGCTCACGCAGGAGCAGGAGGGAAGTGTTCTCATCGTCGGCTAAATAGCTCTTTACAAACTAGTGACGTTTTCAGAAGCTCCCCTGTTGTCACCTCATCCATCTCTTGAATTCTAATGACATCTGTGCGTACTAGCTTTGTTCCCGGCTGTTGGTTCCCTGTGATAAAGAGAATAAACCCGTTTTCGCTTTGCGGAACAAAAGATTTGAGTGCAGAAGAAGAAGAATCGCCAATCCCTGTCCACATATTCATGTCATCGGCATTGTAAAAAAATCAAGAGCCAAGGGTGGCTCTTTTGAGAGTTTAGATAATCTCTAACTTGCGATTTTACATCTGTAGATGTCACGGCCGGTAGTCCGCAACTTTTGCTGACGCTAATAAATCCCTGCTGGGCTGCTTCTGCACTGGTGGAGGCCATCCGAAAGACAGAGTAATCTAGGTTTCTATCTCGGACTTGAAATGCGACCTCGAGGGCGATCTGAGTCTTGCCTACCCCCTAGGCCTGGAATCGCCATTTTCCGCTTCCCACGCCTGCTTAGGATCGCATCCACTAAGCAAGAGACTTGTTCCTGGCGCCCAACAAATCCAGGATTTCAGTCAAAAGGCAGGGTCCAGCAGGACGTAGGCGGCGCTGGGACAGTAATATCACGGCTAACGGACACCACACTGAGGAATTTTTGCGTAAGCCGCGGCTACAAAAGCTGCATAGCCCTGCTACTGTTTATTCTTATGATAGTCGGAGTACCCGCATATCCCCCGGGGGACCAGACATGGTAGTTGATTCAATCAATCCGGCAGCTTCCATCTGGTAACATTAGATGTCATATTCTTTCGCGAAACGATCCCGTTTCTTTCCATCCTTTATCACCTTGTTCCCGGAGGCAATGAGTCCATAATGGATTCGAGGGTCGTCGGAAGCTCTTATGTCTCGCTGTATGATGTGTTCCTTTTTTACAGTTCGTGCAAGTTTCCGTTGCTTCAGGATGATCATAAGCTGCATCAAAAAGTACATCATGCTCCTAAGCAGGCTTTGAGTATATCGTCTTCACAGTTGTGCTGGTGTTTGATAGGATATTAGAGCACAAATTTGAGACTCCTAGGCTGTCGCCCAAAATTTCATCACGCTTGAGCCTGGTGATTGCATTCAGGAAGACTTGTGGAGATTGGTTCATTGTCCCAGTTTGCTGAAACTTCCAATCATTGACTGCTTTCCCGAGGTCATATTGTATCACCCACCGAAAGTGCCAGCAGGTTTGCTAATCACAACATCCCCCAGCCCAGCCGGATATCCTAGCTCATACTTGGAGCTCATCCTCAAACCGAAACGGATATAATGAAACGTGGACCGCATTTGGGCAGTCACAGTGGCAAGCAGAGACAGTGTGCCATATACTCCGGATGGGGCAGGCAAACAATTACCACATTGTGGCCGGAGATATCCCAAGGGTGTATGAGTTGTAATCGCTATCGGATTTTGAGAGCTCGTGCTTATTACCGAGCATCGTCTTGACTACGGCTGCTTCCAGGGGACGAGCACAAACCGACGCAACGGTATAGGCATCGTGAGTCCTAGGCGAGGCAGACATGGTTTCTCATTGCTGCATTTGAGCACTAGCAGTAGGACGTCGGAGAGGCGTACTAGTTTTGAGAGATAACGGGAAATATCATATAACTATATAACGATATCTCTTCATTAATATTATTCCACACACCCTTGTCATTGTGAAGCCAACAAAGGGGCTATGGCAACACCCCGCACTTTCAGCATGCCGGCCTAATGCGCCTAAATGTTGTTTGTCAAGATGCGGGGGTTTTTTTTCGCGCCTCGCCTCCCCTGTAGCAGGGCAAGCCAGCTAGCCATTGCCTGTCAGGTCTGATGCAGAGGTCAGCATATGAAGTGTGCAGTTCACGCGTTCTCCTGATAGGCTCTCCGGGCGATCTAAGGACAAAGCAGCAGGTTCAATTGTCCATCCTAGGTGAGGGTAGAGCAAGTTTCTAAATTCGAATGTTGGTTGATGGAGTTATATTTCAAGCTGGAATCTGATCCACCACGCTAAGGAGGCCTAACTAGTTAAAGCTTTAAGTATACCATGAAAATGAGCATCACCAAATTATAATGGACCCATGTACGGAGTACTGTCACTACTGATGCGCGGATGCCTTTCTCAATAGTTTAGATAAACAGAGAGAGAGAGAGAGAGACAGAGAGTTATCTACTGTATAAAAAGAATAAGCTTAATCTCATCACTTTTAACTCTATTCTACAGAGTAGTAGTTAGTAGTTATGAATGTTAATCAGCTCTTCAAAGAATCATAAGCTTCTTCATCGACACACTCATCCATCAACATCATACTAAATTTAAAAATTTAAAAGAGTGAAATTAACTTGCTATGACTTATTCTAGCTTCTCATCAGCTACAACTATTTGTATGTGTGACCAGATGCATTTCAGTACCTAAGTTGTAAGAGCACAAATCAACACCACAACATATGAACACCTGAATGACTCAAAGAGAGGGAAAAAAGAGATAGAAAAGAGAGAGAGAGAGAGAGAGAGAATCATTATGTATAATTAATAAAGATCAATCTGAGAACTTGGATAAAAATTAGAAAATGAACGCCTTTCTGATGCAACTATCTACATCCATCATCCATCTGAGACCGACCGTTGCTCATAACGAAGGGACAATAAATAAAAATAAAAATAAAAAATGATCAGTTACCACACACCACGCCTTTTTGTTGGAGAGGGAAAGAAAATTCGGTAAGACAGACAGACAGGAGAAAACCAGTTTTTCAACAAGGAAACCAATAAAAATGGAATTGGAAATAGAAATAGAAACGCTCCGGGTTCGATGCAAAATCCCAAATAGACAAGAAAAGCGATCCTGGCGGTTTCCATAGGTATATAAAAAGAGGAGGGGCATTTTTTTTTTTTTTTCTTGACATAGAAACGAACTGAAGAGGTATCATGACCACCAAAAATAAACGAGAGGTTCTGATCATATAATGGTTAAGAAGGTCCAGAGTAGAATTGGCGGGGTGCCGGGCCAAAATCATAACAAAGGGGAGGAAACATGCATGTATATTAAAATAAAGATTCAGTCGCACCACGGGAAACCAGCCTCACAAAGACAGAGCCACCTTTTCCTAATCCTAAAACAAGTAAATAAACAACATCGAGCAGCGCTATCATTTGTTAAGCTCACGAATTTGGTCCATGTATGCAATGTATGATCCGGGTCGATGGATGGCAGAAGAGAAGAGGTCGAAAAGCAAAAAGGACACCAAAATCTAAAAAGAAAAACGAAAAAAAAGGGGGGGATATAATTAAATGTGTTGCGGTGCATAGGGCGTCCATGACCGGTAAATACCAAAAGAATTGATAGAGACACAAGGCAATGCGGGTTGCATTGAAGTCCATTATTTCCCGCAATTCCATGGGATTGGCTTCATCTTAGGGCAGAACAGTGTATATTTCTATACTCCCATGCGGATACTCTTAGGAAGTTGCAGAGCTAAGCTAACATAATGTTACCAAGGTTGGCGGCAAGAGGAAGTGGAAGTACTGAGACAAAAGGTCTCACATCCTGTCGATCAATGCAGATATGGCGCCACTGAATGGATTGTACTTTGGTTTTTTTTGTCGCCACTAGGGGTAGAAATGTACTGATCCCGGATTATGGACAAAAGTGGTGAAATCACTGGGAGTTAAAAATCAACGAGCCCTTCGGTCCCTAGCTGGGGGTGGTCCTGAGGAACGGTAGGATGAATCAGGGGGGTATCGCCCATCTACTATTGGAGCCCGGTGGTCAGGGAGAGTACTGGGCGGGAAACCCATACTGGTGGTAACAGCAGGTGGATATTCGGTCTCATTCTCATAGCCAGGTCCAGGATACCTTGGATTTGCTCTTGGATCATTATTATATGCATGGTACGGGGCAGTACCCTCATATGTATATTCAGGACTGCTCGCTGGTGGTGGCTGTGAGTGAGCTGGGTACGATCCGCCAGCAGAAGCGTATGTGGAAGGAATTGCGCCATAAGTCGTTGGCTGGGAATATGCTGGTTGATAGGGTGCAGGCTGAGCTGAGCTATATGAAGCATGAGCTGGTGGGGGATAGGTATCATATGGCTGGCCAGCAGCTGGTGGGTAGGCGGTAGGGCCAGTTCGCTGACGGCTTTCATGGGTGGCAGAAGTATCATATTGTGCTGAAATCCTGTTAGGATCTGTAGGCATCCCTGGGTCATGATTGTGACTACCTTGTGTAGAATACCCTTGATCCCGTCTCATAGCTATCTCGGCTCTCCACCGTGCCGAATCTGCCTGTAGATCGGCAATCATCTCCTATCAAAAACAAACAAGAATGGTTAGCTACAGCAGAATTAAGAAGAATATTGCTCTCCAGCGGGAGACTCATCACATGAAATGATGTATGAGAGGGGGATGATTTCATACTGGTGTCAAATTGCGATAACCACGAATGTAATAACCTTTGACGCCCTATACGATCTTGTCAGCATATCAATCATGACCAAAGGGCCCTGTCTCATCCGCAACTACGGACAAATACGTCGAGAGAACTTTTGGGAAAGAGACAGAGAAGGGAATCCGGACCTTGTATACGCCAGGTTTCACAAGAGCCTGATTTCCAAGGTACCGACAGATATCAGCCTGGATGACCTCGCGAGCAATGCCATTCTCTTCAATAAAATACTCGTTTTGTCGCTCCGGGGGATCATGAGGGCGCGACATGTTTGGTAGCAGTTCACGACAGGCAATAAGAAGAAAGAAAACAAATAGGCCACTAGGCGATGGTTGAGATGTTCTGAGTTTAGGATGGCTGCGAATATTATATAGATGGCGATTCCAAGGTTGAGCCGAAAGGTAGGTTGAAGTCGATGTGGGTGAGATGATGAGAGAAGATGTTGATATATGAGGGGTATAGAGAAAAGAAATGGACTACAGCTTTGAAAAACTGCGTACTAGTCCGCAGGCTAGAATGGATTCCCTTTGTTGAGGCAAAAACTCCTTATCCTAGAAAGGCGTGGTCTTGGGTAGACGAGCTGATATACAAACACACAGAGAGACAGAGACACAGACGGACAGGCACAGGTATTATGATATCCAAGTATAAATGGACTCAAAAAGCAACCTGATTGTAAACCTTTATTGCTTTGTTTATCACACACAACAACACTTCACTTTCAATGCTGAGATGCACTCTGCGAAAGAGGTTAGAAGTGGTGGGACGGAGCGAACAGCCAGGGAAGGGGAAAAGCTATCCAGGCAACGTGGACACGTAGGAATTCCGGGGTATAACAAATCCAAGGGCGAGGCTAGATGAGCCTCTGTATAAACCTTAGCGCTGGGAGAATCTGGAAACAAGGCCGTTTGATAACAGGAAGGACACCTAACGGGATCCTGGGGTGTATCACTTATGGTGCGCGTGGTGTCGTGATCAACAGAGCAGGCAGAGAGAGAGAGGGTCCAAGAACGGAAGAATCTAGCCTTGATAAGAGACGAAAGGAACAGAATAGAAGCAGCAACGGATGTCGGATGGCAGGAAGATAGATAGATAGATATATTAATAAAAATATGAAAAGGCCAGGTGATGACGGCACAGCGGTCAAGGTGTAGGATAGCCAGAAACTGTCTCACTTTGGGTGTCTGTGCCCGTTGCTGGGATGGGAATCGAGATACGGGAGGAAGAGAACGATAGAAGAGATAAACAGCACGGCAGAGAGAAGGGGATAGAGGGATAGAGGGAGAGGGAGAAAGTGGGAAGAGGAAGAGAAGAAAAAGGAAGAGCAGAAGAGAGGAAGAAAACGAAGAGAAGCACAAGCGAGGGGAACGGATGGAGGCGTATTCAAAATTTCGGGGACAGGAAAAACCCAGCATGCCTCATTAAAACTACACCCACTAGTCATATTACTCACATCCCGCAGGTCGCAGGTGCACACACTCCGTTGTGGGAACATATTATTAATACTCAATGTCATGTAATGTGGGTGTGTTTTAGACAGGATCACAAAAAGTTTAGCAGAGGGTCATAAGCCAAATGTTCGACAGTAACCTGGGCCAAATGGGCAAAATGGGCACAGGGCAGCCCCGCCCCAGCCAATCAGCGCCCGTTGCCGGCCACAAACTTGCTCCACCCGCCTGCTTGGTGCCACGAACGACGTACGCTGACAGTAACGTCCACCTGCGTTTTCTCGTTACGGCCCGTATCATACCGTACTTTTCGTCAAAAAAACAAAAACAATCAAAATTCTACTCTCATAACTCCGTCTGTCTACTCCGTACAAATTAATACAACCATGTACAACTCCTGCTAGCAGCAAGCATACCCTGCTCATTATTGGTTTCCCTGGTTAGTACTCCTCCCATCGCACATCGATGGCCTGACGCGTATGTATCTTCCCGGTTCCCCTACCCTTGGCTATGTAACCATGGTGTATTATTTGTACTGTACATTCATACTATATACTTCGCCTAGGAACTCCGTACCGTACTGTACCACTGCTGTTCCCGGCTTGGCACAATACCAAGATACAGACAGATCTCCAACCAGCCCCAGCCAGAACATCGTCAGTTGCTTCTTCCAACTCCCAACTTCAATTCCGCATATCAACAATGCTGGAGAGAGGAAACACCATGGCCTTTCCGCTATAGAGTCCAGGCCTTTAGCTGCACTGAATATTAAAGGTTGGCCCGTTTCCTGCCTGTCTAGGTATCTTGTATGCTCTTCGTCGGGTACCTTTACGTCGGAGGTTCCATATGCACTGGCCAGGCGACTTAACAAACAGGCGGCACCGATGATTGCAGGCCAAACAAAATTGCGGGGACAACTCCTCTTTCTCAGCGCATCCGCCCCTCCCTCCCGATCCATCGACTGGCATGTATCCAATATGTATGATCAGGACTTGCTCCTTTTGAATTTTCTTTCTTTGGCCTACCCCCAGCCGTGGGTGTCGCAAGCATTCCTTGCCCCCAGGAGCTATCAAAGCGAGCCATACCACGTTCCATGGGAAATCGGAATCCCCAAATGGAAAATGCCAACTTTCCCTGCCAGTGCCATACACACGACGATGGAGCAAGGCTGGAAAGAGGGAAAGGCTAGACAATTAACGATAGAAATTTGCATGCACTGCGCGGTCCCGACAATCAGGATGGGTGGTCGGGACACAGAGCCGAATTGAGAAATTCGATCATCGAGACCATCTCTGACAAGAGGCAAAAAGGAGGATCTGGCGGCGTCTACACTGCAAACTACCCATAACTGCCGTCGTGGATTCTGATTGGCGAACATGTTTGCTGCCGTTAGGCAGACATGCGTTGTTTTGGGCAGAAACGCCTTGGAACATGCAGCTCATCTTGGCCACCTGAACAACAGGGTGGCACGATGCCCTCTTGTCAGTTTTGACCCAAAAGCAACCGTCACTGGCAGCTGGTTGAAACAAGCCTGCAGCCTGCAAGGATAAGCAAAATGATGTGCAGGGCCTCGATAAAGAAAAAACCCTTATGGCTCGGCGATGTTGATTCTCCATTTTATTGTTGCTTGCCGCTATTGCCACGCTGATAATCAGTCCAGCCCTAGTGATACCCAAAAAGAATATGTGCGTGCACTGTTAAGATTTTGATGAGGGTCCCCCCAGGATGAAGACCCTGATCCGGGTCCGGTCCAACATGACGAGGCACTTTTTACAAAATTAAATCCTGTCTGTCAGCATTCTCGCCGGAGAGATGCCAGGGAGGTTTATCCGGGGGCTTGCCTTCAAATGATACCTACTGTTAATGATAGGTACAGCAGCCTCCATGGAAGGTGCCTAAAGCATGAAAAGACTCTAGAATCGTCTTTTCATCCTTTTAACATTTTCTAACTTTCTTTTAGTTTTCTCATCAACTTACATCCCTTCCTATCAAGTACAATCTTCAATCCTTCTCATACATCATATATTTTTGCTACGGGTGAATCAAAGGTGCATATCTGAACTGCTGCGTCCGGTTTATGAGTTTTATATATCCAGCCAATTGCCCATGCAGGTGTTTTGAATGATTTTTTTTTAATTATCCTGGCTCACCGATCAAATAGGAGGCATACATGTGTATCCACTGGAGAAAATTTCTATTTTGATTTCTAGGGCTTCACACTTCGTGTGGAGTGTTTGATTGATGGCTTTTATGTGGAAGGAAGTAATATTCAACTGCAATTTTCCTAATCTGCGCTTAAACAGCATCTCCAGCGAAAGAAACAAAGAGGATTAAACAACAGACGATATCGGTCAAGTCACCCCAGTCAGAAAATAAAACATCTCATCTCCTTCATGCTGTGCCCTTCCCGGACACAAGCTGACTGGTCCTCCATATTTTCCTTTTGAGAATGCTCCCAAACCGGACCACCTTTTCCTTTCCCTGACCATTTGCCTGTGCCGTTTCTTGCACTTTTCTTGCTTCTTTCCCCTCATACTCTTGTTTCGACACAATTCGGAAATTGGTTCGTGGAAAGTGGATACGAACGTCCGCCCTGTTATCCACCGTCTTCCGCTGCAACACTACCTCCTGAGGTGTGAGAGCCACTAATTGCCCGCTATCCTGATAGTTAGAACAGTTATCAGTTGGCCACACTACAACATCTTGCCCCTTTTGGAACTTCAGCGCATCATATTCATCAACATCTGCCTCTGGCTCCACAAATTCTGCAGCGATAACGGATTCCAACACCTGTTCACCCGATAGGTTTTGCGGCTTGTTGGGCAATGCGGCTGCAGCTTCTACTACTGCCTTCCTGAATCGTGCCATCCAGGCGAAAACGTTGGGAAAACGGGCTTCCGTGAAAATATCGCGGTCAAGGGCCCCATCCAACTCATCTACCCAGTCGAGTGGCCATATCGCTTCAGGGAAAGGGTTGCACAGAATTTCCTGTCAGCTACCCAACGTCTTATGCCAATGCATGCCTAAGGGGGATTTCTCGTGGAAGAGGTTTAACGGCATATCTTCATCGTAAAATCGAAACTTTCGGACATACCATGGATATCAGCCAGAGAAGGCTTCTCAGTCTTACGCAGCCACTCCCTCCCGTCCGCCAGTAGCGTCGTCTCAAGAAACTCAAACGCCTGTTTGATATGAATCATCCCGTCCGGCCGATTCCTCTCCAGGTCCTCCTTTCTAAAACTAAGGCCGCTAGCGTCCTCTCGATCCCGGATGAAGTTGGGATGGGCAGCCAGTATATGGGCCGACGGGACCAGCTGGCAAGCGCGGGCGAAAACACCCCCGTCAACGGTCCAGTTCTCCAGCATGCGTTCGATTGCCTGTCCGTCTGGATCCGTCGCACCAAGCCGACCACCCTCTGGATACAGCTCCTCCAGTTTCTGCAGGATCAGTCGTGAGTCGCAGTATATATCTTTACCGGCGCACATAACTGGAACACGACGATATTGGACACCTAGCGCGTGAAGGTCCGGTCTAGGCATGATGATCGGTTGTAACTTCGCAGCGGAAAATATGAAAGACATCCAATACGTCTCTTAGCAAAAGATCTGCTATCTCTCATCCCCCCCCTGGTCTTACTTTTCTATTTCATTTTATTTTTTATATATATATATATATTTTTCTTCTAGGGGTTCCAGCTGGAGCGTTTGCACCACGCAGGCTTTCCCCTCATCATTCCCTATTCTTCCACCTATTTCTTCTGTTTTGTTCGAAAGGAATTGTGCTTACACATTGATCATATTCAATACCACGAAGGGCAAGATACCTTCACGCAAACCAAAAACGCAAAACACAGAGCGCAAGAAATCGAAATCAGCAAAACGCTCACAAAACGAGGGGTATATATATATATATGTCTGTGTTATGACTCCCTATCCAGATAGGAGAAAATGCTACGCCAGCAGGCCGGTTTCTCATGCAGAATAGGGGAATATAAGTGAAATGAAAAGGGGTTGGTAGGTGCTGATTGACACTATCGGGCGCGGACATACTTACCACGTTACCCGCCTTCCATACGGCGAAATCTCGTAGTGGAGCACCACCGGCTTTGGCATCGCCATATTCGCTATGTCTTATTTTTATTTTTATTTTTTTCTTGTTTGTTTCGTGTTTTTCTAAAGTTGTTCGCTCCTTGTTCCTCTGTCAATCTCTTGTTCAGTCGAGTTGATTAGTTTGGCATGGGTAGAAAGAATTAAAACATTTCTGCCCGCAACGATCGGACACCCCAACCCTCCTCGTTCTACTCCCATGGCTATTGAATAGTAGCCAGCTAGGATTCTTCTTCTTCTTGTTCTTCTTCTTCTTCTTCCCTTTCTGACTTGGAGGCTATCTATCTCTGCTTACCCTATATGACCCTGATGGAGTAATTCTTTCGTTTCCTTATGACCCGAGGAATCGGTCAAGCTTTCGTGATTTGACGCAGCGAGTTGGGGCTGCTCGATGGAAGGCAATGTGTGTGTGTTTGGGGCTGGGGGTTCCCTGCTCCCTCAGATCTAGGCGAGGATATCTGCAAGCTCAGCAAAAGCACACCAACAGCCACCCTTGTCGAATACGCCGGGGATAAAAGGGCCAGCACGAAAATGTAACGCTACAGCAGCTATTTCGGCACCACACTCTCCGAGGTTCTTCAGAACTTTTTGCATCCTCTCTTCATTCTATAAGGGAGAAGGAAATCAGGAATACTAACATATATATTATATTTGACCAACACTCTCCTTGTTCTGCTTTTGCTTCTATTCTTTCCTTTCCCCTCGTTCTCGAAGCAAAACGAAGGTTTCTAGAACAGCCAAGGCCTAGTGACCTTCCGCTAAGCACACGCAGGGGACAAAATGGCAATAAAAAATGGCAATAAAAATAAAAAAATAAAAAATCAGAAAGTCTTTCGAATTGAGAATTGAAACCCGCGACTATCATAAGCGACGCAGAAAGAAATCCAGAAAAAGGGCACACCCCCGAAAGCTCCAGGGTCTGTGATTCCTCAATACTTTATATATCGGCCCTGAGGCGGGGGAATTTTTAAACCTTCTTAGCTGCTCTAAAGCAATTACTTGTTCTCTTTTTAGCTGCGTATTTGCGCACCAGAGCACACAGTAGTGTAGTGTACATACATACGAACTAGCCAACAAAAGCCAGAGCGGACGATTTCGAATTCTCTTCTGGTTTTGCTTCTCCTCTTTTCTCCGCCCCATTGTATTTTTATTTTTATTTTTAGGCTGTATTTGAGAGAGGTTTTGTTTGAGTTTTGGCTCATCTCTACTCCGTACCCTCAGTACCTATTGGATAGTAAATGAGTTTGTTGTCGATATAGCTGCGGGCCGGGAAAGGCTAACGTAAAACTTACCATGCTTTCTTTAACTATGAAGTGCCGGGGCGAGAAGGGGCCAGATCCGTTGGACAGTCACAGTCATCACTTATCACTCTAAAAATCTCCGTCCGAGATGCGGAAATTCAGGAAGGTTAAGTTACTTTGTCTAGAGAAACAAGAGCGCTAAATCTGGGCGGGTTAGGGAGCTCGAGAGTCTACGAGAGGAGCGGGGCAAAAGGTGGTTTGTAGCCTTGTTAGGCCGTAAATTGTAATTGTCCGTACATGTAATTGCGGATTATTACTGCCAGCGCTGTATTCCTTTGTTTTCTTGTCAACTTATTTCGGGCTTGTGGCGCTTTCTTTTTTGTTCGTTGTCATATGGATCCTGGTCCTATGGATGTTTAACTATATCGAATACTCCAAGTATGTAGCTACCTTTGGGCCAACAAAATCGATTGCAGCTATGTTTGAAGTTCCCACGCAGCTTATGCCTGTTCCCTGCCATTGTGTCCCAGAGTGTCGGGATGAGAGAAAGGAGCTTGAAAAATATCGGTTGCGTTTCATTTTTGTGCTGGGGAATTTGCGTGGATGGATGGGTTTTGCTATTGGGCATACATGGAACAGATGATGATGATTTGATCAGGCAGAAATGCAGGGCCCATTTTGATTCTTTCTCCGCTCTATAGGTGGATGGACGAATCATAATTAAAAGGATAAAAAGTGTGATTTATTTTATTCCTGCTGATTGAGCGATGGGATGGGCTTAGAATAACTCAGATCAAAAATGCCGCCTCATCTCATCATACTCCGTATAGCGTAAAGGTCATCAAGCCAGCCGCCTCGTGGCCTGTTCTGTCTTTGGTCTGGAACGATCACCAACCCAACCAGTGGCAACCACTAACCACCATCACCAGTTATTACAGGCAGAACCACCGCACTTCCAGCAACAGCAACCAACAAGAAACTACGACAAGGCCCGTCATCATCAATGATGTCCTCGAGCATCCCCTCATCCTCCCCCCGCCCATCCAACCAGCTCCAACAACAACGACAACAATGTCCCTCCCCCAACCTACCACCTCCCGCTTCACCCACCGCCATCTAACCCTCCTCCGCGCCAGCTCCCCCCGCACGCCCCTCCGCATAATCGCCCACATAGACCTCGACGCCTTCTACGCGCAATGCGAGATGGTCCGCCTCAACACGCCCCGCACCCAGCCCCTGGCCGTCCAGCAATGGGAATCGCTCATCGCCGTCAACTACGCCGCCCGCGCCTTCAACATCACCCGCATGCTCACGGCCGCGGAAGCGCGCAAGCGCTGTCCGCAGCTCGTCACGCAGCATGTCGCCACGTTCCGCGAGGGGGAGGGCGCGCAGTGGAAGTACAGAGATGATGCGGCGGAGTGTGTGGCGACGGATAAGGTTTCGTTGGAGCCGTATCGGGTGGAGAGTAGGCGGATTCTGGAGGGTATTAGGGCGGCTCTGGCTGCGTGGGCGGAGGGGGTTATGCGGGATGTAGGAGGTGGTGGTGGTGGTGGCGGGGAGGGGAGGGGAGGTGGAGGGACAAAGAATGAGCTGCAGCTGCAGCTGCAGCAGCTCGTTAGGGTTGAGAAAGCGGGGATTGATGAGGTGTTTGTGGATTTATCCGCGCTGGTGTATGAGACACTGCTGGACAGGCATCCTATGCTGCGGGAGGGCGAGGTGGGGAGGGATATGAGTGAGAGGCTACCTAGGCCGCCCACTACGGTGCTGGAATGGGGTAAAGAGGATATGTTGGTTGATTTGGATGCCGGGCAGGCAGAGGAGGATGACCCCGATTGGGATGATGTGTGCATGCTTATTGGCGCGGATATCGTCCGCTCCGTGCGCGCCACTATCTGGGAGAGGCTGAAATACACCTGCTCAGCAGGCATTGCGCGGAATAAGATGATGGCAAAGCTTGGCAGCGCGTGCAATAAACCAAACAAGCAGACTATTGTGCGCAACCGCGCGGTCCAGCAGTTCCTGGGCGGGTTCAAATTTACACAAATTCGGATGCTGGGCGGGAAGCTGGGGAAGCAGGTTGCGGCCATCTTTGGGACGGATGAGGTTGGTGGGCTGTTACATGTCCCCGTTGAGCAATTAAGGCTGAAACTGGGTGATGATACGGGGACATGGCTCTATGAGCTTCTCAGGGGATACGAGTACAGCGAAGTTAGTGTACGGACGCAGATTAAATCTATGCTCTCCACCAAATCCTTTCGGCCCGGTATCCAGTCCTCGACGCAGGCAGAGAAGTGGCTGCGGATTTTTGTCGCGGATATCTATGGCAGACTGTTGGAGGAAGGGGTTCTGGAGAATAAACGGCGACCGAAGGTTATCACCATACACCACCGGACTGCTGGGCAGACGAGGTCTCGTCAAATTCCGATCCCGACGGGCAGGCCGATAACCGACACTTTCCTGTTTGACCTGGCCAAAACCCTACTGGCACAGGTTGTTAATGAGGGGAATATTTGGCCGTGCGCGAATTTGTCATTGAATGTAAGCGGGTTTGAAGATGGTGTTACGGGGAACCAGAGGCTGGATTCCTTTTTCCTTCGTGGGACTGGGGACACGAAGGTGGCATCGGCTCCCTCGCAGCAGCAGCAGCGAAATTCTGATACCCGGCAAGGATACTTACCTGGCTCGGAGCCACAGAAGAGGAGAAAAGCGCCCCCCAACGATAATTACGAAGATGGCCATCCCAGGCATGATCACAGTGCCACATCCCCCGGCCATACAGTTGGCGAAGAAGACGAAGAATCTCTCTTTCTACAAGACGACGATAATAATAACCATCATCTTCCAGGTCCCGCAAACACCTCCCCAGCTCTCACAGACGATGATGAAAATGCCCTCACCACACAACACGACGACTGGGCCTCCGTCATGGGGATACAGGAGCCATCATTCACATGCCCCCGCTGCGCCAAAACTATAGCGGAATATGACAGAAGCGAACATGACGACTGGCATTTCGCGAAGGATTTATATACGCAGGAAAGAAGGGAGCAACGTCCTTCTATTGTCTCTCCTCCTCGTCCTCGTCCTCGTCCTCGTCAACAGGGTGATGGTTCACGGGGGAGAGGCCGTGGTGGTGGCCGTGGAAAATTCGATAAGCGACAGCGTCGACTGGCGTTTTGAGGGTGGTGTTCATTCCTCCTTTCTTATAATTTATGGTTTGTTTTACTTTTCTTATTCTTGGGAGATCTTTTGAGGGAATATGGCATGGAGAGATGGATATCGGCTTTGGAGGTTCTGCGTCTCAAATGGGATATTTTGCAGGTACTAATAGGCGTTGTTGGGGAAGTATTCGGGATAAAATGGCCTTGTCGGATCTATATAAACTGCTTCGCATATGTTTTGACATAAACTACTGTATTCTGGAACCATGGATCGCAACAATTTAACATTTCGGATGCTACCAAACTTCATTGTATACGTTTTTCCTGTCTTATCGACCATTCTAAAGTTAAAATGTATATTTGATATGACACTTTACTTAGACCAGAATTAACCTAGACCGGGCTACCATTATCTCCCAAGTTTCAATTTAATATTCGCTTTGACCGTGCTTTCTTCTAAATTCCTTGAATTTTCTCCGCTTCATCATTGCACGAAGCGATGACATCACTCTCCTTTCCTAACTAACGAACCGAACGTTAGCCGTTATTCCATCTCGCTCGTTCTTCGTTTCCTTCTCGCCTTTTTTATCTCCATGCCCTATATATGTATCTATTTGTTTAATTTCCCTATTCTCCTTGGTCTTTTTTATCTGGGTGGGCGCCTGTTTCTGCTTCGGATTGCTCCTTTAAAAAGCAGTTGAAGAAAACCCATCACCGAATCCCAATCGGCTTCTCAAATTTCATAACTTTCTCAATTCATAGATGGTTTCGTATTATTTTATAAATTTAGGCGTTATCTGATCTACATAACCACGTCAAAACAGTTTTTGTCACTTTCTTTTTTTCCTTTTTCCTTTTTCCTTTTTTTTTTCTTTTTTTGTCTTTGCTTTTTGTGACGGCCTCAGCGTCTGTTGACGTCATTAGTACCTGGAACAACCAAAACCCCCAAAACCAACCCCATATCTTCTTTCTAATTCCAATCATGTCCCGCCGTAGCGGAGGGCGTGGCGTTTATGAAAGAGACACCTACGAACTGGACCGCCACGACCATCGCGGAAACTACGATCATGTCTTTGAAGAGGACGTCGAGACCCGTTTCCGTCGACGTCCTCATGCCCCTGATGCATCCCGTGTTCGAGAAATAGAGAGGGTTCGTGCGCAGGGCCACTCACCGCCATCAGAGTTCGTTCGAAAATCATACGGGCGCAGCTCTAGTGCGGGCCCACTGGTGAGAATGCCACGGGTAAGAGATGATGATTATGAGTTTATTGAGCATGAGCATGAACGTGGCCATTGGGATGGGCATGAACATAGGAGAGGTGATATTGGACCCGTCCATCGGCGGTCGAGGATTGTGGAGAGAAGGTTCTCTCCCCCGCCGTCGCATGCTAGGGGCTTCGAGCGTGAGGAGCTTGTGCTGCGGAGGGAGAGGTCTAGGCCACCACCACCTCGCGAGCCGAGGTTTGAAAGAGATGAATTTGTTTTAAGAAGGGAGAAGGACCATGGGCTTGAGAGACGTCCGGTAAGGGCGTATGATTGGGAATGGGAGTTGGAGAGGGAGAGGAGCAGAGAAAGGGAGCGGGAGAGGGACGTTGAAACAGAACGAGGGCGAGAGAGAGTTGAGCGAGATCGTCGGAGGAGCTCTTACGTGCGGGAAAGATCAAATATGAGGGGAGATACAGAAGAGATAATTGTCCGCAGAGACGAACGGGGAGGGAATACTGGCCACGGTAAGGGTGATGTGAAGAGAGAGGAAGTGATAATCAGGAGGAGGGATGAAAGTTCGTCTTCGTCGGACTCATCTTCACACCCACCGATTGAACCACCTCCCATTCGCGCCCCTCCTATTCACCAGGAGGTGATTACACATCATCGGCATATCGGTCATGGTAGGCATCTTTCTTTTCTGTTTTACCTGGAGCTGGAAAAGTTGTCCATGAAATATCACTTCCGGGAGCTAAAGGAGGCATAGGATATGAGGTTGTCCACCCACACCCACCTCCGTCGGAGGCAAGCTCACGACACGTCGATGACGAAATTGAAATTCGGAGAAGGTATGTACAGTACAAACCTCTCAAATGGCACAATATACAAGTACACTAATTCGTATGCAAGACGGGAACGCAACGGTCGAAGTTATGACGATGAAATTATAATCGATCGTGAATCCAGCCGTCACCGAGGGCGAGAAAGATTTGCCCCTGCACTTTCTCCTCCCCGAAGGCGGGCAAGTCCTCACCATGGCGACAGGAATGAATCCGAACTTCTCATCTCACATCGAACATCTAGGGGCCCTGCTCACGACAATGAACGGCATCGGGATGTCGTCATAATGCGTGATCGCGAAGGCAGTACCCGAGGTCAACGGGAAGCAGCCAATATCCGCGACGAGGCAGAGTATTACAATCGCCTTTCTCACAAGGGGGGTCATATTGGAGAAGCATACAATGGCGCAACGAAGGACTGGTCCATCGTAGATGTTCCGCCCGGAACTAAGCGCGTGGAGCTAGAGGGTGTTGACGGCGCCAGCCAGGAAATTACATGGCAGCGTTATCATGGTGTTCGACGGGCGAAGTTCCATGTTGACGGGGATGAATATGCCTCTGACAGGGAACGTACCCGAGACCAGGGCCGGATCGGGAAGCGTTACGTGGGAGTTAAGGATAAGCGGGACCGGCTCTGGACTGAAATTACCAAGGATCTCGTTGTTAAGGAGGCAATCGAGAGGGCTGGGTACGATTATGAGGAAACACAGTATTTCTACTATGTTTTTGCTTATTTGAAATATGTATGTCCCATCCATACCCCCTGTATTTTTGCGTTTTCCACTTCTTCGGTCATTCCTTTCCGCTGGAAACCCATCTCTAACGTCTAGTAACACAGGACGATGTTGCCCACCTCGTCGCGCTCTCAGACGACTACCGCCAGGCGCGTCGTGAACGGATCCGAGAGATCCAACGGGAGCGCACCCGAATGATTACACCCCCTCCTCTACCTGCTCCTGCCCCGCCACCACCGGCAGCGCCATTACTGCTTGAGAGACCAGACTACGATGAAGAAAGAATTATTGAGCATGAGGTATTTGTCGATGAGGACAAGGTTCCTCTCCCGATGAGGGCTCGGAGATGGTGAGCGGGATTGAAAAGATTCTATTACGTTTTGTTTGAGCCTGCTTATTCGATGTCTTATTTTATTCGGGCTATCTTACCTATTTTGATTTTTCTTTTAGTAGCTGGCATGGTACTTTCCCATCATTACCATGGTTGATTTGCAGGAGGTGATAACTTAGGTGATAACTTACCCCTTGCTGTCTTTTGTTACCCTTTTCCAGCCTTCCTTGCTGCATCTGGAGCAAATGGATGTTGATGCTTCAACTTTCCATATTTCACGATGCGGCCTTGTTGATACTGCTCTGTGACTTTCTTATGCTTTTACGTGGTTTCCTTTTCTTTTCACTCTGCAGTCAACGACGTGATGATTAACGATATTTGGAGTTGTGAAGGGGCGGAATTGTAGCCCCTGTTTCAATATTGCTGTCTAGAAACGGAAAGGATGAAAGGCATGTATCTATATAACATTTTCGATATAATATTAGGAAAGTCTATAGATTTATCTATCCTATGGTTAGTTCATTTCGAGAGGAGTAACTATTATTGACATGCTCTGCGTACGTCTATTTATAATCACGTTGCATGCTCGTATATGCCGGGTAGTAGCAAGCATTGAGAAGCGCATTCAGCTGCCCAGCTAGATTTCCACTCAAGAATTCTTATGTGGAATACTATTCCACCATCAACCCTGCTCACTGGCCGAAGTACACCAATCTCAAAACCCAAGATTCATGACTAACTTTCAGATTGTCTCTCAAGTCTCGATCCCTCACGATGGCCAAGTTACTTGACTGGAGGCGGAAATGCAAGCTCACTTGCAAGGTAACTTTAGCTTCTCTCTGCTCGTCATTTCAGCCCCTTAACTCGGTTGCCGATGGCTTGGTGGAGCCGCATACAAGTTATGGCACAACCAGGCAAATACCGCGACTTTGACAGTCGAATTCAACCATCTTGCATCGACTTCAAAGTCACTCGCATTGTCAACATCATCTAGGCCCCACCAGGCTGGCGACGAACAGGGAAGAACTATTGCTGAAACACCACAGGGAGCTCCTGGAGTCCTCCTACCTTCTGACGATGGACCAGAGCCAACACAAGGAACGGCCTCCTCAACCACCCTCACTATATCCAAAGCGAAAGCCGTAATGGTCATCATCACTTTAGCTGGTGTAAGCTTTCTCAACACCATGGGCTCCGGCATTCTCATAGCCGCACTGCCTCGGATCGCAAAAGATGTCGGCATACCCGAAGCGCTGATCCTCTGGCCTGCTGCTGTCTATGCGCTTGCCGCTGGTTGTTTGCTCCTTGTCTTTGGGTCGATTGCAGACGCTGTTGGAGCCAAGCTGATGTGGATTGTTGGGAGCTTTCTCTTTGTTATTTTCACAGTCGCTATTGGAGTTAGCGAAGACCGAAATCCAAATCATTGTATTCCGCACTCTTGCCGGTGCGGTGCTGCGATCTCCATGTGTCTGCCCACAGCAGTCAGCCTCATCACTAACACTTTCCCGAAAGGCACTTGGCGCAATGTTGCCTTTGCAATGAATGGGATGGGTCAACCCCTGGGGTATGCCGTTGGTCTGGTCCTAGGAGGTATATTCACTGATACCATTGGCTGGCGATGGGCCTATTTATTACATGATGGCAATGATCAACCTCTGCCTTTCTCTGGTAGCTATCTGGTCACTGCCGTCAGTTGTCAGCCAGTCAGGGGCGTTGAAGCCCTGGACGTGCCGCCTCATCGAGGATATTGATTGGTTTGGTGCAATAATTATCAGTGTTGCTCTCGGAATTTTGCTCTATGTTCTAGCCATGGTATCGTCTTCGTACCGTAGGGCCAGCGGTCCACAAAACATTGCTCTGCTCACTGTATCGTGTGTTCTGCTCGCTGCGTTTCCCTGTTGGATGCATTATCAAGTTAAGAGAGGGAAGCCAGCACTTATCCCGAACAGATTATGGAAGAGGGCAGCTTTCACGTCGATCTGTGTATCTGTCTTCTTCTGCTGGGCTTCTCTGAACGGGATTGAGTATTTCATTACGCTCTACTCCGTAGTGAGACTCCCGTTATTCCTTACCACGCCGCTCGCTTTGTCGCCTTTGCGAGGCTAAGCCACCATGTGTGAAATAGTCCGAGGACCATGAATCAAGCAACTAACACGCTATTAGCTTCCAACGAGTCGAGGGTCTTTCCGCTCTTCAAACTTCGATCCGCTTCCTTGCACGCGTCGTAATGGGGACGGCAGTCAACATTGCCACGGCCTTCCTTATCTCTCGCGTCAAAGTCCGCACTCTCGGTGTCGTTTCTGCTCTAATTACTATGGTTGCTCCGACTCTTATATGGCTACAGTTGAGGTTGGCGAAAACTACTGGCTCCGGCCGTTCTGGGCTTTGCTACTCTCCCCCGTGAATCCCGATGGTGAGCTTTCTAGTGCTATACAGTTAGTTTCCTCTGCAAAATCACTAACCAATACTTCCCTTTCCCCAAAATCTCAGTCCTCTTCACCGTCTCAAACCTCGTAATTTCAGATGCTTTCCCAGCCGAGATCCAATCCCTTGCTGGTGGTGTGTTCAACAAGGTTTCCCAATTCGGCAACTCTGTTGGTCTTGCTGTCAACTGCTTCAATCGCTGCCTCTGTAACCGAGCACTCCGGCCTGGAAGAGCATCGTGCAGCTCTTATGGAGGGATACCGCGCCTCCTTTTGGACAATTTTTGCGGCCACGGCCATCGTTGTTGTCATTTCATTCTTCGGGCTGAAGAAAGGTGGCACAGTGGGAAAAAAGGAGGTCTGATTTAAGCCAATCATGTGCCATTCTTTCTATTCCTCCCACCCCTTTTTATTGTTTCGAGGCGAGCACCCTTGACAAAACAGCCTTTGAAACAACAGCCACGTCGTTTCACTATTTTCTGCATCCCCAAATAAAGCTGCGAGGTTCACCCGCTTCATTACCCTATTCCAGATAATTTTTCTATACAGGGACCCAAGGTTGAGCGCATATGAGCGCATATGCGAACCCCATAAGGGCAAGGGTGAAGATGCGATTTCGGTTGGCGGAAAATCAGCCGAGACCTCGAGATTGAAGGAAACTCATGGGTTATGCCTTGAGATACCCTCGGCCTCAAAGTAGGTACCATATCGAATCAACCAGGGGTGTGGTCTGGATTGCCCTGCAGAATTGATTATCACTTAGCATTGCCAAAATTTGCTTGAGTTTTGTGGCCTGTAGAGGCAATGCTAATATGGACAATTTTTGATGCCCCCTTTTCCTATGCACCGTTTATACATGTCTGTCTATTTTGCTAAGACTTTCATTTTATCCCAGATGTCCTATCTTAGTAGAAGCTACCCTCTCATATTTTGAGAATTTGAGAGTCAAAGCTTTAATTAAGAAACCAAGTCCAAGTCACTCGCTGTCCCAATGTTAACCAAAGGATCAGATCTCACAGCAAACTCGGCTCTCGGCATAAAACTAACAACCCCGTTTAAGATTACAATGCCGAACGTCCTAGCGAACACCTTCCGCTTTCCTGTTTGCTTGTCGCTTTCTTTTACCCCTCAATTCTCCTAGATCGTCATCGTGGGGTAGCGTTTGAACGTGGGATCAACATAGCTGCCAACTTTTCCAACGCGTTCCAGGGAGTCATGCAAGTCCGGGCCTTTGGATAGATAGGACTCCGTAGAAGTAGAGTAGGTTGCAGAGTCGCAGGCAGAGCAACCGCAAAGGGTTGATGGGGTAGCTCCGCATCAACCCCCCGAGCTTTCCCTTGCTTCCTCCTTGCGGGATAGCCCTATATTTTCGGATTCACAGGTTTTGTAGATCAGTGAGTGAGTGGTCAACACAGCCAACAACCGACAACGAGATGGAATATTTATTTTACTACTATGAAATCCCGCTTCTTCAGACTGTTATGCACAGTTAAGGGTGTTAAACAGCTCACTAATTGGCCATTGCGCGTTCTTTTTATTTCACCCGTTGCAGGAGCTTCTATGGAGATGCGTGGAGAGGGGAGGAAAAAGTTCTAGAACGGGAGGTCAGTTACATGATGTCACTTCTTTAGTTTCCTACCAACTGACAACCAGCTGCATTGAGGGGGGGAAAATCATCGGAGAATTTTCTAGTTCGTTGGTTATCAGAGTCCCTTTCGCCCTCCTTTTGTGCGGGGATTTGCGTTTTCCCTTCCTTTATCCTGTTTTTAATTCTGTAGTTAGTAGTGGTTTTAATAATATTGATGTTGTTGGTTGGCCTGGTAAAATAAAAATATGCTGTGTTGCAGACGGTGCAGATGCATCCCATGAATTTATGTTATTGGAATGGTCAAACAGTTCCCTTGCATGAGGTAGATAACACGACATATTGTTCTATACGCAGAATATGGCGTTGGCCTACGTAGTATGGATGGGATGTAAATCTCAGAAGCAGAAGTGATAGTTATTATGTATAGACAAAAATGTCCATACTCATTTCTCATTCAAAACTTGCTCTGATTGATAATCATACTTAGTCTGCTGGAGTACGAATGGTGACAATCGGGGCAGAGCTTTTATCTTTATTTATTTATTTATTGTTTTTATTATTTAATTTTTTGCTCCCATCTTGACAGTCGCACCCACTTTTTTTTTTTTTTTTTTTTTTTTTTTTTTTTTTTTTTTTTTTTTTTTTTTTACCTATGCATGAACATATGCCACAGATGTGTCAACAGAAGTCAAAAAAAGTCATTACCATGGAATCTATCTCATGGCTGTTTTGTGTATGCACATGGACAACGCGTAGCCATGTTTTTAAAGAAAAAGAACGAAGCCCAAATCAAGCTTCTACTGTATGGCCGAAGAACCACAACGGCGGAGACACAAAGAAGAAGCAAAATACAATAAATACCAAAGGGGGCTTGAAAAAGCAAATACAAGGCTGTGTAACCCTGTCTGCTGCCTGGCGGGTTGGTATCATCGTGCATGGCCTGTCATGGGCTATGGAAGATACGTGCGGAGTGACACAAAACTATGGATGGATACCATACCTGACGACGGCCGTTGAACTATCAAGAGAGCCCTGTGCCCTCCCCGTGCAGTGGAGCTTGAGCCCTGAGGGCAAACATTCAGCTGTGAGGACGGGAGGCGGAGATGATTACAGTAGTTAAGCAAAGTGGAGGAGATGTTGATCGTCCAAGTGCGCTGCTGCGCGTATGCATGATTGTGTTGCTAGGAGGGGGAAAAGCGGGTGGCGTGGAAGGAGGATAAACAGAGCGAGGGGGAAAGGCTTGAGAGAAGAATAAAACTAACTAAGTTACCCGTCCGTCCTGCTTGAATAAATAAATGGGCAAAGCGCTGGATGTTTTTAATTAAACCTTGCTCAACGACCCGAATTTTTGTTTCAAGGAAGTCAGTCCTTTATTTATTACATTGGCTGAATGTCGTTGAATTTATCAAACAACATTTTGGGTTGTTGAGATATCTTTCAAGAAAAGAAGCTGCAGGCCCGGCTTGCAATGCATATCACAAGAGTCTTCTACAATGAAAAGATAATTGTATTTGCTTGAGGAATAGGTTCCAAACCTAACACTCCAACATGTATATATATATATATATATATATATTTATTTCCCTTGCTGACTAGAGATACAGGTGAAAAATATTTTGACAACAAAAACCAGCTTGGATGCATAGTTAAAAAGAGCTGTGGCAAAGGCATTCAGCTTGCTCAGCATTCATTCTTCTTCCTTTTCTTCCACCTCACAAAACCCAGCCACATCAAGCAGGTCAGAGTGAAGAATTGTCACCGCCGCTCCCTGCACAAGATTCACAGATCTGAAGATCTTTTGATGAGTTGGCTTTCTCTTGTCATTATTCTTAACGTGGTACTGGCGATCTAATGTCCTTGAGTTTGCGGTGAGTGGAAGCAGAAGAAGACAGATGTGGGGGGGGGGGGGGTTGCTATAGTCATTTCTCATATGGATGAGAGCTGAGATAGTTGTCTGGCATTCTTGCCCCTTTTTTAAACGTGGAATAGGAAGATACTGTATGTCATTATTATTTTTTGTTTCATTGTAGCCAGTCGGACATGTCAACAGTTGGTGGTGGTGGCGGTGGTATGTACTGTATATAGGTAGAAGCTATGTATTAATATCAAGGAACAGATGAGCTTTTCTCAATAATCCTGGGATTCATAGCATACATAGTACGGAGTAACCAAGGAGAGCTTTGAGGTGCCATTGCATTGCTGTGAGATAAATATTTTTTATGGAAATGCTTCTCGGACGTCATTGTAGACCAATCGAATGACAGATCGCAAATTCGAATTTTGGGACAGCGCTCCGATTCTCAGCTTCGTCTTTCCTGTTCTTCTTGAATCTTATTCGTCGCGGTTGTCATTGTTGCTCATGTTGAACACAAGGACGTGGGACAAAACTTGGAAATTGAAATGGAACTTTGTTCGGGTTTGTTTATCATCCTAGAAAACTCAATTGAACCGAGGTGTTGTCGAATTCATAGGTAAACTAATTATCCTAGAATATTGAATATTGCCATCTGTGACAAGGGCATTTCCGCACACTAACACCGGGATAAGTTGTCATGGATGAGGGATGGTCAGGGTTACTGTCAGCGGATGATCAAGAACGCCATACCATACCAGTCCAGTCCAGTCCCCATCGCGGAAAAGTCGACTTGCAACAGAGAGCAAAATGCCTTCGGGAAGAGGGAAAGAGAGACCCCTCAAAAACCAAAAAAAAAAAAAAAATACAACCTGTAAGTTGTGGGCGGGTGGCAACGTTACTGCTTGGGTGTTTAGGGGCTAATCCAAGACGAGCCAACACAAGCCACATGCCTCAGGGTCTTGACGTAGTTATCAGGGGGGGCGAATGATTTCTCTCCTGTGCTCGCTACTTCAGCGGCTCGACCCTAGACTATCAAGGCCAATAAATTGGAGAATAGAAATCACCCCCTTGTTATCCTGCCGCTTCGTCTTTAAATATCCGAGTAAAATAATTCCGCAGCTTGCGATACAACTTTAATAATGTACGTCTAGGTTCGACGGTTTCCCGTGGATGGAGGAGCGAGGATTTAAAGTTGCCAGTGATGATGCCATCATTTCATGGAAGCCAACGTGTTGCACGATAATAATATTATTCTTGGCCAGGCATGTTCAGCACCCACCAGAGGATCGAGTGGCTTCTGTAACTCCTGTCCAAGATCGGCCGTCATTGAATTGTGGACCGTTTTGGTGAGAATTTGTTTTTCTGCTTTGAGCAACATCAGTAGCGATGCAGATGTCACCACGAAAAAAGAAAGATTGAAATATAAAATAAATAGAATAATATTTTTTCTCTCTTCAACACCCCATTGGTATGTTTGTTCTCTTGCTTCCAACGACGAGACTGGTTCAGGATAATCCAACCAGCAAGATTTCCCGGTTTTTTTACTTTTCGTTTCGTCGAACCTAGAGGGCTGAGAACGGGTTGCGGAGGGAGGAAACAAAAAAGGAGCCCAGAAATTCCCCCGTCATCAAACCCAAGCAGACTTGGCCCCGGTGGCCCGGCTGTGTGTAGCGCGGCGTGTAGGCAAGCTGGTCGAGCGTGGTTGGCTATCTGTCTGCCATCTGGTAGGGGTTTAAGCGGAGACAAACCAGGCCCGTATAGCGCCGAACTCTGGCTGGCATCGATCGGCTTAGCCTGATTGTAACTACGCTGGAGCGGTGCGGCGGTGCGTTTATGAATAATAATTACTTCAACGACATCGAACTTGTTGTCGGCTCCCAACTCTCCAGCCCGTTTCCCCGTAGACGTAGAGGTTGATTCTTGTCTCCTGTCTTTCTTTTTTTTATCTCATTCAGCTTCCAATCCTCTCCCTCCCCCTCTACTCCTCGTCTCCTCTTTCAACCGTCAGTTTTTCCAGCTCTGTCGTTCGTTGCGTGCTGGCGTCAGCTAATACCTGACCTTTGTTGTCTTCTTGCATTTTCCAATTTTTCTCTTTGCTTCGTTTTATAAAGCTTCGTCTGTCTTTGTTTCGGGCTTGCTTCCTCAGCTAGACCACCACCCGATTTAGGTTCTGGTGTCTTGGTCCGTAACCTTCAAGGCGAACCATGCTGGCCTGCCATTGATATCACAGGTGCTCTCTCTGTCTGTGGACCCCGGACATCAAGAGGTACGTGTGTATCGCTTTTTTTGTTTTTTTGTTTTTTTTTCGTTTTTGCAAAAGCCAGCTCTTTTTTGCTTGTCATTCCAATTCAGTTCTCTCAAGGGTCCATTGTGTGTTTGTCTGTGTGTTGTGGGTGGGTGGGTGGGTGGTGAACCATTCCCATTCTTGTGTGTTGAATAGTTATGGATAGGACGTGACATAATTTTGTGCCTCAGTTGCGTCCATTTTCACTCCTGTGAGAATTGATGACTGAGCGTACTTGATATATGTTATGCCAACATCCACTACACCGCCGTCGATTGCTCTGACACCGTGTTTCCTGTTTCCTGTTTCTTGTTTCCTGCTTACTGACTTTTTAAGAGTCCACCAACGCTTGTCTTGTCATCCATTCACCCCTCCTGTTTAACCCAATTACGGTCTCCTTTGAACTACTGTGGCTCAGAGGAAGCCCTGGCCTGTGTATTTGTTTCGAGTTTCTTTCCTCTGCGGCTGATTGTTCTCCCTCGGCCTCTGGGCCTTTCAATATCCTGCCATTTTATGCTTGAACCCGGTGCTAACATCCACGTTGTGTTTATAGAATAGTTCCCTAGGGCCGAGAAAGGGTGTTTCCCTTTCGACGGTCCAGTTCAATAGCCATGGCGGTACTCTCTGGTTTCGTCGTCCCTTATATACTCGCCCTTCTCTATCTTATTCCAGTCGCTCTATCGTTTGACCTCTGCTCTTCTACAAATACCGGATCTAAGTTCGACTCGGGTACGTGCCAGCTATTTTGTGGACGTCCTTATTTCGAACATTTGATATAGAAACATCAGATTGACTTTGGTTTTCAAACTAGTACTCGACCTATTTCAATCAGACGGAGCCTGCACGAAAACCTGCTCGAGAAAATATTCTGTTGCAATTCTACAGGGCAAATTTTGTTGGTGTTCCGACAACGTGCCTGGTGGCACTATCGATAATAACGCGTGCAGCGAACCATGTCCTGGGTACCCGTCAGACAAGTGCGGTAATTCTCAAGAGGGTCTATACGCATATATACTGCTTAAGAAGCCCTCTCAAACCATCGGCTCGATAACTAAAACCCCGATGTCGGTCAGTAGAAAAAAATTTTTTTTTTTTTTTCTTGAGTCCTAGACCGTTTTCCATTATCCCCCGGTTATCTCTCTCTCTCTCTCCTTTTTTTAAAAATTTTATTTTTATTTTATTTTATTATTATCTTTCATTCAAAATCAAACTTGGAATGATGAGCGCATGATCCCTAAATCTTCCATGAATCTACACCTTTTCTCATCCATTTTGACCGTTAATACCCAGGCTACATCTCAAATTGAAATTACGACGGTCACTGAGACGCAGCATGAAATGACCACTTTATCTTCTGTACGGAAACCTATATGTTTTCCAAGCATTGTTGTATCTTTTATGGACTTTTTATGCTTGTCGGGTGATTCAGCCCTGGCTGATTATCAAATACTCATCATGCACGTACTAACCTTATTACAATGTTTCTTCTTTAATATAGACCCAAACGCCAACATCAACATCAACATCTGGCACGAGCTCGAGCCAATCCGCCGACTCTATAGCAAGCGTTACACCGACAGAACCTCCCGGCCAAAACGATGAAGCCACATCTAGTTCATCCTTAAGCGGCGGAGCGATCGCGGGCATTGTTGTTGGTACATTGCTGGGCATTGGCGTCATAGTTTCCGCGATATTATGGCTCTTCTATATTCGTCGACGTCGGGAAAGGGAAGACTCGAAGGTTGGTATGAACGGCTATGACCACCCGGCGTCGTCTCCAAGCTTCCACACCTCCATCCAGAGTCCAGCTATGACCTACCAAAGAAGCCCGTCCATGAATGGACCAATGGGTATGCACGATCGAAATCTACTCGGCGTATCGGGATTTACGGATAGTCGCATGAAAAAGGACGCCGCTATTTATCCGAATGGAAATCGTCAGAGCAATGTTTCTCTACAGGACAATCAGGATTACTCAAGACCTGTATTAAGAGTATGTATATCCCCTGAAAAAGGAAGTTTATTGAGCATTGTAAAGCTAACTATGTCATCCCCCCAGTTAACCAACCCGGACCCATAACACCCAACCACACCCTCACTCCACCAAAACCCCCCTTTCTCGCTCACAAAACACACCGCTGCATATATTTTCTACGGCCCCATATGAAATACCGGACTCCTTTGTTCATGATACCCTTTCTCATTAATTGCATCGTAATTGTCATTCCCACCATAAACCCTTAACGGAAACCTACCTACCCATCGAAATCCTCCACCCATCCCCGAAATCCGAAATCCGGCTATACCGAACCAATCTGAAATAAATAAAATCCACAGCGGGCAATCCCATTTTCCCCATAGAAAAAAAATAAAAAAAATGGTTTAGCTTAGTGGAACAAGATGAAACGAATTTCTTTTCTAAACAAGTCCAAACCAGAGATAGAATATTCTCCTTTTCTTCTCTAACCATTCGCCACCTTCTGTCTCTCTTATCTCTTTTCCCTTTGTCTCCTTCATTGTATCCGCTTGTATCCGTCCCTATTATATTTTACTATATCATCCCCCCAACCATAAAACGGGAGAGGGCGTACGTTTTTTGCTCATAAATCTGTGCCTTGTTCTATTTTCTTTGCTGTTCCCATATTGTAGGAACTTTGTATGTACCTGAATTAAAAAGGAGCACGGCATGGAAATGGAAGGACTTTTTTTTCTTTCTTCTCTCGTCTTTGTCCTCTCGTGCTTTCTTCCTGCGCCACTACTACTACTACCTCCCCCATATTTCAGCCACGATTTAACACATACCAAAACCAAACATACACATGCACATTGTACCAATACATAAAGCACAAACAGCAGATAGCAGAAAGCAGAAGCATATATTATATATTGTATTTTACCCCATTTTTTAGAGTCTTTCCCTTCCGTTGGCCAAATCAGCTTCACGTTTTTGTTTTTCAATGGGGGATTTTCTACCCCCTTCAAACTTTAAAGCCCCTTTTTCTGTCATCCACTAGCCAACCCGCCGCGCCGATTCTTATCCGCGCGATTGAGCATCGTGATATGATATCTGATGGGGTATTGACTGATAATCAAATCTATTCAGAGATTGTGTGAATTCCCCAGACGCATTTTCATTTCATTTTTTTCTTACGCCCTGCTTTCTTCTTCAAGAAGGGATGAAGAGGGGAGGGGTTGGGTTGGTCTGATGGTTAGAAGATAAGTTTCTGACTCCCCCCCCGTCTGCTCGATATTGATATTGCTTTGTATAGAAGGTTAATTCATTCCAATTTGTACGTACATGTACATGTACAGTGCAAAAGAGTTGCTAGTACTTGTGTGATTAGTATTATGTGTCCATCTTAAATTGATTATCCGGCGTAATACAAACGCCTATATTATATATATATCTGGCTTAATTTATCACTTTCCTTGACTTGACCCCTTTTATTTCAGGGGGAACTAAAAGGTAACAAACAATAACCAAATTAACATAGAGATTTCTGCCCATATTCGAAAGCCTGCTTTTCTTTGAATAATTTCCCTTCGCTATCAAGGGAGACAGAGAGGGCCTTACGTTGTGCATGCTGCATCTATCTCATCTAGCAGTGGGTCGTCTTTTACTCTTTTCTTGCATTTATATGATGTCTGTAGGTGATTCCGGCTGGTTCGCTCCCTAGTGTAATAGTTTTAATTGCTATCCATCATGGTCACCATACGCTTGAGGTTCAGCTCGAGAACTAAATTTTGAATGCGAAATTGAACCTTCAAAAAAAGGCGTTTTTTACTACCGTGGCGTGGGAGGTCCCATTCCCTGCGATTTCCGAACGGGGAGATCTCGATGAAGGGAAATACTTGTGAAAAAGGCGCCTTCGTCACTTCATCAAATACATAATAATATTCCATATCTGGGTATCCATCCAGCTTTGCTTTTGCGTCGTTCCATCAAGAAACACGGCTACATAAAGCAAGAGTTACTTGACGCGCATAACTATAGTCCCAAAAAAAAAGAGAAATTAATAAACAGCATGTACAAATAGGTCCCCTAGATACAAATAGATAATCATGCAGGACTCGTCGGCTCCCACGGCAGCAGAACCTTGTTGTTCGCAGGTGCTCTCCGCTGCGTATCCCTCTCCATATTCTGCGAGTTCACCCGCACCTCCATCGTCTTCAGGATTCCCCTGGAGTTATGACTCCGCTCACCACTACCACCTCGATCGCCCCTACTCACGTCATCCGACGCACCTTTTATAATAGCCTCTTCGCTCCCGTCGTCGCTCCTGCGCCCGTTAGGCGGTGACGTCCGTGTCCAGCCGTCCGTCACGGTTGTTGTCGTAAAATCATCCATGGTGTACGTGAGCAAGTCACTCTCTTTGTGCTTCTTGAATGCATGTCCACTTCCACCGGCGCCACTTGCTCCCTGGTGGAAATAGCGACGACTGTGAGAGCCGGATGGTCTGTAGCCGGGTGACGAACCGGGCCGTCTTCCAGAGGGTGTGCGGCCGGTAGCGGCGGTGAATAGGGGTCCCAGAGTTGGAATACAAGCGGCGATTATAATTAGGTATTGCTCTGTTGAGATCCAGGTTGTTAGGTTTATTGTTTCAAAGGTGTAGTCTGCGCGGGCGACCAGTTCTGCCAAAAAGATGGTTTTGACAATGGCCGCAGCAGTAGCACTGATTGTACCCCACGGTTGGTTGTTGATTAGCATTGGAAGTTTTGTGAATTGAGTGGATATAATAGAAACTAGAAAAGTAAAAGTAAAATAAAAGATGAACTTACACAATTCCCAGGGCAAGAACACATGTGAGACCAATCTTCACTTTTCGAGCCATCTGGAGCTGCCATATGATGAAAACAGGGTATAGAGCGAGAACTAAATCAGATGCGGCAGAGAAGGCTGATTTGGAAATGAAATTCGATGTTAGCCTAACTATTTCATAGCTAATTGACGGAGGGGGAATGTGTGAGATAAGCGGAAGTTTTTTTTTATACATACAACCCTGGAAAAATGCATAATCCCTCTGGATGTTTGGATGCCAACATGAGCCTTTCTTTCCGGGGCCAGTGCCATTCCAGAGAGCAGTAGTCGGTGTGCATTGACCATAAATAGTGTACACACAGACAGAGTTGACTACAGTCAATAGGACCATACCACCGAAGAAGATATATCTTTGCCTTTTTGCTCTATCGACGATTCGAAGGAGGAAAAACCCAATGGAGACTTTGCCCCAGTTCGTCGACATAACATGAAAGCCCTGAGAGATCCAGTTGAATTTGTTCGCTTGAACCTTTTGGTGGTCGTTTAGGTAGTAAACATGACGGCCGGTGCCATAATGGATACATATCGTGACACAAACGGTGTTCACAAGTGCGCATGCCTGTGGGAAAACAGTTAGATACCATAATGGTTGATTGTCTACCCAAGGACAAGGAGGGAAAAGAAGTTCGTACCATTGCAAGGCACATAAAGGCATCGTCCCATCCCCACCGTTTTATCAAACGAGTTCTTGTTATGACTCTTGCCAGGACTAGAACGAGCGCAACACTACATTCGGCCCATGTTATGGCATTGAGCATCGGCCCTTTGTTGACGTCTCCATCTGGAGGAGGTGGTCCTCGATCGTCCATAGCAGCGTCGTCTTCTTCTACCACCTGTCTAGTTAAGCACCAGCTCTGCTAAACGCCATCGAAGCAAACGTGGCAGTGAGGAAGCAGAGGGAGGGAGAATGAGATCTATAAGGTGCATCCACAACAAAGTCATCAATATGATCTCCAACGGGATGGTTTAAATTAGATGGCCACGCCAAGATGGAAAATAAAGAGAAATATTTACTGGCAAACCAGGAAGAGCGAGTACGATTTACCGTGGACCCATCAGGCAGGGTAGATGAGCCGATATCAACGACTAGGCCTCCCAGCAAAATGTTTGCAGGTGTTTTTATTTTTCACCCCTCCCTCTTCATATCTTTGCTTATGGCTTGGGAGGGAATGTACTGCGTAAAGTCCAAGGAAAGGTAACCTGGCTGGAGAACCCCGGCAAGGTAGGAATTGCGCTGAGTGCATCCGCGCCATTGCAGCCACAAATATGGATGGGCTTCCAGGCGTTGACTCAGGAAAGCGAGGCGACCATCCTTGAGAGCAGTTGAACTAGCTGCATTCTTTGCATGCATTGGAAGCGACAACAAGACTATCAGCCCGCCGTCCAATAGAGATGGCGCTCTGGGCGGCCGGGATTAAATCCCTCTAGCGAGATGGCAACCGGTATTTGCGGCAAAATTTCTCCAGGAGTTGGAACTTTCAATAAATACTCCGTACTCCGTACAACTAAAGGAGGATAGGATAGAGGGCATCGCAATCAAAACCATGGAAATTTGGCGAGCCTGCTGAGAGGAGAGGCCTTCATGTTTCAGACTGCACATACATTCCCCTCCTTGCACTAATGCTGCTCAAACTAGGCATCTTGCCAGGATGCAAAATCTGCCGATAACGGAGTACATGTAGTTGAAGATGCACCTCCGTGCGATCCCAAGCTCAATTTGAAATGTTACCGGAATCGAGTAACTCCTTTCCAAGAGATGAGCTCAATGTTTGGAACCTCCCAGGCCTAGGATACAGGCATGGAGGAGGTCGAAAGGCCCCGAAAGCACTCCCAAAGCATTTGGCGATTACAGCGAAACGCTTTATAGATTACCTGTAGCAGCTGTGAAAACTGCAAGGGCTTTCCACACCAGTCTCCATACTTACAGCAGCCTATACGCAGCGTACTCCGTACTGTGGTGACATTGTTGAGTCAAATGGATTTTTGAATGTCTCAGTGTACGATGCTTAATTCCATAATACTCATGATATAGACACACACTAATTACACTAGTCCTAATGTAATTAGTGTATTACTATATATGGTTGAGTCGGTCTTGGCTTTCAGACTTGTGAGCTCCGCCCCCACACGTACGTCTCTCAACAATTCTCAAGACCCCCAATTGTGCCTGGTTTCCAGACGAGGGGATAGATTCCGGGTATCATACAGCATAGAGCCCCTATGGGATAGAGACCTTAGGTAAGAACTCACAAATGTCACTATCCCCTCGTCTGGGAGCTAGGATACACTTAGCGTATTTTTCTGCCACCCAAATTTATGACCGTGTTTATTGGCTGGAAACCGCTAATTCAACTTGCCTACTGGCGATATACAAGGCGGTAAGGCAATGTATCACCCAGACGAGGGGATAGGCTGCCGTAAGACTTCAGTGTCCCGGGGCTAAATGACACTTAGTTTGAAGCTAAAGCAAACCGCTGGACTAGTGCCACTTATATGTGCTGGTGACACTGGTGCACATCATCCCCCCGCGTCCACAAAATCGGGCCAGAGATACGAGTCCTGAATCCTGATAGGGGAACATGCGCGCCATGTTTTTCTTTTCTTTTCGCCCTGCAACGTGCGTTAAGCGAGTAGGAACTTGCCGACGCGTTAGAAACTCGATCTCAGATCTCGATTCTATTCGCAAGAAAGGAATGATCTTCATTGATATTCACAGTTTGAACATGATATTGTCAGCTCGTAGCGTATTCAAGATTATGCCACGTCTGGCTGTGGCAATATGAAACCAAGGCATTTGGGTGCCGTATATCCTGGGATGATTTGGCTATGCAACGCTGCAGACGGGGCTGGTTGGTAAGTCTGCGAGGAACTCCCAGTCCGACAATAACAATAGTTTTCGGGAAGAATTTTCACATGGATTGTGCAGTATTCCAACAGCATGATTTGACAGGGGAGCGCGGCTGCCGTGCAAGGTACGAAATTTTCTGTTTCTTCTGCTCTTCTCGGTTTTGATGTTTAACCACCAAGGACCCCAGCCATATAATTTAACCTGAATGATTGCATTTCACATTCAGTCGTTTTCGGCTTCGAAGAACGCCGTTCGACTTTTTGGGACGAGGCGCTGGGACTGAAGAAGCGTTCAACAACTGGGTATCTTCGCTGACGATTCTGTAGAATTCAATGACCATGGTGCTTATTCGATTCCCAAAAGATTATAACTGGCATAGTTAAAATCCACTGCTTGATCAGAAGTCGGGTCGGAAAAACGGCAGGAGAACTGTGTTTTCCTTAGTTCACTTGTATCTTTCTTTTATCCGTCCAATAATCGGCCGTCGACACCATGCTGCTTCTTTTTTTATTTTGTCGACTCTGTTTGGCTACCTCAAAAGAAAAAAAAAGATTTCATTTTGGTCATAGGCTCACAGGGTAGATTTCGGAAGTTTCCGCTTGTCTTCGTTCTGTGGCTCCTGTTATCCTTGGATCACATACATACGCACTACACAGTAGATCATCGATCAACAAGTTTGCGAATCTCCCCAAAGCTTGGATCCTTGAGCAGACAAGGAACACTGAAACTGGAACCGCATTTGATCCGACCTGTGCTCTCTCATTTCACTACAAAGTGTACGGAGTAAGCAACATTTGAAAAATAACCGCCCAATTAAACAAAATTTGTGGCATGAACCGGTTGGAATGAGAGGCCATTAATGCCCGTGCTGTGCACATGGGCAATCGGAAATAAAAGTTGATTCTCCGCGCTTTGTCGGAGAAATTTTAGGCTTCTAGCAAATGCTAAAGTATGAGCTGTTGGCTGGTCGCTGGAGTATCCCGTCTGTCATGGACAATGTTAGCAAGGACATAATCAAGCAAAGAATAGCTGGCTGCGGGTTCAACCTCCCCTCACCATATAAATTGAGATGCTGTTCCCTAGCTCAAGGAAATTAGCTGAAAGCGCTAGATTCTTTAGGCATGAAAGAAAACGCATACCATGAGTAAGCGTTTAGGAATATAAATTCCTTTGTGGTCTTTTAGTAGTGCCTTGGCACGTCACAAAAATGCCCAGAGACACACACACACTCTAGCTGAGTAGCCTGAGCTGGGCCCACTGGCTGGCGGTTTGTTTCTCTCATATTGAATAAATAGTGGGAAATGGGGATAGATGTTCGCGTTATCGCGTAAGGCGCTTGTGTTGATGATCGTCAAGTCGCCCAAGATAGGCGCGCTTGGCTTCGATATGGGTAAAAAGAGTTCCGCGGATCTCGGTTCTATCGAACCAGGACCCGTGGCCCAATTGGCAAGGCGTTTGACTACGATTAAACACACCTTCACATCAAAAGATTGTGGGTTCGAATCCCACCGGGTTCATCTTTTGTCCTCCTTTTATCCTTTTTTTGTAAAATTACATTTTCATGAGCTTTTTCTTATTTCTTATAAGCATGTTTTTTGAGATGCATTTGATCAGACTTTCCAACCAAAAGTATATATCTATTTCAAATAGCAGTGATTGATTGATTTAACTGGAATGAAAGAATGTCATGTGATTTTTTAAAATGATTAACTACGTCATAGGACTCAGCAACAAAAATTTTTGAGCGCCGGACCATCATAGAGGCATCAGCCGCATCACAAGCTTTTAAAAGAAAAGTGAAAGAGTCACAATATTCTAGGGATCAGAAAAATATATTTTACTACTTTATTACTTTGTTTCAAATCCATTTTACCCAGTATCATGACTCAATGGTTATAAAATGAGGTATTTTTCTTCCACCAGAATAAGCTCCCTCGCGACAATGAACTACTCTCATCAGGCATATAGAACAACCATTTCTATGACGCAGCAAAAAGTTATGAACCCGGTGGGATTCGAACCCACAATCTTTTGATGAGAAGGTGTGTTTAATCGTAGTCAAACGCCTTGCCAATTGGGCCACGGGTCCTGGGTCGATGGTACGGATTTGAGTAGCTTGCGATTGTGTACTCCGTAGGCGGGTGTGGTGTGGAAAGAAGGGGAAAAAGCCTTACGAAAAAAGTTGATTGCCGATATCGGGAGATAGGAACCGACGAAAAAAAAAAATAAAAATAAAAAAAAAAAATAAAAGAAGGGTTGTTCAGATTGAACCCGGTGGGATTCGAACCCACAATCTTTTGATGATCAAGGTATGTTTAAATCGTAGTCAAACGCCTTGCCAATTGGGCCACGGGTCCCGCTTCACAGTGGCGAGAGTGCTCGTCAATTGTTACAAAAAAGATAACTTTTCTAGACGCAAAATACCAATATCACATCAATCTATATCGATTTTTACTATAAATGTACGGCGCTCCTTGGGGCCTCTCTAGCACAAATGGCAGCTCAATTTCCCGCAAGAGGCGGGAAATCCCTTCAAACCCCCCTTTTCACCTGAGGATCAAATAAATCCATATATATTTTGATCCATCCAGACCCCCAGACCAGGCCCACTCCTCCAGGGGTATCCTTACCACTGCGATTTGGCCAATTGCAACCGCATAGGAGTATGCAACTAGTCCAGCGCGTGATTTTACACTGAGGTAACCTGGAAAAAGCTAATTTCAGTAGCGCTGCATGCTCAGCTTTCCGCTCCAATTTCACGTTTCTGTGTCAAGCCAGTGTCGGTAACAAAACCAATCGGCGAGTTTTAGCAAATCAACTACAAAAGCTCCCGTTGACACTTCTTAAAACTTCTGGGGTGTTCTCTGACATCCACCGAGAATAGCCAGCCACGGACAGAGTGGGTGGCCGAACGGAATTTGCTTCCCGAGATGGCGAGATCCCGAATGACTGGGATGAATAACCAGGGTGGTTATTACTTTCCATGGACCATGAGCTTCCGGGTTGTTCTAGATGAAAAGAGGGGCTTGTGCTGGCTGCGAGTTTTGCGCTCAAAGTGGCTGTTAGCAGCGACGGGGTTACTCCACAACTGTACAGCGCCTGCAAGATACCCCTGTTTCCTGCCAGGACGAGGGAGTTGTGCGGGAAATACGAAAACACGAACGTGGTTCTTGTACCTTCTTCCTCCACTCATACCAGGTTGGCCGGCTTTGAGCGAGACTCTGGTAAAGAACTCTACAAATTTGATGGTAAAGATAGCCAACTCCTTGTCGCTGTAGTGCGGTAAATGGAGGGGAACCCCCGGCTCCCTGTTCAAAAAATGCATGAAGGGACTATATATGTCAATTGCATGCTCGTAGCCTCTGCAGAATACCAATTTATATAAAGCTCCCGAGCAGACGAAAAGAAAGGATATAAAACCAGCAAATGAACCGCGCCCAATTAACCTTCAGCTTTTCTTTCGGCGATTTGCTTAAGCTGACACACGAACGCTCTCTGTTTAGACTGTCTTAAACTTCGCAGGGCCGGCCCAAAGTCTCATTCGCTTCCCGTAAATCTGTAATCCTAAAACCATCAAAAACGCAAAGCCGCAAATGCCCGTCATCGTCCCGAACTGACGAATGGTGCCCTGTTCATTCGCCCATCGAACCATGAAATAGCTGACAACAAACCCACCAGTCGTACGCCCGAAATTGATCCACGCAGCCACTTCTCCACTGGCTTCGGGGTAGCTGTCTAGCACATAGGCATTGACTGCAACAGTCGTGATCATAATTCCGAATACATACAGACCCCATCCTAGCGAAGCTAGCATATAGTGATACTCCCTCTCTAGTGCGAAGCCGAGCAGGATCAATCCCGCGCACATGAAGGGGGTCGCTATCCAGGTTGCTATGTATCTGGCTTCGGGCTCCAGACGGCCATTGTTGCGCCGTGCGGCCAATCTAGCAATGATGTCATGCAGCCAGTGGCCCGCGATTTCACCGAGGATGGCGCCAGTGACGGGAGTAAAGTAGAAGAACCCTTTTTATAGAGTGTTTGGTTAGGGATAAAAACACATTATAGGAGGATGGACTGAGTTGTCTACTGACCAATCTGTTTAGGTCCAAAGCCGTAAAGGGGACCAAGGAAAATGGAGAGAGTAGTGTTAATGCCAACAACCCAGGCGAATGTCAATAGATAATACATCATGGAAATGAAGACGGGTGGTTTGCAGATGATGATAAGCGGACGCATGCAGGCATCTTTGAACGTATTGCGCAAATGGCGTGAATGCCACTGCTCGATTCCAACCATTCGCTTCCACTTTGGTCCGCGATGTGGCTGCTGAGATTCGGGGATCTTGCGATCATAGTATGTCTCGTCGATGTAGAAGACGATGAGGACTAAGCACAAAGCTGTCATTATCGAGTAAACGCCGAAGGCCCATTGCCATATCTGTGTGTTGATGATAAAGGCTGTGAAGAGCGGGCCGAGATACGGAGAGACAATGATGAAGCTGGACCAGATATTGATTTTTCGCGCATGTTCATGGAAGAAAAAGAGGTCTTTGATGAACATGAGACCACCCTGGAAACATCGCTTTTTAGCTATCTGGACTTCAAGGAATGAATGCTGCTTGCGATAGGAATTGAACTAACCCCTTGAGCCACAGTGGAAAAAAAGCCATTGAGAATCCTAGCAGCCTACACAGCGCAAAATTGTTAGATATGGACACCATTCCAGTTTCCATTGGCTATAGATTGACATACCATGAAGGATTCAAATGTCTGGGCCGCTGTGCACCAAACAGCAGTCGCAGTCGCAATGACCGCAAACCAGAAAAAGACGGGGTACCGGCCGAAGTACGCCGCCAAAGCCACGACGAATACACCTCCGGCACCCAACATGAAGACATTTCCGACCTGTGAATGGTTTACCTCGTCTGGGGTCATATTCCAGATCCTAGATTTTTATACGGAATTAGGCTATTTGTTTCTAAAAGTTTGACTATTGAGATGTTATATCTTACACAGCCTGCGGAAGCAGTGTCACGGCTCCCGTTGCGCTTCCATAATCAGGAAGGAATGCGGTCATGGATATAACGATGAGAATGAGGTGTTTCCTCCCCCATGACCAGTTGAGGGGATCCAATGGAGATGTCGATGGTTGGGGGATGAGGATTGTACGGCCATCTTGAGCGGTCTTCAGATCTCCCGCTTGCGCGTGGGATGTGTCAAAAAGATAGCCTTCCTTTCCAGCAGCAGCTTCAAGATTGTCAATTGCATTGCTAGAACCGCCAACAGCTATTTTGTCCTGGTCAGAGCTGCCGGAGGACGACTGTCTGGAGCTATCCTGACCAGCCATTGTTGTCTATTCACACTTTTTTCTCGTTAGAGGAACAATGAAAGAAGGGAAAATGCACCATTCAAAAAGAGGTGGTAAACGAGTGACGAGGAAAAAATTAAAATAGAGAAAATAAAAAGGAAAATAAGAAAAAAGAGGGGAAGGCGAAGACCAAAAAAAAGAAAAGAGAGAAGAATAAAAACTCGAGCTCATAGTACCAACATTTACACGCTGCGGATTAGAATCCCGCATTATTCCTAGAATCAACAGACGCCGCCACTACATGCTGACGGACGAGGAGACAAGGGATGCTGTCACAAACGAACCCAAGGGTCATTATTGTCTTCTCTTGACAAGGTCAATTGGCAAGGTACGGAGTACGGAGTATTGCCTTGAAAGTTGAAGCTCCGAAGTTCCATGCCTCTAACAACCTAGTTGCATATGCGAACTGGACAACCAGAGCATATAATCCTTCGCCTAGCAAATGGCAAAGACCTAAGACAAGAGGGGTGAGAATCCCAGGTTCGTTTAGATTGCAGCAGAGCAGATCGGGTTAATTGCGTCCGCTAAGTTCCACACGGGCCAATGGAGGGATTCTGCAGGTCTTTGGATGCCTGTCATTGCTTCGCTTAAGTATTGCATGCCGCTCGGGGGAGGTTGAATTCAAGAAATGGTGTTATTTTAGGGTTGCGGCGTAGTTACACCCGGAGTCTCCGCTCCAGGGCTAAGGAAATAATATTCGCACTTTTTTTCGAGAAGAACGAAAAGATAGACGCGGCACAGACGGCATATTTGGCTCGGCCTTTCGTTTATTTAAACTTAGCGCATCCTGCACGATCTGAGGGCCTGATGGGGTGCTCTCCCGCTGAGGCTTCAAGTGTGCGCTAAAGAGCGAGCTAACCCAGGGAACTTCAGGAACAACTCCGCTGTCCCCGGTCGACCTTTGGCCTAGCACGTATTAGCTGTATTACTATCTTGTTGCCATGGGGCCGCAAATTTCGACCGGTTTTGGAATCTCTCACTCTTAGCCTCTTGAGGAATTCCTGGCGCATCATGGCGGATTTGGGGAACTAACCCTTGATTCGCCATCATCCACAGCGGGGGTCGGTGAACTAGCTATTTCAGTCAATTTTTGAATTTAAACTCGTTCATTGCTCAAAGGAGAGAAATAGATACTCCACATGGAGTATTCTTAACCGATATAGAGCCTGGTTGGCTATGACTTGCATCTCAATATGCGGGAGAAGAAAATCGGTAAAAATTAGGTACGTACAGTACATACATAGAAGAAGCGAATCGGACCGACCTCGCTACTCCTTCGCATGATCCTAGCGTTCGGGAAGATATCCATTTCGCCAGGAAAGTCCCTTTGACATGGAAATGTATGGTGGCTGATAGAGGATCAACCTTGATCAAACCATTTCTCGCATGGCAACAGGGGATGTTTTTGAGTACCCTGGGATTTCTGGTATCCGTTACACTGTCATTATATAGTCGAAGTCTTACGCTGTATACAAAGGGATCCCGTTGGGCAATAGCCTTCTGTCTAGAATTTAGGTTACTCGTCTATTCTGCCAAAGCAATTCCTGGCCTCACCTACTCATTCCGCATGAGCCTATCTATTTTGTGGGTGTTAAGGAGGCGGGCGCTGACTCTGAGAGAATTACGGTGAGACGAGTAACGGCATATAGTAGCCTGTAATGGAGGTCGAGCAAACAGGACGAAACTCAATATCATCGGGAGATCTATACTGCGGGATATCATGGGGCTCATGCTTTGGGTAGCTAGGAACCATATAGGGAACCATTCGCTCATACGGAAGGAGAATCGCCATTCGTGACACGACTCCCAGACCGGTTCGGCATAATTCCGCATCGACAAATCGGAATAGAGTGCGGAGCGGCAGCGAAGGTGAAAGAACCTCGCTCCAAAATAAATAGAGCTGTGATAGGTCCAACTAATGGCACAGAAGTTGTAGAGCTTTCCCCATGCCAGCTGAAATGCCCATGCGGTGAGTGGGTACGAACTAGCACATCCCCAAGTGCACGGAAATTGCCTGTAATTCCTGGAGATGACGGGTGCGATACCATACCCGTATCGCCAAGGGCGTTTAGGAAGAGCAATAGATGTAGGGTAAGCACAATGAGACTGAGGTTTGAATAAATAGGCTAGGATATTGCGCTTCGTCTTCGTTATCTCCTTCTGGGTTTTCGTCAGCGCTGCTAGCATGCTCCTGGAAAACGCATTGCTCTGGAACAAGAAATTCTCTGTGGTTCCATGCATACGGTTCGCTACGTACTACGTATAACACTTCGAAGTTTGGAAGTCAAGGGAGGAGCTCCTTCAATATTCCCTGGCGGTGCCAGGGTGCACGGTATGGTATGGAGAGTCAGACATGTCAGCAGCCACTGGAACACTAACAGTTTCCAGAGTAGAAGACTTGCGCACATGTGGCTATGAGAACTCAATCCTACTATACGGAGTATAGTAAGCGTATATATTTGGACCTGGGAGGATGTCACCTCGCTTACCAGAAGGGTAGCCTTGTGATGGGTCTTCAAGATTTGAGGTAAAAGGAAAACGAAATTGGAAACGGTGATAGGAGCCCTGTAACTGCTGGCTTTAGTTAAAGTGATATACAAGTGGAGGGTACTCCGTAAACGCCATTGCGATGATTTATATAGGCTTCATCAACCGGAAAAAGGAGTTCAGCAGGTGTATGTTGATTCTCAAAGGATATGAGTAAGGCTGCTAATTGCATGGTGGACCTCTCACTGTGAAATGGCAGCGATTATCAGTAGAGAAAAGCTGAAGAAAGAGTCGAAAAGAGAGCAGCAACGAGTCCATGTAACTACTGTACTTGCTCGGGAGGGGGGATTTTTGCCATTTGAAATGTAATATCCATGGATTTCAAGACATCTATCCGACGACAAATGAACCACATTCGTTGCTTTGTGCCAGTTGCTTATCTCGAACAACCACTTCCTGCTTCTTGCTGCATATATATATATGCATCCGCCGGCGGGGTACAAGAGTCCGGTTGCGGATTACCATGCAAGTAAACAGACAATGGGGACGCCCCCAATCCACGCAGGCAGGTTTGATTTCGTTTGTCAAACCACACACTTTTGAAGAAGAGCCCGGGATTTTGAATGTTGAATTCACATCCATTGACTGATTGACTGACTGATTGATTGATTGATTGTATGGATGTGTGATATGTCGAGCGGCTTTTCCTGGTAGCTATTTCAGGCGGAGTGCTTGGGGTTTGGAAGCATAATTATGTATACTCCGTAGCAAGTTACATGTTTAGATCACCTAGACAACCCCTGAATCTGGCTGCTAGGCGCTTAAAGTCGCTAACACATCCAATTCTGCTGGCGAGTTCCTTTGTTTTGCTTTTCCTCCTCTCCTCACATTCTATTCCTAATCACATTGAGTGCCAGTGTCTTGCTTTGTTTGGCTGACATCTCTCTCACAATGGCAGTCCTCTCGGATTTGCTCCCTTCTTCCCGGGACTTGCGAGTCTTGCCTCTGTTTGCTGCCCCGCTTCCCCGCGTCTCCCCAAAATTCGAGCCAAACGTGCACGGCCAATCTGATATAGGAGGTGACAGAGTGGAAAAATATGAAGTCGTTATCTCTGGGGTATGTGCCTGGAATAACATCTAGTTACCCTTCCCATTATTATATCGTAGTTGGGGATGGCCGTATTTATAGAGTTTCTATATGTTTGTGCGGGCAATCAAGAGTTCAAGGGGTCAAGCCCAGATCATGTGTAACCAACGATTGTTGGGTGTATTGCAATTTATACGAGTGTTTCAGCATGGAGATTTCTTTTTTAGGCATTATATTTCTCCGAAATCTGACAGATTGTGAATCGCTGTAGGCGGGCCCTGCAGGCTTGATGCTTGAGCTATTGCTGGCGCGTTACGGCCTGTCAGACTCATCCCTCCTCTGCTTGGATCCTAAACTGAGTTCTCTGAAGTCTGGTCAGGCAGATGGCCTTCAGCCCCGTACTCTCGAGGTACTTAAGAGCTTGGGACTGGCCGACGAGATCCTCACAGAAGGCTGTCAGATGTGGCAAGTTGCCTTTTGGAATCCTACTGCGGATCCTGAATTGGTAGCTAAGGGGCGACTGATCGAGAGAACTTCGATTGTTCCTGATATATGTGTTCCGGCTCGTTTTCCCCATGAAGTTACTATTCAGCAAGGTCGCATCGAGCGCATATTTGAAGATAATCTGCTTAAGTATTCGAAACGTGGAGTCCTGAGATCTAGCACTCTGGTGGATGTGAAGATAGATGAAGAAGAGGATCCCGAGTTTCCTGTTATTGCGCAAATTGACGTGGCCGGCGTACGGCGCATTATTCGTACAAAACATCTCGTCGGGGCAGATGGCGCACGCTCTACGGTTCGTAGTTGCATGGGCCTCCGGATGGAAGGCGACTGGACAGACCATGTCTGGGGCGTTGTCGATTTCGTGGCTGATACGGATTTCCCGGATATTCGACGAAGAACTGCAATTCATTCTCCCGTTGGATCCGTTATGATTATCCCCCGCGAACGGATTGCCAATGGAGACTACCTTACCCGCCTATATGTGCAAGTTCAGGAGGATGTAAAGCCAGAAGAAGGTGAACGTGACGGGGACAGCAACGGGACTGCAGCTGATGCAAAGGCTCGTCGAAGCAAGGTTACGGTAGAGAGCATATTCAAGCAGGTTCAATCTGTTCTACAGCCATATTATATCAAGCCAAAATATGACGAGGCAGTGGACTGGTGGACGGCTTATCAGATTGGGCAACGGGTCGCAGACAAATTCATTGTGAAGGATTCAAAAGGAATACAAAGAGTTTTCATCGTCGGTGACGGTAAGGATAGCTGCCACATACACCGACATTGAACATTAGCTGACGGGCTCTTAGCTTGCCACACGCATAGTCCAAAGGTCGGTAAAGTTCTTGTGACTACAAAATCTATTGAAGATGAGGCGTATCTGTGTTTAAATTGACAGAGATGTATGCGGATCACTAACTCTGAACTAGGCGGGACAAGGAATGAACGTCTCAATGATGGATTCCTATAATCTAAGTTGGAAGCTGGCCTACTATATTAACGGCCTTACTCCTGCTTCTGCAAATAACCTACCAGATCCAATCCTTGATACCTACCACGAAGAGCGACACACGGTCGCGCAGCAACTTATTGAGTTTGACAAGGCCTTCTCTTCTATGTTTTCGGGGAAGATTGACATAGGAGAGGGCGGAAATGGGGGAGGTGCTAATGGCTTATCACATGAGCAATTCCTCGAGGTCTTCAATACTGGAAATGGTTTCACTAGTGGGTGCGGTATTGAATATCCGGAGAATGCGCTTGTCGAGAAGACCTATTCCGGGAACCCAGTTCAGAGTATAGACTATCTATCTGGCATTCTGCGTCCAGGGCGGAGGCTCCTTAACGTACGGGTGAAGCGGCATGCGGATGGATGCCCTAGAGATCTCCAGGATGGTAGGCGTTTCTCTTTCTTTCTTCTACACCACGCGGGCCCACGACGTTCTCCTCAAACCGAGGGCAGTAAAATCAAATCATTGAAAAATTAATAACAAAAAACATAGATTTCCCTTCCACCGCGCGTTTCCGTATCTTACTCCTGACATCAAACGATTTGCTCTCCCCAACCGGCGTGTCCACCACAGCAATCAAAAGCATTGCATGCACGCTCCTGACGGATAGATTTCCCCCTTCTATCCTCGAGCTGGTTGCCATTCATCCTGAGCTTAAGCCCGACTTCCTATGGGATGAAGTCCCGGTCGAACTGAAGAGACATGCAGAAATGCGCTTCTATGATGGTAGCGAGTTGCAGGATGTGTATGCTACGTATGGGGTGCCTGTAGATAGGGGTGTCATTGCAGTTGTAAGGCCTGATGGGTATATCGGCGTACTTGCTGCTTTGGATGATGTGCAGCGGATTGAGAAGTATTTGGGAGCTTGTTTGCGGACTATTTGAACAATAGTACGTCTTGTGAGGTTCTTCTGTCAATCTCCTCTTTTCTTTGATTTCACGCGAGTACGTTTGATGGCTGTCAGCCCTTCCTCCTTCGTCTTCTTACTTCCTTAATGTAGCTGTCGCAGATGGTGGTCCTAAACCATAGATACAGTCAATATGTCTATCTTTTTCCAACTACATTCATGCCTGTGCGAATCGTATGTAATGTACAGTACATGTACATAAAAGCAAGAACTGCCCCTACCGAGGGCAAATTTATTGGTGTGTGCAAGTACAGACCAGGGTTTCGATGCTACCGATTTACTGAGTCCGCGAGACGCAAGAATTCGATAAGGAAAAGCGACAATGGCGTTAGAAACTAGTGAGTCAGGACTTTTTTACCCGATTCAACGCTTGGTTGTGCCTGTCCATATCAGGAGACGCTATCCGAAGCATCCTCAACTTCACCAAACCAAACAATATCAAGAATGAACAGAGTTCCTGTCGACTGGATCCCCAGGGAATAAGTACTACCGTCTACACTTTGTTTGTTCTGATTGACCTATGTACTATTTCCTTGCATACGAAGAGGAGGGGTAATGTTTGGAAGCACCTATTCACAGCCTGCACGTCAAACAACCAGTGATTTCTTGAAGAGTACAAGCTGAATACACGAGAAATTAGCAGACTTATGTTGCTAATTATAAGGTACGAGTGAGATCCCTTTACAAGATGTGAAGGGGGTTTGACTGAAGTTGTCTTGCTGCAATAATGCTAGATATATCGATTTAGGGGACATATCTCGGTCTAACATCAAAAGGAGAGGAACAATGCACGGCCACGATATCTTGATACAAAACTTCTCAGAATTTGATAGTTCGACAGCTATCCCTTGTTTATTTCAGACTTTCCATTGAGCCGGAGCCTCACCCCGCAATTCTCGTGTCGTCCACATGGAGGACTCATACTTCCCCAGCCAACTAACTTGATGGATGATGATCCCAGGCTGCTTGTTTCTGTTGGCTAAGCCAGCAATGGTTCTGTAGTCGACAAATTCGTGTAGCTCTGTTGAGGCTAGGCCATTCTTTAGAAGAAGAGATGAACTTTTTACCTATACAGGTAGATTGTTGAATCTCTCACATGGCCCTGTGAAACTCTGCTTCTCGCCTCTGGAGAGCTCATTGGAGAAGTTGGACGGTGCCTGAGATCGATAACCGATGGTGAGATTTAAATACGACACTTCTTGGTCCATCTGGTTTGTACAATTTTGCTTTCCTTGACCCTGTTCTTAGGCGTCTACGGATATACATCCATTATAACGGGCTGTCAGGGGAATTTCATGGTCAAACCTCACACTATTCATTTCTGCTTTTAGAGTTATCGTTATCTGATATTCACCCTTCCAGGGCCGCTTTGTGTGCGATACTTGTCTATTGCTAGCATAGCGCGCGCATGCGAAATATTTTGTCACTATGGAAGTCTCCATGTTGATCATTGGGGGTACTTTGATGGCAGTTACTCTGGTATATCTGGCCCTTAATAAGGAGCAAAGAAATTGCCTTATCGGCGATATCAAGATCGGTGGACGTAGAGCGTCTTCTGCAGCCATATTACCTTGCTCTATATCACCCGAAAAACAGGTGTCTGCTGGCTACCCTTATGGTGATACCTTACCGCCATCACGCCGCCATGTGCTATCCGAAATGAATGATGTCCCACTCCCTTTGTTGGACGAGATGTCACCCATTGTATTTAACTTCAAAGCGCTTTTCACTCCTGTCACGGACTTCCGAGACGAACCCTGTGTACCAAAACTGATTGTGAAGATTCTGAAAGAGGGCAAGAGGCCCCTTCTGGAGTACAAGAATACATGGCATGTCGAGCACGTTGTGCTACCGGCCTTGGAAAAGTGGGCAGCTGAGAAGGAGGAGAAAGGCTTAGTCGAAAGTGGGTGGAAGGTAACCACTCTTGATGAGAGTCCGTGGTTTAAAAGGTGGGAGGAGAAGTGACATAGGCAGCAAGGGTTTTGAACGGATTATAATGAATGCTGGTTGGAGTTAGGCTTTTTCAATACCGTATATTTGTCATTTTTCATCTTCATTTGTCTTTTATTTAATAATATTTCTTGGACTCTCCAGGAGGAATTCGCGGATGATGTCTTGGTATCATTATATTGTACATTCAAATGGTCATGAATGGAAATAGAATTCCCCATGAACAAACACAGATACGTAATATTGATGTCGAGCGAGATAGCTTGACACTTAAATGAACCTGTATGCCCGTCTTAGGCGTTGGATACACTATGCTCTAAGCATAGCCCTCGTATAAAACATCGGTTGAAACGCCCACGGTACGACTGCGATACCGGTGGCAGTCTTGCGTTTCGCCTGAAGGCACGGTGACCGTATTTCGAGACGTTCCGATACGTAGCTGGGGTAAACCACCCCCAGATTCGTGATTACGAAGATCCAACTAGGAGAGCTCTGGTATGTCACGCACGCTAACCTTTCCGGTCTTGGGTAAAATGGCCTAGGGAAGGTTGCGCCCACCCAACTCCACAAGCTGGATAGTGGAGTCTCGGTTTAATGTTCAGTTCCTGCGATGGCTGCAGGTTCGGTTCATCAAGAGTTCGGCGCAGATAACAGGTGGTCGAATGGCTGCCAGAAGCTGCGGAGATGTGACGCTCAATATGGACAGCTGTAAAAAAAAAAAACAGGATGTGAAATGGATCGCATTCAGGCATCTTCGCCACGGCTGGATGCTTCCCCGCTGTCCTGGCTTCCATTTGAATCTCTATCAATATCCTCCAACTCCTCCGCCAACGGACTGATTCTTTCTTCAAGAATATCCAGATCCTCTAACTGAGTCCTCGAAGGCAACTTCCATAGACTCGTACCACATACGCGGTCCTTCGTAAGCAAATCGTCCACAAACTGATCAATATACGTGAGCATAAAGCCGTCTTTTGTCCTCCTCTTCAGTTTCCGGTAATCCACCAACAGCGGCTCGAGAGTCCTGTATATATCCGCAGCATCAAAGGTAAGCCGGATATAAAAAGCCGCTAGCGCACGAAGATATTTGAAGTCTCCAACTGCTTTGACAACGCCATCATTAGCATCCTGTTCCTCCTCCAACCCATTCCCTTCGCCACCCTCAACACGTTCATTTTCCGGGTCATGAAAGTTCAAATATTCCAACACTATATCTTTCTCTGGTGCAAGCTGGAGTAGCTTAAAGGCCAAACATAAGAATGGCGTTGGCTTTTGCGCAAGCCCGTATGTTCCCCCGATATAGGTAAGTTCCACGGCGCGATCGCAGAGAGTTGCAGCGTTGAGGCCGAAGCACTGTTCTTTCCAGTAGTATGAGTCGGTGATGCGATCACGAACGGCCTTTTCGAATAGTGTGGCAGGGTTAGCACCGCGGATTAAGGGCCCCGTGTAACCCCGATTGTCCAGCAGCGCACTGGCGTCGGCGCGGTGATATGACATTGTCGGCCTTGAGAGAGAGTCGTCAAGGTTGTGCTAATGGTTTCGCAAGAAACTGACGGAGAAAAAGGGCATCTCTAAGAATAGTACCTTGTAGTATATTGTTAATACGTAGTCGTAGGGAATTACGCTGTGTTTTGAAGCTTTTTGTATATGGAGTGGTGTTTTCTGTGCTTTTAACGAAGCTCATCGTAGCCGTATCACGTGCCGTTTCGGGTTTCTACGCTTCGATACTTATCGATAAGGTTGCCCCCGCAACAGGAAAACTGAAAACACCGTCCCGCTTGGACTGATGTCGTCAGATTGCCCCCCTTGGCTGGTGTCTTGCGGAGGCAGCCCTCTCTCTGGTTATTATTCATTTATATTTATTGATATTTAGCAGACCTGGAGAGAAAATCTTTGCCTATAACATTACCGATCCACCACTTGCTGAATGAAAGCTTCATGGCTCAACAGAAGAGCGATGGTATCCCTCAGTTTTGCCGCATTTTCGACCTAAGTTACAGTTGACCATGGTGCTCCTCACGTCTTCGGGTATCTCCCTTGCAATATCAACGTCTATCATTGGCTTATTTACCCTTCTTCTATTTTTATCAGGCTATGTGCTGCAGCAACAGTCAGTCCGAGGTATGCAAGCCGCCCTCAGCCCTACCGCGCCAACCCATCCAGCATCGCGCCCCTATCCTGTAGCAGGAGGCTCACCTGCTGGCGCATATGTTATTGTCAATCAAGGGAAAGAGGCATTCTCCAGCCCTGATGTTGTTGTAACAGACAGTGGTGATACAGGAGAAGGAAGAGACGGAGAGCTAGGGGAGTCCTCGGGCTATGAGGGGATGAATTCACGGCAATATGATCAAGGAAGCAATTATGGACAAAAGCATAAACAAGTATATCTTCAAATGGTATCAAGACCCAGCGTGTCGGGTATCTGCTCGAGTCTTCTATTCTTTAAAACGCTCGCCTCTCAGAGCAAGATCACGACAGATAAAGTTTTTCTTTACCCCAAATCGTGGGACAACAACGCGCCAACCAGAAGTATCGTGGAGGCGTTAAGCACCCTCAAAAACCACCAAGACGTATATGACATAATTATACATGCCATCGACATGACGGATCCCAACTACCACTTCCCATCCAACACCAAACTCCTCAGCAAAGCCTCGCATAAATTAACTCACTACGAAAAGATCTTCTTCACCCGCTCCCCCGGCATGCTTCTCAATGCCTCAAAACTCAACCAACTATTCTTCTCCGAACCACCCACATTTTCATCCTCGTCCTCATCTTCATATTCACCATTGTCGTCATGGAAGAAGAGAAGAAAACCGAACGACAATTCACAGACCGATATGTGGGTGCCAACCCGCCTATCAACCATGAACGCGGACCTTCCCTATGCGTTCCTCGTCACAACAGACCATGACTCCTCGGGCCGTGTTTCTATAAGATCACACGTCCCGATTCCATCTGTTAAACAGTCATTGATCGTTCCAGCAATACCTAGATTCCCAGCCGAGAGAGTCACGGAGCTACATCCCGCCTATGTGTTCTTTGACAAAAGTAAGAATCAAATGAGGGAAATGGGCACTGTGTATTATCAGGAATGGAAGAAGCAGGTGCATGATGCCTGCCAGGGGATTGAAATTAATGATTGATGTACTTATCTGGGAAATTTTGTGAATTTTTGGATCGGCGTTTAGCGTGCAAATGGGTGGTTTGTGTTTATGGTTGTCTTCGCATTTTGCATATTTCCGCTTGTCTCTTTTCTTTTTTCTTTTTCTTTTTCTTTTTCTTTCTTTTTTTTCCCAATATCTCGCCGGCTTGGCTTGAGTGTATGTGTATCTGAATTCACCTTTACTTGGACATTACTGTATGATATACGTTGTTGGGTATGATTCCCCTTGAAACCTGACCTTTTTAGACTGCAAGTTAAAATTTTCCAGGCGCAGTTTATTCTACATTTGTTCGTCACTGAAACGCAATCAATTGGGCTCTTCGGCTGAAACGCTCTGTTACGCTCTGTTGTATGAGTTCTAATTGAAAGACAAAACTATGAATACATCAATTACATCAGCGTGGCATATTATTTTCGGCTTAACAAAACCTGTTGATAGATTCGAATCCCCTGCCACTTGTTGATTAACACTCCCTCCAAACATTCCAAGGAAGAGCTGCCCAATATCCCAGCGCCAGTTCCATAAGTCATTCCCACACCAACCCCGCCAACATGTCATAAAACAAAAGCCATTGAAAGGTGGGAAGCTCTCGTTGGGCAATGTACAGCGATGGTAGCACTGACGTTGTTCGCTCACAGCTAAAAGCTAGGGCTTTTCAAAATCCCGCCACATGAAACAATGAGAGGCCATTCCAAAATGATTGATTCCCGACAGGATAGAAATAAAAGAAAAGGGGGTATAATAATAGGTATGAAAAAAGCACAGCGAAAAGCCCGCTTAGACGTACAGCATATAGGAATTGGGGCGGTATAATAAAACGCTTCAGAAATGAAATGCCAGGTGATGTATAGCGTTGAAAGATGCGTAGGGGGTTTCTGGAGCCTTCTAGAAATATCCAAGGAATAGAGATTAATATGATTAGAGGACTCCTATCTCATACCCAAGCAGAACTTCCGTATTGGCTCCTTCCCAGCCCCGGTTACCGCCGGTGGATATCATATACCGACATGCCGCATCCATGTACAGCTGCGAAACAACTCCGGTGCGATGCCCCGGAACAATGAGGAAGGGCACACTTGAACGGCTCGAAGACTGATCGCTTTTGAGATCATACAGGCGAAGAATATCGTACGAAGCACTATTTAGACATGGTTAGCAAATTAAAGTCAAAACATGTTAAGGGAATGATATGTTCATCCTAGAAGGTGATGAGCTTGGCTTCATAGAGGAACCGGAGACATACCAGATTAGATGTCTACCGTTTGGCATTGCTTTGACGGCAGAAACTGGGCCGCTTCCCTGGGGGAATTTAAACGTCCGTTCGGCACTGCGGAGGCCTTTATGCAGGCTGAATTCTTCTACGGTACCGTTGCGCCGTCCGGCATAGATATAGTTCCCATCTGGCGACCAACATGCATTCATGCACCACGGGGGAGCGTTTCGAGAAACGATCTTGGCAATCGGGTTTGGTTGTCGTCTGTCCCAGACTCGTATTGTGCCGTCAATCGACGCAGAGAAAAATGTAGTGTCTGATGTTATGTCTGAGGTTTCATCTGAAGAAGCTTCGGTTTTATCTTGGCTTGCTGGCGCACGTTCCAAATCATCGGCGTGAGAACCCCCCAGGGTTTCAGAAGATACACCATTCGGCAAAGTCTCAACTGCAGTGGCTGAAGATGGGCCCGTTTGATCTTCCTTTTCCGACCCCATGTCATCTGTATGTTGACTACCTGAGACACCGTTTGGCTGAGTAGTAGGTATATCCATTCCATGCTTATCATCTTCGGGTTGCTGAACACCGTTCGCAAGAGCCTGGGAAAACTCATCATCTTCGTCTATCGCGAAAGCGCCACCAGACGGCGCTTCAGTTTCACCTCCATCTCCGTCTCCAAAAAGTGAATCGGTCCCGAAAAGAGAATCCGCCGGCGAACCGGCGCCTTGGTTCGTATTAGCACCTTCGGCTTGCCGCGCTGCAATTGCCCCACTTTGGTAGGCAAAACTGGAAGTGTCATTGGCTTGGGTATTAGATGAGTATGTTCCGTTCGTCAGAGGAGGCTCCCCACTCTCTTGTGGTACAGGTACATTAGATTCCGGGCGTATTTCAATGGAGGATATCTGTCCTGCACTCGCCCCGAAAGTTCGCCTTGGTTGCCCAACATTTAAGTCCCAGTCATGTATTCTTTTATCCCAGCTTCCTGAGATCAGTGACCGTTCATCTGACGTGAGGGATAGTACTGAAACTGCTGAGGTATGTTGCTGGAGAAGGGCTATTTCCTTGCCCTCGTCGTGACGGACGGACTGCAATCTAATACTCCCGGATTCGAGACCGGAAAGTAGCCACAGCCCTTGGCTGTGAGAGGCAAGAGAGTAAACTGGCGACAGCGCGGTCCCATCCATATTTTCCCAATACGTCATTAAAACGCCCGCCTTTACAACGCTATCCACAAACGGATGCCTTTGCGCAACCGTCAACATCAATTTGCTGTTGATGGAATCTACCCAGTTGAATTTTCGCACGTATCCGTCCGTACCCCCACTAAATACCCATCTCATGTCCGCCGTTGCTGTGACCGCATTAATCGAAGTGCTGTGTGGGGCAGCGGTGGTTGGAACAATATCATAAGTGGAAGCAGTGAGCGCCTCTGGGCGCACCACTGGGCGTAGTGGAAGAGATGAATCGGAGACGGCATTGTTGGTAGGAGAAGCGGATGTTAAAAGGACTTGGGGATTCTGTTGGCTTGCTGCGACAGTCTGAGTATCAGAAACAATGCTAGAATTGGAGGGACTTTCGGGATCTGGCTCCGGGCCGACGTCCTCCATGTCCCCCGTTGTATCGTCCATGTCATTGTCGGAGCTACCATCTTGCGACCCTAGATAAAGCGATATTAGATCTAGGACAGCAATACCGAAAGCGCCAACGGGCATATCCCTCACCTGCTATATCGCGATCGTCGTCATCGTCCCCAATTGACGGCATCTTGATGTTAGTTATCACTAACCAACTTTTTTATGCCGAGCTGAGGTGATTCGCTTCGCCCGGCGATCCAGACCGGTGTCGCGAGTTGGGGCCGCAATGAGGCTGACGGTACGGAATTAGTAAAAGCTATTGACAAAATTATTCGTATACTGAAACGCAATAAAAAGCTGTAGTAGTTCTAGCAGCATAAATGCGTTTTGGATCATACTATAACGTCTAAGCATTTCCACTACGGCGGCCCATAGCTCCCAGTTTCACAAGCCATCTAAAACGCACCGTACTATGGATACTTGGCCCTGACTAATACGGTCTAACTAGTTACCTTTAACATTAGCACCGAGGTTCGACTTTACTTGATTTTCTAACCATGCAATTACATATATGCCCTAACCAGCATCTGATCTAGCTAACTAATGGATTTTTATTACTTTCTTTAATCTTATCTCAATATTAGATTCTGAATTAAAATACTGACCATCTTGCACGTATAACCGTGCATATACTAAATCTATATAACAGGGCGGCAGTTTCCAGATCAGATGTAGCTAAGTTTCTCTAATGGGATGTAAGTTTTATACTCCCTCAGGGTCATCATATCAATCACAATCCAACTGAAACTCAGCAGGACAAGTATCAACAAATACCAGCCTACCTACATGCAGGTACAAAGATACCTTTTAGCAAGGCCAAAGCCTCTCCCACTTGTCTTGATCGATCGCCATTTCCTTCCATTCTTCGCATTCATTATGCCTGCATCCCTGAAATTTAGAAACTCGACAAGAAGATTAGTGGAAACGGATGAGCTTAATCCAGACGGACGTCAACGACTGCACCTGTGATCAATAACCTTTGCCGTTTTTACAAGCAATATCGCGATTCAGAAGTGCAACCTTCTGAACCGCGTGAGCTTCCATCATGAGACTTTGTTGTTTTCGGCTGGACTACCTGTATTCTTCAAGCAGATGGAGAACTTTGGTATTAGGCCCTGCACAGTTTCTGGCAAGACTGTCAATTCCGGGGATATTTCAATGAAGTCATCTCACGCCTTGGAAATGACATTGCAGAATCATCCTATCGACTGACAAAGTGGTCTCTGCGGATGGCTACCGTATAACAATGCCACAGGGAGAAAAGGTCGCCTCTGCTACGTGTCGAACAACTAACTCATTTGTGCCTATTCTTAGGGATATTTATAGGACAGCTAGCTAGGGGTATGCTTACATGGATGAACTTCAGCGAGGTCATAACCTAGTTGACCGCTTCCAGTGGAAATCTGAAAATGGCTTACGGCTAGTTTCTGCAATATTGACTCTGTTCAGTCTGTCAGCCCAGCAATACTTCCATGTGCTACCTTGCAATGCAATGCAAACAAGCAGTCCTCTGAATGGTGTTTTAGAAAGTCTAGAATCATCACAGTGGGCGCTCACTCATTACTATCAAGGAGGGAGTTTGTGCAACCTGTCATTGCGGTCAAAGAGGTACAGACTAATGATGAGCTGCAAGATGCAGCATTACTTGTCTATGTGAATTCTTTTCAACTTGTTTGAAATAAACTACCGTCTTCGAATACGTACTTGTAGATTCTAGGAACACCCATAGAAATGTAATTTTATAAAAATAAGTGATGGGCTGGCCCGGCTCTCAGTATATTTTATAACTAAATTAATATAGCCAACAAAAATATTCTGATTAATTCATTGTGATTTCAGGGCTGTGGAGGGCGCTGTAGCAACCAACCTGAAATAACAAAATTTTCACATCGTTTAGTTCCCCTTGTTTACTGTTTCAACTACCCACACATCTCTTCAGGTTAATCAGGCTTCTTTGGTTTTTTACTCCTAGAAAGCGTGTTCTCAATCTTCAGTGCCTTTACCCTCATGGTTAATTGCGACTTTTGTCGTGTCTTCTTCAAATTGTGACTTTTCTGCAAGGCCGGCAACGTATTCACTATCGTTTAGATGAAGCAATGTCTTCATTCTTCCGAGGTCAGCCTAACTTAATAACCTTTCATCACCTGTTCCCCTTTGGTGCATATATATATATATATATATACGGCACAATCTGGCCAGAAAAGGGGAAATATAGTTATGTCCACAAAGCTTAAATATTTAGAGCGCCGCTAAGAATCGCTGGACCAAGGCTAACTAACTCAAGTAAGCAGATATGAAAGCCCGGAGACTAAACCCCTCGCGTCTGCCAGGCCCAAAGGTCTCTTTAAACAAGGACATCCAGGCGTACATCGAGGAGACTCGACGTGCGGCCGCGGGCGATACCTGGACGGCGAAGCCAGAGCTTCCCACCACTAATGAAATCCTGGGGATCGACGAAATCGGCGATCATGTCGACTTGGTCGCCAACAAAATTCAAGGCCCATGGCCGTCAACTGACATGTACCTGAAGGCTCATTATGACCTTCTCAGAGAAGATGCAGTTGCTTCGCTAAGGGATGCAGTGGCTTATGTGAAAGAAGATCCACGCATGAAGGATTCCATAAATGTTTGTATCTACGAAAAGGTAATCCGTTTTTGTTAGGTCCTATTCCGTTCCCACATGTAACAATACCTTAGCTAATATATGGATTTACTAGGTGTACATCGTTGGGGTTACTTGTGCAGATGCAGGCGTAGCGATGAAGCTTACCTTTTCTACTGCTCGTGCTGGAAAGAATATCGTATGGGAGTACTCCCCCAGGCTAACTACAGGCACCATCGTCGCACTGACGCCGGCGAATGACATGTTCAAATCGAAATGTATCGTCGCTGTCGTTGCTGCTAGGCCTCTGGATGAGTTGAAAAAGACCCCTTCTGAAATAGATATATTTTATGCGCGAGCCGAGGATGCGGAATTCGACCCTCAGATGGAGTTTGTTATGGTCGAAGCTAGGAGCGGCTACTACGAAGCATCACGGCATACATTAACTGCCTTGCAGAAAATGGCAAGGGAAGGGTGCGTAAATTCGTTCATTCTTATGATTACGTGCGTAATGATAGTTGTATCTGCTGACAGTTTAAAAGCTTCCCATTCTCTGAATATCTGTGTGATCTTCAGCCTAATATTGAACCTCCGGAATACATCAAGTTGAATCCCTTCGTTGACATGTCAGCTACCTCAATCGATGAAGGCGATGCAAAAATAGATGTTCTTAACAACTGGCCATCTTCCCCTGAATCTCTAGACTCGTCTCAATGGAACGCCTTGCGCCAAATTCTCACGAAGAGATTGGCTATCGTACAAGGTCCACCAGGAACTGGCAAAACTCATGTCTCTGTCATTGCATTGAAGGTGCTACTTTCAACCCTACCTTCCACTGACCCACCAATCATTATCGCAGCGCAGACCAACCACGCGCTGGACCAGTTGCTTCGCCATGTTGCACAGTTCGAGATGAATTATGTTCGGCTTGGTGGAAGAAGTGCGGATTTGGATATAAAGAAGCGGACTATATTCGAGTTAAGGAAAGCTAACCCTGTCCCGACAATCCCCGGTGGCTTATTTGGCCCATCCAAGAAGCGGTTAAAGGAGATCGCGGAAACTATCTTTAAGCTATTCGAGCCATTTGCTCCAGTCGACTCTAAATCACCCCTACCGGCAGCGCTGTTGCTCAAACTGAATATCATTACCCAATCGCAGTATGACTCTTTAGTAAAAGGAGCTGAGGGATGGGTTCACGGAGGCGATCAAGTGGAACCTCTTGCTGCCTGGCTCGGAGATAGCAAGGTTAAATTCAATGTGGTTTACCAACCGAATAATTTTGGCTTTGTTGAAGATGAAATTGATCTGGAATATGAGCAGCTTAAGGAACTTGAGCTCGAACAAGGCATCGATGAGGAGGACGCTGAAAGTTTGAGAGGGCCATACATGGCATTGATGGAACAGGTTAAAGGATGCAGCCTTTCCGCAACAGCAGTAGACGCTTTGCGAGCCCGACTTTTAAAGCAAGACGATCTCTGGAAAGTTTCTCCGCGTGACCGTGGTGGAATTTACTCGATATTCCAAAAGCTTGCGAAGGAAGCCATCCAAGAATCTTTCCGATCCTTAGCGAAGAGATATGAAGTGGCTGCTGAGAATCTCAAAACCGGGAAATGGGAGTTAAATTCCACCATTCTTCAATCTGCAAGGTTAGTGGGCATGACGACAACAGGCCTGAGCAAATATCGCGCACTTATTTCAAGCATAAAGCCCAAGATAATCATGATTGAAGAGGCTGCTGAGGTGACAGAAGCCCCCATTGCTGCAGCCTGCATAAAGTCATTGGAGCACCTTATCCTCATTGGCGATCATAAACAGCTCCAGGGCACCTGTGCAGTCAGAGAGCTAGAAGGAGAGCCGTTTTTCTTGCAGGTGTCATTGTTTGAGCGACTTGTGCATAATGGAATAGAGTTCAAAACGCTGACGAAGCAGCGGCGTATGGCACCAGAAATCCGAAGGATCTTGGCCCCCATATATGATGATCTGGAGGACCATCCGTCCGTGGTAGACAGACACGCCGTTCCTGGAATGGGTGGAGTTAACTCGTTCTTCTTCTGCCATGATTGGCCTGAGTCTTCTGATAGCTTGCTCTCCAAGTACAATGATCGTGAAGCACGCATGGTTGTCGGATTTTTCATCTATCTCCACCTCAACGGAGTTGAAGTACAGGACATAACCGTTTTAACCTTTTACAACGGGCAGCGGAAGAAGATCCTGAAAGCTTTACGAGACATTCGTTTACTGCAGGGGCAGTATATTAAGGTATCCACGGTTGATTCATATCAAGGAGAGGAAAATGAAATTGTACTGCTCTCCTTGGTTCGGAGCAATGAGAATAGCGGAAACATGGGCTTCCTTGCCGTTGAAAACCGAGTGTGCGTTGCTCTATCGCGGGCAAAGCGGGGGTTCTATATTTTTGGGAACGCAGAGTTTCTTGCCGTGTCCAACCCGCTTTGGTGGGAGGTTGTGCAAATTGTCAATTGCAGCCCGAGGAGGATCGGATATCACGTTCCGGCGACCTGTGCCAACCACCAGACCAAAATGTATATCGCACAGGCAGAGAAATGGTCGTTGACTGACGGAGGCTGTTCCTTAAAGTGTGATCAGAAATTGAAGTGCGGCCATGACTGCCCGCTTCGCTGCCACGTGTGAGTCCCTCCAATGAACTCGCGCTTCCTTAACCAATCTACTGACAAATAACGGTTACAGCGTATCACATTCACAAGTTAAATGCCAACAGCCCTGCAGCCAACTTCTCCCTTGTGGTCACCCCTGTGTTGAAATCTGCGATTTCCCCTGCAAATGCCAGCACGGCGAATGCTCTATCCTAAACGAAGGTTTCCGCGCGGGAGAAAATGCGCTACCACCTACACCTACCAACGCCCCTCCTAACACCGAGGCACACGCAGACTTCATCAAGAACTACCAAGACTATTCGAACGGGGGAGCCATACAGGACGATGCACGCCTTGCCTCAATAGAGCGGATCATAATCGAGCAGGAGAAAAACGACAAGGCACCTCCTCCCCCGCTTGGTAGGAACGTCGTCCCAGGTGTTGACGAACCTTCGCTGCCTATCTTGATGGAAAATGCGGTTCTGCCAGTTCGACAGGCTGGTAATGCACCGCTGCACCAGAAATACGTACAGTATTATTCACCCGGGTGAAGGTCGTCGAGTAGTGGAGGGTTCGCAAACAGGAATAAGTCGAGTCGAGTCTTCTTTGAAGAAATGTGTCGGGGATCGAACGTGGTAAAACTCAGCCCATAAGGTGGATGAATAGGTCACATCCGATAGAACCGTTTTATGGATTTATTGACATTCAGAGATGAATAATCTATTTCTACCTTCTTCATAAGGAGAGCTCTTGAGACGGGTACATAGCTGGCTAGCTAGGAGTTTCCATATGAGCGATTGTACCCATTGTTCCCACCCCTTTCCCCCCGTTACTTTCCTCTGCTTCTTTTCTTACTGGCAGTTGGGCGAGGTTAAGCGCAAATATTCACCATACTGTTTTGTGCTGTGCATGTACAATAGAATTGGGTCACCGAACTAGGAACTCGAAGATGCCCTTGATTATGCAGTTCTTCAATCGAGTGATAATAACAAATTCGTTAACTCTCATTTGCAGTGTAATGATCACTGTTATAAAAAATTCCGGGACTTTCAAAATGGAGGGAGTGATTCATGAATGTCACCTTCTGCCACCCTCCAAGCCTCACTATTGACGTCAGAATAAATACTATGGATAAATCTCCGACAAAAGCTTGATATTCCTCACAGAGTAAACCCGAATCATTACCTATATGTGTAAATCCTGGAAAGATGCTGACATAGTTGACATAGTTGAGCGCAGAAAAGAAAATCTAGTAGCAACAACCAACCCCCCGCACAAACAAAAGGACAACCAAAAGCGATGCAATCCAACTACCAAAAAAGGCCCATCAATGGTTATTAAGCGGACCCAGCAAACAGAAATCGGACCGCCTACCACCTACAACTACTACGTGAAGAGAGAGAAACAGTTTTAAATTCTTTTATTCCCGTCTAAACTCCTTTTATTTCCCTCGCATGTACGGAGTAGAGGGATGACAATACCAACGATCAAATACCTGCCGGAGGGGAGGTTGGGAAAATAAGATATCGAAAAAAGAAAGACCAAAACTCTCAACCAACAAAGATCTAGCTCTTATGTACATGTACATATGTATGTACAGCAGTTTTCATGAACTAAACAGGGGGCTATTTGAACATAGTTATAAACAGACAAAGCCCAACGACCGTCATGTATCACACACTAAAAGCAAGGGGGGAACAATTAAAAGAGAAATGAAAAAGAAAAAAAAAAAAAAAAAAAAAAAAAAAAAAAAAAAAAGGAACAAAAAAGCTCTCAATCTCACTCATCATCGATCAATCTCTTCGCCTCCCACGCCTTCCTAGCCCCATCCATTAGCGCCTCAAAATTCCCACTATTCTCACACATGCCTCTGAAGCTGCCTCCCTTCCTATTGATAAGCTGCCACGGCCCATCATACTCTACCACCTCCCCATGGTCCAGCACAAGCACCTTATCATAGTCGATAATGGTCTGCAGCCTATGCGCGATGGTGATGATAGTGTTATCCTTCAGCTCACGCAGGGTATCCTGGATTTTGGCATCGGTGGCGTAGTCTATGGATGCGGTTGCTTCGTCCATCATGAGCACTTTGGGCGATTTGAGGAGGGCGCGAGCTAGGCAGAGGAGCTGGCGTTGACCCTGCGAGAGGTTCGAGCCGGATTCGGAGATGGGGGAGTTGATGTTTAAGAATATATTTTTGTTGTCACGGAAGCGAGAGGCGAGATCTGGGTCGCTGGAGTCACTGTTGTTGTCCAGAAGGGGGTTGGAAGGGTTTACTGGCGTGTTGGAGCCGGAGACAGAGGTGGATGTTGGACCGCCAATTAGATGGACGCGACGGAGGGCCGTGAAGATTTCGTCGTCGGTGAGTAGACCGAAGGGATCGAGGTTGCTACGGATTGTTCCGGTGAAAAGGGTAGGGTCTTGAGGGACAATGGTGATTGCTTCACGCAGGTCCTGCAAGCCAATTAGGCCAATGTCGACATTATCAATGAGGATTCTGCCACTTTCCGCTTCGAGGCCGCGGAATAGGGCGAGTGCAAGCGAACTCTTCCCAGCGCCTGTTCTGCCAACGATCCCAACACGTTGGCCAGGCTGCACTGAGAAAGTAACATTCTTCAAAACTGGATCGAGATCCGGACGGTAGCGAGTAGAATAGTTATCGAACTGTAACGCGCCGTGCGTTGGCCAGTTGTTCGGAGGACGACGGTCAGGAATAACGGCTTCAGCCTCTTGCTCAACCTCCATATACTCCTCAATTCGCTCGACAGAATTCATGTGTTGCTGGTTCTGCGCATATAGCCGTACTAACCAGAGGACATTCTCAGTGAAGGTGACCGCATATGTCAAGGCCAAACCGGCCGCACCAGCATCAATTTTGCCAACGCTCATGATAATGACCGCCGCGGTGAAGAACGATACCAATGCACCGGTTATATCAACACGGAACGCTAGCCATCGATTACTCGCCCACAGGTACAGGTACGGCCGGTTATAGGTATTGATCATGACGTGGTTATCATGGATGAAACGCGCACCATCTCCGTAGGCACGGATAGTGACAATGCCAGCTAATGTCTCCCCGAATTGCTGATAGAGAGGGCTCCTCTGAATAGATTCCAGACGCTTAAGATCACGCGACGAATTCAAATAAATAGCACCCAGGGTGAAGTAAATAACAGTAATGAAAACCGCAGCGATCAGGAACATGGGGGTTATGACCGAAATAAGGATAACGATCAGGATGACGGAGGCTAAAGAGTGGAGCATTCCTATCGCAGTCGCCGCCACTTCTTGATCGACGGCCTGGAGATCCTTAGAGAATCGATTCATCAGTCGGCCTAGCGGGGTGGAATCAAAGAACCTAAATTTTGCATGGGTCATAGCTTTCAACAATCGCTTGTGAATCCTCCACGACGCATGCAGCGACCCCCCGAAGAGAATCAATTCCCTCGCAAGAATTGTTAAGACATAACCGAACGCTAGTGCCGCATATACACCCAAATAATAGTATGGATTTACATCGTCTTGGAAGGTGCTGTCTTTGTCCGTGTACTGCATCTCAGGTGCTCTCCACGAGAAGGGGCGGGTAATACTTGCGGTGGCAAACGTTGGAAGTCCGACGTTAGCTAAGGCAGCTTTGTGCCCGACGTCGCTGGACGCGACCTTCTTGACTGGATACGCATTTGCCCATTCCCGAATCCAGATATTAGTGGCTAATGATCCAACCTGTTGTGCCCCAAAGGCTAGGACAGCGAAAAACCAAAAATACCATGGACCCATGGCGCGAAGATACATGAAAATTGTGGAAAGCTTGACGCTACCTACAACTTTCTCTTCGCCGAGAATGGCGCCGGCCGCTGGTGTTTTTTTCTTGCCCTTTACACCGGCTCCATTGGCAGCTCCATTAACAGCTCCATTGACGGTTTCATCCGCAGAGCTTGTCTCATTATCCAGCCATTCAGTTCTCTCCGCCTGAGCGCTTGATGGAGAGTGGGTTAAAGTCTTTGATGAGCGGGAAGCAGGTCGCGATTGAAGGATATCATCGCCAAGCATTCCGGCAGCAATCACCTCCTGTGGAGTTCCTTGCGCTGTAACTCTACCGTTCTCAAGGACGACGAGGAATGCCGCCTGGGGCGCGACCAGCGAGACATTATGCGTGACAAGGATACAGGTGCGGTGTTGCATCAACGGGCCCATAATGGCCTCCCTGAAAATGTGTTTGGCGGTGTGTGAGTCGACCGCGCTTAGACAGTCGTCGAGGAGCAGATGCCGGGCCTTACTATACATGCCACGAGCCAAGGATATCCGTTGTTTCTGTCCGCCAGAAAGACTTATGCCTTTCTCTCCCACTAGAGTTTGGTCACCAGCATCTAAGATTTCCAAATCTCTCTCCAATCCGCAGGCTTTTATTACAGCATCATAACGATCTTGATCAAATGGCGATGCGAACAGGATATTTTCTTTGATCGTGGCATTGACCAGCCACGCTTCTTGCGCACAGTAAGCGATGCTATCAGTAAGGCCTGTGGCCGGGTCAGGACGCAAATCCGCCCGATCACACGTCCCACCAGGGAGGAACACCGATCCTTCAAGCAGCGTCATCTCTCCTAAAAGCGCCATTAGCATCGACGTTTTACCTGAACCTGTCGGTCCGGCAATAACGTTGAGTTGCCCGACGCGGAACGAAACATCCATGTTTATCAGGCGGAATGATTCTCCAGAGGTGTCCCCCTGCACCGGTGGTGACCCCGGCTTGGCATGTGCGGACGCAGATCCCCACGAAAGCGTGGCATTTTCCAGAGCAATTTTAGGTGGCGATTCCGAGTGCTCGTCCGATCGCAGCTGAGAATATTTTTCGGTGTCCTCTTCGTTCAAGAACTGTTCCACGCGGTCGATGGAGGCTTTGGATTCCTGAACATGCGCGATCATGTCTGCCAATTGGTCAAGGGGTATGCGGAGGAGCGAAAATGTGGATAAGGCAGGGAATGCAACTGAAGGGACTAGTTTCTTGCCTTCGACCACGGTGTACAGGAAAAACGAAAGCAGTGTGATCAGTATTGGTGCTCCGTACCAGACGGTGGCAGCACCGGCCCATAGGATATATCGTCGACGAAGACTCTTCAACTCAGCCCTCCGCTTCTCATTGACGATATCCTCAAAACGTTGTTCCCATGCAAAATACTTGATAATACGGATGTTTTGAAGTACCTCATTTGTTGAGTGGATACGAGCATCAGTGCCAGCGAGAATTTCGTGCTGAAGGATCCGGAACCGCGACGCAATATACAAATTCAGCGGCAACATCAGAGTCATTACCCCAATACCAGCCAAAGAACTAAAGCCCAGGATTTTGTATAAGATGAAGATGGCAATCGCGGTCTGGACAGGGAAACTGGCCCACAGGTAGTGTAGGTATGCGCAGATCTCACTAACTTTGAAAGAATCAATCGCCATAAGGTTGATAATTTTACCAATATTGGCTTGTTCGTCTGGTTCATCGTCCTTCTGTTGTTGCTCACTGCTTTCGGTATCAGCGTCCGCCTCATTATTATTCCAAGCCAATGAAAGTTTCTTCTTCTTTTTCGTCTGCTTTTGAGATTTGGCCTCATCTTTCGAGACTTTCGAAATTGCACCAGCCTTACGTCGCAAGGCTTTGGCATAGAGCTCGCCGATGATGATTGCGCGCAACTTCACACTCAACTTGCGGCCGATCCAGAGGGCCTGGCCATCTGCAACACCTTGAATGGCTGCGCAGACAAACAGAAGGCTGACGTAGAGCCAAACAGTATTCTTGGGGGTCATCTCTGGATCTTGAAGGTATTCCAAAATGAGTTTGAGCAGCCAAGTTGGCAAAAAAGAAAAGAAACCCGAGAAGATGGTCCATGCGCCCTGAAGAAGAAGCGTACGATCGAAATAACGCAGCAGCCTCCAGGCCAGAGCAGAGGTCCGTTTAGCCTGACGGAAATCCGCGAGAACAGCAGCAGCCTGGTAGCTTGGGAGCAGATTCCAGACATCCGGCATCTCCAGTGATTTGCGATAACCTTGCCAGACCAATGGATCTAGCCATGCGAATGAAGCCAGGGACAGAAGACTTGCAAATTGCTCTCGAGGTGGGGGAATTCCGTCTTCATGCCGAACGTGGAGGGTTTTGTTTCCCTTACGGGTCGTGAGGGTTAAGAGGAAGAGGAAGGAGGAGAGGGCGAAGTCGATGCTCGTCAGAGTACGAATGTGATCCGGGGGTGGATGGATCAGCACAGATCGGAACACCATGACGGTACATAACCATTGGAACGAATAAAGTGCCGCGGTGTGATTCCATAATTTGGGCATTGTACGGCGTTCAGATGTGGAGAGGAGCAGCCTAGCAATCACCAGAAGCAGGATGTAGGCCCAGGAGAGTAGCCTTCCAATTGTTGGAGTTATTTCATTTGCGGCTCCCGAAGGTGTAGCAAGGCTCTTGACAGAAACTCCGAGTTCCGCGAGAAGCGCCACAATTTCCAATATCGTTACAACGTCCTTCCCTCGCGGTTTGTCTTCCACAACGTTGACGGGAGTTGTACGACTCAGGGCCTTGTGCAGCATCAAATCGCTCTCCGCGTCCTCGTCATCCTCTCCCTCGTCTTCATTTTGTATTATACCATTATGCTCAACAACTGTGGTCGGAATGGGTTTGTAACCACGATGGCGCCAAGGACGACGGATATTATGCCGGAAGATGTGGGTAACTATCAGTAGTAGAGACAAACCACATGCCGTAAGGGGGAATATTAATTTTAGAAACCTGTTGAGTAAGGACACGAATGTTAGCAAAGAGGAAGCAATACACGGCAAAATGGGAGATCATCTTTGAAAAACTCACTTTTGTTGAAAACATAGCGTAAGGTCGTCGACGACCCAGGCGGGACCCTCACAGCCCGGGCGCATAGCGGATATCAAAAATCGAATCCCCTAATAAATAAAAGAGGAGTAAAAAAAAAAAAAAAAAGGGTAGAGAAAGGAGAAAGAAAAATCTATGGAATATTTAAGAAAGCCAGGAAGGACAAAAGTAACAATGTCACAACGTCGAGAAGAGCTAGCGTTTGCTGTGGAAACAGCAACAATGATGAATCAAAGAATAATGGAGTCTAACCAAGCAGACATGACTGAGGAATAATAATAGTTAGTGCTGACTCCCAAGATATCAATCTGTGAAATCAACATGGCAGAAACTTTGAGGCAGAGAAATGGAAGAAATGAGCTCATGAGGCAAAAGAAGGATATAAGGCATATATATATATGAGGAGGGTATCAATCCAACCAGCTTCTTCAACCCCGAGAGTATCAAGGCGGGAGAGGAAGACCCAAAGACAAAGCAAGGAATGGTTCAAGCGGGAACTGGGAAGAAGATCTGACCCCCCGACTGACAGACGTTGAGAGTTGATAGTCTCAGGCTGATTGAATTGTTCCAAGGTTGGTTATTTATTATTATTAATAACAAATGTTGGTTCGGGTTGAGTTTTCTATTTCCTACGGAGTACGGGAGGGGGGGAGGTAAATAGGGTAGCCGGAGCTTGGGAAGAAAGTCGGCGGCGGTTAGTTAATAAGTAAATAAGAAGTTATTTAACTTATGTAAGTTAAATAGTTAACTAACTCAATATTTGACTTGTTCCGGAAAGTGGGAACTTCGCCCAGAGAATTAAAATATTTATTTGACCCGCCGAGACTGCCGAAGCCCGCCGCAGCTACAGAACTTACACAGTAACTATACGGCTGTCCATACAGATAGATACACAGACACACTGACAAACACAAACACACAGACAGACAGACAGACAGGACAGACAGATATCGAGCTATGCTTCTCCTACTACGCAGCGTACTGCAGCTAGTAGTAGAGTACTCCGTAGTGACGGACTGTATTCCAGAGCCCCCGCTATTGACGCTGTATATCCCACCGCCCATTTCTTCCCCCCACAACGACGGATCACGGAGAATAATAACACTGCAGCTTGCAGGAGGAGCCCACAGGGATAACTAGTCGATCCACTATTCTATTGATGTGACTCACGGGAACGGCTGTCTGCTGGAGCATAGCATAGGAAGAAAGGAAATCTACAGGACAGAATTGGGGGGGGGGGAGATGAGGATGAATATTTCAATTCTCGCTGACTTTCCATTGCTCTCAGACCGGCATCATACACGTGCTTCCTCGAAAAACAAATATAACTAACATCGTCTATGTTAGTTAGTTACAGGCTAACTACGAAATCGGCCTGTGGATTGGGAATGGGCCGGCAATTCTGTAACTACCCGTAAAACAAGACAAAAAAAGGGGAAGAAGGACCAAAAGCCAAAAGTCACTCTGAGTAACTACACACAATCTCATTCTCCGCCAATTCTTTCAACTTCTGCCAAAAAACAAAACTCGCCATTTATTATTATTATTATTATTATTACTATGGCGTAAGTTAAGCCGAAGCAACAAAGGCGCGATGTTTGATGTATCGCGCCCGCCAATGTTGTATGCGGAGGTACATGTACCTGCAGTGTGGCGGCGGGTCGGTCGATGTCATCAGCTGCTGCTCCTCGCCAATCATCTTTTCCGTAGGCTCCCTCGACCAACATCTACTCCCTAAGCGCCCTCACTTCTCCAACCTCTCTTTGGTAGTTAAAAGACAAGAAGAAGAAGTCATAAGAGAAATAAATATAATGCCTCCTTTTCACCTCCCTCTCGATCTGCTATAACCATCATCCGCATCTCGCTCACTTTGCAACCTCCTCTCCCAGCACTTTTCTCTCGCTATACCATACCACCAACCAATACCCCTCCCGCCGGCGAATTCGTTCCACGCCGTTCCTCCGTTAGACTAAAGCAAATTCAGAAAGAATGGCGCAAAGGATCTTGATGAACGAGTTCAAGAGCCTAGCTAGTGAAAAATGGGTTCATATCGAGGTTGGCGCTCCCTTTCCCCAAGCATTTCATCTGCCTACCTCACCGATTACATGAATACGGCTCCCTCGCCGTTCAGTTACTGCGGGAAAGAAAAATATAGAAAACATAGGACTATGCCAGAAGCTGACAATAGAGTCAATATGCAATTTTATAGCTCAACAACGATGACATCTTCCACTGGAATATTGCCCTCATAGTCCTGAACCCGGACTCCCTATACTATGGAGGCTACTTCAAAGCCACCATGACCTTCCCGCAAAACTATCCCTACTCACCACCAGGTATGTTACGCCGAAACATATTTAATAAAGCCCTAAAGGAATTCCGTCGCAAAGTGCACAGGTGACGACACCTGCCAAAAGAAAAAAAAAAAAAAAAAAAAAAAAAAAAAAAAAAATTTCTGAACATGCCCCTATCCCGACCTAAAACCATCAAAATATTACTTACCCCGCAGATAAGAGCCAGAGACGAACCACTCCTACAAGAAAGCTAACCTCCCCTCTAATAAAAAAAAATATATAGGCTTCAAATTCACCCACCCCCTCTTCCACCCAAACATATACCAAGACGGCCGCCTCTGCATCTCCATCCTCCATACCCCAGGCGACGATGAAATGTCCGGCGAAACCGCCGCCGAACGCTGGTCGCCCGCCCAACGCGTCGAATCCGTGCTCATATCCATCCTCTCCCTCCTCGACGACGCTGAGGTCTCCTCTCCTGCCAACGTCGATGCAGGCATCATGCTCCGCAAGGACCCGGAGTTGTATAAGAAGACAGTGCTGGCGGACGTGGAGCGGAGCAAGGCGGATATACCAGCAGGCTTTGTGATGCCGACGCACGAGTCGACGATGGCGATGATTGCGGGGAAGAAGGGAGGAGGGGCTTTGGAGAAGATGGATGAGGAGGATTTTTGGGTAGATAGTGATGTGGATTATGATGATGATATGTTTGGGGGCAGCGATTCGGATAATGAGTTGGTGATGGATGAGGATGAGGATCAGGATCAGGATACAGGGAGTGAGGAAGAAGAAGGGAATGAGGGGGAAGGAGAGAGGCCGGGCAAGGGGAATTTATAAGGGTCCGCTTGAAGAACCAGGGGGAGCAAGCGCAGGTAGTAGGATCTGATAGGGTCGGGTGGGATTGATGTGTTAACACTGAGATCCCTTTTCTTTTTCCTCTCCTCTCTTGTCTCGTATCATCCTCCTCGGCACCCTTCCCTTTGCTCCTCCTCCCTCATTCTCCCCTGGCCCCCTCCCGCCCTTCCCGGTCTACCCCCTATATATCCCATCCATCTCCCATTTCTCTTCCTTGTTCAAGCATATGCATAGCGACAAATTTCGTGTTAGCATTTGGTGTTTAATCGGCCTGGCGTGAGATCTCCCCCACTCCAGTTTTCTGGTATCATTTTTGGTTTCTTCACGGCAAGCAACCGTGTTTCGCTTTTCTTTTTTTTTTTTTTTTCGATTTTATTCTATTCCTTCAATGCGTGTTGGGATTAGAGACTGGGTTTGTTTCTTCTTGCCTTGCTTCTCGCGTCTGTTATTTTCATGTCCGCCTGGCTCCTTGTTATTCAAGATATAGATTTCCTTTTCTTCTTTTCTTTTTTCTTCTACTTTTTCGCCTCAGTTATCTATCATCTTGTACTGCATATGCTTGCTAGCTAGCCCCCTTTCAATACCATCGAATGAAAACATCTTTCTCATATCAGACAGCATCTGTATCCTGGAACGTATGTACCTGAACTCAACCCGCTTGGAAAAACCGAGGGGCATGATGATTTACTTGCGAGTGCATTGCATGGCCGCTTCTGAGAAAGGTAGCCAAGGCTTTTGGGAAGATGGAAGAAAAAGTAAATTATTACAGTTATCTATCTATCTATAGATATATATAGCGGTATATCCCCCAATCATGAATAACATCCAAGCAGTGTATATATATCCAAGAAAAAAGAACCAAAGAAGTACATAGCATATAGATACTGTCCCCAAAAAAATTCCCATATCCATATAAGATCATATAAACCTGAGAGTACTCTTCCTGGTCAAATCACCTACATACCCCAACCTCTCCCTCCGATCATCGCAAACCCTCGCATACTCCAACAGCAACCGATACGTGTAAATCTTCATATCCTCCCTCCGCAGCACCTTCTCCGCCCACGCTTTCCCATCCAGCGCAATCTTCCGCGCCACCTCATCCCTCCCCGGCTCACCCCCATGGCCCAAAAAGTACTCCATGATGCCGTAGATGTCCGCATACGTGGAGTCCATGGGCACGAAGTGCGCCCAGGGGATCAGGCGCGTGTCATGCCATTCCTCATAGAGGGTGGATTTGATGGGGAGGGATGTGGAGAGGAGGAAGCCGCGGTAGCGCCCGCTGAAGGAGTTGCCGTCAATGTCGGCGAGGTATTTCATCCTGTACTGCTGGTCCATGGGAATGTGGGAGGCGATGGCGAAATAGGGGTCTGTGTATGGGCAGGTGGGGTTGCCCTTTTGGCCGGGGAAGCAGACGAGGTCGGTGAAGCCGGCGTCTGCGCTGGTGTCGAGGAGGTCGGCCATGTGACCGGTTCGATCGGTCCGGGCGAGGTGGTACAGGTCGTAGTCTGGCAGGGCGAAGTTGGGCGGTGGTGTTTTACCCGTCTCGGCGAGCCGGACTGTGGTGGCATTTAACATCGAGACGAATCTGTGGCGGTGGAAACCGCGCCAGTTCTCCAGGCGGTTGCGGCCGCCTGTTGCGGTCCCGCGCCAGACGAGCTTGTCTTCCTTGCCTTCCCAGGCGCCGCCGCTTTCCTCGTCGCCGGACCAGATGGTTTTCTCGGCGACGTACACGGCGGCCGGAAGGAGGATTTCGTTGTTGACGGGGAGTTTGGAGCCGCCGAAGAGGGGGAAGAGTTTTTGGGAGGTGGAAATGGAAATGGGTTCGATAAAGTTGCCGTGCAGGACCTGGAGTTCGGGTCGGTTGCAAGGGTTTTTGGCCTCAGTGAAGTTGGCGATATACCCCTCGTAGGTATAGTTGTGGTATTGCGGTGGTGGGGGTTTAAAGAAATCGATGTGAGAAAGGGATTGTGTACGTCCTGAGCTATCCGCTGGACATCCACGGGTCACTATTTTCCAGTAAGGGCTGAAACCCGGTCCCTCATAAGCAGGGTCGAAGGGGGGTTCGGGCTTCTGAGTCTTTGCTACTTTCGTGAACTCTTGTACCACATCCGTGGGTTTTAGGAAATTTCGAGTCGCAAGCCCCTTTGATGTATATTCCTCTATTTTCTCGAACGGCACCACGATTCTAGACTCATCCATCACATTTAAGGGAACGACGACATCGGGGAGATGCTCCTCCAGAGACTGGATTAGACTGGTCCAGATTGGCGCCCAGAAATGCTTTCCAGGCTCCTCCAGTGTGGCTTTACCATCGCGGACGACAACCCGGTGCTGGACGCTGGCAGCCTGTTGGCGCAACTCGGACGGCTTGATTGCCCAAAACGGGGTCAAGTCGTGTTCAATCTGGTCGAAGAACTCCTCTATGATAACCGCATCGTGCTTCCTTGCATACCTAAACCATTCTTCGAAGCCGGGTGGAGGGTGCCTCCCACGATGAAGTCTGTATTCTCTAGCTGCAGCTCTGATGTCAAGTGTCTGGCTCTCCTGCAGCCGCCTCCACTCCTGCTCGGCCCTCCATATGAGTGAGTTGATAGGGTGCGGGCTGGAGAAACTATGGCGGGATGGGGTTTTCTGGCGCGGGGAGTACCAGAACGGCAGCGAGAACTGATGGACGAGGGCGAGGACGATGGCTAGGGAGACGACGACGAGCAGTCCATGACGCGCCCTTGGAGAGAGGCCTGGCACCCGAGCCAGGGCAGCCCTGATCATCGGAAAAGATTGTTTAGCGGTTCTGCTGCGGTCCACAGCTGTGGTTCGGTTCCTACAATCACATAACTGTGCCCCTTTGATTTGCGATGCAGCTATTGTCTGCAGCCTGCAGTGAAGGTTTTGAAAAGGGGAGGCTAGTTTCACTGAGGAGATCAGTCAGAAAATCCAAAGATGCTTATTTATTAGTTTTGGCCCTCGGCGCTATCTCGAAGCTAAATATCTCGAAGGGCCTGCCAATAATAGGCGTCTTTCTGATGCGAAGGCGTCTGTCTGTCAGCTTCGAGAAATTCAACGGCCCCAACGCCAGGACGTGCTCCTAACAATGTCAGAAATCGAATTGACCAGTACAAGAATCCCTCATTAGAATCGCAAGAGATAGAGCAGGGTTCAGGTTAGCTGCTGACCGTGTCTAAGCTCAATCTCTTTGCTGTTATCAGACAATAACGCTGAGACATCATCTCAAGAAACCATCAAGCAGACCTTATAGTTAGTCATTGACTGCAATAGACTTTTGGCAGCATACTTTTAAAGTTAGAATCTATTCTCGTGGTTCTTGTCTACGAAAGTTAAAGACGATTATGACACTTAGTGGCGGAGAAAGCAAAATTATATGTATATTCCCAACGAAATGTCCCATCATAACCTCCGTTTCTTCTTACCTGGCTCAGCCCACTTCAAAACAATGCCATAACTGTCATAACTGTTTTTATGAAAAGTTGACAAAGTACTGTTGTCAAACAAGCTGAAGAATCAATATAATTTGCCTAGGTATGTACATCTGTATATATATCCAGTACGGAGTACTCCGTACACAGCAGAGAGACAAAAAAATAATTCGTATATTAAATTCTTGGCGCCGAGTATTCTGGAATTAGCACTGGTCATGTGACTCCTGGGGCTCTTTAGCGCCAGTCTGACATCACCGGATCGACATTCGACATCATTATTCCATTCTCGATGTTTTAATTCAGCGTCCATCGCACATCGAATCACACCATTTCCTTTTATCCCTCGAAACATACACCCTGTAATCTACCTCCTGCTTTGACGAACAACCCTACCATGGCAGCAAACACAAGGTATTCTCCTGCACCGCAGCGGGACTCGCTGGATGAGCGCCAATATACCCAAGCCCCCCCATCATACCAGGCTACATCCGATCCAACGTCTGGGCTGCTCGACGGGGCTCGCTCTGAAGATGATAACGTCCCGGACGATTTCAAGGTATGTGAACTCCACGTGAATTCTGAAGAAACGCCTTATACACTATCCCGTTCAGATCATTGCTTGCTGACCCGATGCTGGTATCCGCAGTTTGGCGGCTCTGTTGCGGAAGCTACGCTTCCTATCCGGATGCAGTTCATCCGCAAGGTCTACTTTATCTTGTAAGCTTCGACAATTCTACTACATCCCCGATCTAATTTGCAATTCATGTCCTGCATATACCCCATGCAGATACATCCATTGCCATCAGTATCTCATGAGAAGATAACTCAAACTCAACCCTCCACAGAACCGTCCAGCTCCTTTGCACGACAATTCTCAGCTCCGTCTCCTTCTTCAGCGACAGTTACCGCACCTGGATCCAGTCACATTCCTGGCTAATGCTCGTCTCAGTCGTCAGCGCCCTGGTCTTCATGGGCCTCACCTACTGGAAGCGCAAAAGCTACCCAACCAACCTCATCTTCCTCAGCGGCTTCACCCTCCTTGAAGCCTACGCCATCAGCGTGGTGACCTCCTTCTACGATGCCCGCATCGTCATCCAGGCCCTCATCCTGACACTGGGCATCTTCGTCGCCCTGACACTCTTCGCCTGCCAGACCAAGTATGACTTCACAAGCTGGATACCATACCTCTTCGGCGGGCTCTGGTTCCTGATCCTGTTCGGCTTCATGGCCGCCTTCATGGGCCCGAGCAAAAAAGTTGAGTTGGTGTATGGTGGGCTGGCAGCGTTGATTTTCAGCGCCTATATCCTGGTGGATACCCAGCTAATTATGCGCCACTACCATGTTGAGGAGGAGATTGCTGCTGCCATCTCCCTCTATCTTGACATCATCAACTTGTTCCTCGCCATCCTGCGGATCCTGAATAGCCAGAGCAATGACTGAACTCAGATGCTCTTGTAGGATCTGCGAAGGCGAATTGTTTCATGGGGTGAAACGAATGGCATCTAAGTGTTTTCACCTCACTATTCGGGATCGGAACGGGAAGTTATAATGAACCTGACTAAGTTGGCTAAGTCTCTGCTGAGCGAGGTACTGTGTACGATTTTCATTTTCATTCTTATTTTTTTCCTTTTTCTATGGTTGTGCCTTATATTCTTCCGTCCCTCCTTCCCCTTAGCTCTACCGTTGTTATTCAAGTCATCTTAATCTTGTGGAAGAAAACTATCTCCATTTCCGTCTTTACGCGTTTTGTTCTATCATAACTCTCGCTTTTCCTCTTTCTCCCTCCCCCCGCCCTTCCTTTTTTTTTTTTCTTTTTTGAATCTCCACATAAATTTTGTATACTGTTAAGCACGGTTTTTTTGTTGGTTCTAATAGCTCCAATTTCCTTTGTGTGTATTTAAAACATATCTATTACTCAATACAAACTGCAGTAGTCCTCAGCAACTGTTTCCCCGTGGAAATATATGAACAGAAATCATTGCGTAAGTTTTACATACAAATGCCCGATGCCCGCGCGCGGAGCGAGAGGAGAGAGCTGAATCCCCTTCCGTATTCATTAATTAAGTAAGTGGAAACGAAAGGGATTGGAGATTTATTCTAACATAATTAGAAATCCTATTCGAGTAAGTAGACGTAGACGTATGTATGTACATGTACATGTACATGTATACAATAGGTAGGACCAAACCCCAGATAATGAAATGAACGAGAAGTACTCAGAACGGAGCCTTCGTTTTCGTTTCGATTTTTGGTTTATTCTTTCGCTAGTAACACTGGTAGTAATATTTGCAGAACGAGAAGAGTACAACGTGGAAAAAAAAAAAAAAAAAAAAAAAAAAAAAAAAAAAAAGGGACGAAGCAGCAAAAGAAATTAGAAAACTCAATACGCAAAGGGGGTACTTGGAGTAGGTAGCAGATACACATTATCGCAAACGGAAACGGAAAGGGGGGAAATGGGTCTATAGGATTTGATAGGGTTTGACGGTGATGCTAGATGACACAAAACAAAAACAAAAGAACAATATCAGAGGTAAAAGTAATGACGAGAAAATAAAATAAAACAGGAAGCAAATGGGTTGGTATTGCGTGTTTAGATCCATAGTGGCAAGGATATTATAGTACGAAACACAGAACGCCAACGTCCGAAACCCCAATATTAGCTGACGACTCCTCAAAATTAGAACGGACAAGGGATATGGTTGCACAACTAAAGTAATAATCTGATTATCCCAAAAGAAAAAGGAAAAAAAAAAGGAAATACAGGATGAAGAATTGTGGAGGAAGCTGGATGGGAGATCAAAACAGCCATTTATCCTATCCAGTGTTGCTAGATCGTCTCTATAGCCCCTGGAATCGATTGGTTTAAGGTCCCAGTCAAGCGACTGGGAGAGAATTTGTGGCCTAGATTTGAAAAATAGACATTATGCAAAAGAAAAGTCGTTTTGCGCTGTGTCCACCTGTGTCCATGCTGCAGGAAAGAAATAGGGAGTAACACTAGAATGCAGGGATTAAAATGATATACTCAAGATCGTAGAGAAGGCGTGGTATTTTTCTACGTCTGAGTGTTTGTATAAGTATAGGATAGGAGTAAGTGGGCAATTCTGGGAGAGGGAGAGAGAGAATGCGGGTGTTATTGGTGTGAGGCGAGGAAGAAAGTGTTGGTAACGAGGCAAACAACCATGACAATAACCCCGTATATCGCAAGACCCAAACTCAGCTTGCGGAGGAGGATCTTTCGCCATTGCCGCGTGTTTCGTTTAAGGATCCCGCTGGCTGAGAGGATGCCGCTGGCGCTCAGAAGACCCTCGCCCTCCGCGCCATCATCTGACATATCATCCGTAGCCGCCTCGTCGTTCTCCTTCATTAATTGTTGATGTATGGCAGACTCGGGGGAGGAGATTTTGTAATAGAAGAGGCCGGGAAGGATGAAGCTAATGCTTGTGCTACCGGTACTTCCTACGTACGCTAGCACGGCTTCGAGGGATGATACCGTCATGGCAACGATGTAGCTTAAAATAAGGATTACCGTGGTGATTATGGCAAACCGAGTATCTCCCATGGTATCCTGAGGCTGGTTCGGTCGAGGGAGGAGAGGGTTGCGGTTGGGAGAAGAATTGGAGGGGTTGGATGAGGATTTGGGATTCCACCGCCACTTTAGAACAGCGTCCATCGATGCTCTGCAAGGATGGACCTGGAGAGGGTAGGAAAACATGACAAGGACAACGATGGCTGCACGCGCTATCGTTGCAGATAATGATGGCACATACATGCCTACAATATTGCCGCCAATGTTGTTTCCAAAGGAAAGGTATCCTGTAATTGCGATGAGAACATAAGTAGAGGCAGCACTGCCAATGCTGGATACAATAACACTTGTTGTTCGGAAATGAGTGCTGTTGGAAATTTCATTGAGGATTGAGAACATCTGAAATATGATACGTTAGCAGTGAGACGCGAAAGAGATTCTAGTTCCAAATGGAGGTATACATTTTGATGGCAGGTGTATGCAAACACCATAACTGGGAATGCACTAAGGGCGGACACTGCGCTTTGCCATTTAAAATAATTAATCGGACCGCGCTCCGCCATGGTATCTCCCTTGATAAAGTGAGCAACGACCAGGACCAGCAGGTATCCGATAGAGGTTAGAGCAATGATGCTCGTATACTTCAAAGAGTCCAGTCGTCTCAGGAATGAAAGAGGAATAACAACCAACCTAGACGTATACTGGTTAGCAGAATAGCTCGGAGCGGAACGTAGGACGCAAAGGGGTATACAAACATAAATGCCGTAACCCAGAATTGGCGATCAAGCAAAAAGGCCATCCCAGCAGCATCTGCACCGAAGCCTTCGACAACCCCAGGCATGAGATCCCCGATGATAATCAGGTAACTTACGCCCACGCCGAAGCATTTTATGGCGATTGCGACATCGAAAATTACAGCAGCATTTGGATACGTGATCTGCGAGAGGGCGAAGAAGGATGCGGTTCCGTGGTCTAGATATTGGGCACATAACGACTGTAGATAGAGGCCAAAACCAGCTGTGAGCCCCGACCATATGATAATGAGGACTCCGAGGGTGATTCCCATCCGCGCGAGGGCACTAGGCATTGCCAAAGCACCGGCACCAACAACTTCTGTGGCATTAACATCCAACTCCTCTAGGAACATTTGTGGTCTGGCCGGGTTGCAAAAAGAAAAAAAGAAAAAAGAAAAAAAAAAAAAAAAAAAAAAAAAAAACTCACTTGTGTTCAACAGGTTGATAACACTGCTTAGCCAGGTAGCCTGTCCACCTAACCCAGACTCTCTTTTGCCCGCATGGTGTCGTCTGCCCCTATTACAAGTTAACAATCCGTACTGTCTGTTGACATATACAACATTTCTTCGAGAGGGTTGCGTGGGCACAATCATGATTCCGCCCACAGCTCAAAGGGAGTATCCGTACCGGCGAGACCAGCCGTGAGAACCTCCAATAGCAACTCTCTCCGCGGATGCTTCGGTATCCATCTTATTGATTAGAAGCGCACCGCCAACGGAAGTCCGTCACCGTTGTGGAATGCAATGGTGATATCACGACGATCGGTGGCACGTGTGGCGGTATCGAGGCATCGCGGGACAGTCAGTCACTAAAGAAAAAAGAGGGAGGGAAGGGTGGCTATACCAGGGCCAAGAACAGGGGGTAAACCGTTTCTAACTCTGTGGAAATAATACTCTAGGTGTCTTGTGGAGAAATAAAAAATAAAAATCAAAAAAGCTGGATGTGATTGATAAGAACAAGGTTGAAAGTCCGGTCTCGTTTGTCCGGGGAAGGTTTTCTCTCCATATCGGGCTTGGCGCACGGTCTCGGCTAGGCCGTTGCTTTTTGGCACAGCACAGTACGGAGTACATATATTATATATGCATCATCTACAATACATTAAGCGTACGGACTTTTAAAACCCTTTGATAGCTCCTACATAGAGCGGCAAGATGCATACTGGATTGAAATATTGACTGTTGCTTGCAGTTGGCATATTCTTTTTGTTTTGTAACGCTTCCCAGATATGCGCGCGGGAAACCAAATTCGTCGATTAATAAGGCTATGATGTAACTACGATCCCAATCCTATTCCTTGGAAACTAACACATCTAGCAGTGTCAGTCTCACAGCATAAGTTAGGTTTGTTGCTATTGAAGGGAAAAGAAATATATACATCAAATACGTGCTTTCCTCCAAGATCCGGACTGCACCCCGCCTCCTTCGAGTCGCTGAACGTCATCTCATTTGCCTCATCCCGTTCTGCGAGAGCAAGCATCGCCTCCGCAACCTCTTCCGGGGTAACCCACACGTCTTTCGTTTTCCTCAAGGAGTTTCATCTTCTCGGGATGCTCTGTCCTGTTTTTATGTACCCGGGGGCAACAACACTTACACGGATGCCAACTCCATCTGAGATTGCTAGGGATCTGACGAAGCCGCTGATCGCGTGCTTGGGTTGCGCAATATATTGGAGTCACAGGGGCTGGATCCTGACCTACGATACTGGAGATATGGACAATCGACTTGGGGGTTTTAGCGTTTGCGAAGTACGACATGACATGGCAAGCTAGGTCGTTCGGATAGGGTGGGTCAGGTTGATATCAAGAACACTATCCCTTGACCCGAGTTGTAAGTGGTTGCTCTCGGGCGACCCTGGTGGGTACTAGATGTTCGAGGATTGCTGAGGAGGCTATATGAGCACGTACTAAAGACAGGAAAAATGCAATAACGAGGCCGCAACATTGAAGTTTTCCACGTACTCGTTCATAAACGCCGGCCCCTGGGCAGACGATGCCAATTTCGCCGACCTCTTTCTCCGCAAATTCGAACATCCTCTCTAGCTGCGACCATTCATTCCGTGACATCTGTTTGCTGAAATACGGGAGGAAGCGGAGTATTGGTCTACAATCCCCCGTGCTTCGGGACGGAGAGCAAGATTTGCAAGGAGACAAACAGCCATTTTGCAGTAACAATTTGACAAAGCAAAGATTTATACGTTTGCATGTTCGCCATGATTCATTAATAAATTAGAATATGTCGTGTCAGACTCTAAGCTGTTTGACTCTTACCAGAACCCGCACCAGTCACTCTCGAGATTGGTTTCACAGTGGCACCACCCGTCTCCGGATCTAAGACGGGAAGCTATCCTCCTAAACTACAGATAGCGGCTTTTATTAGATGCCTACGTCCGTACGTACGGGCAGCCGTGAAACCTCGGACCCTCCACAACAATCTGCGATCCATTCATTCTCAAGAACCCGGTAACATGCATAATGGATTATTGCGAAGGAAAGGAGCATCGCGAGTAATAGCGAGTAATAACGGGCAGCAACAGACCCACCCTACTTATAGTAAAGATTGTTGCTCTTGTATAAAATCTGTATTGAAAAATAAATAAATAAAAATCTGAATTTTGCGTAATAACATCTCTATTGTTCATCTCGTTATCTGAGTCTCCCTCATCTGGGGCTATTTGGATTATTTAGTTACTGTTATTTCAGCTAGTTCAAGTAAAAATGTTTGGTTCAAGTAATAAAGTTAGAGCCAGTTTTTATTTTTTTTGGTTCTTTACGTAGTATCTATGTTACGATATAAAAAAATAAACAAGACTATTCTTCTTATCTTATTAGATTCGAACTAAACAACAGGCAAACCATAGGTCAGCATACCCAAATCTAACAGGTAGTTTTAAACTTGAGTTATATCTATTTACTTTATATTGCCTCCTACGTTTTCTAATAAGCAATGTGATTATTTAAGACTTAAAAATACACTGCTTTCAGCACTACGTTTTTCAGTATGTGTGTTTTTGCCTTATTTATTTAGTGGTTGATTTTTCTGAATACCTACGCTGTTAATAATAAAACAAAATATCATAAAATATACCAGATTCCAGGCCTACATGTGGGGTGGATCACGTGTCTCCGCCACCGCCCCATCCTCTCCAAGGTTCCGCTGAGCCGACGATTGAAACCAAGATTTATCATGAATTACGATGGTTCACGGGAATCTATATATTATGCCACGGATCGCAGTTATCGATCGTGGTGCGTGGAGTGAAGTGGGGGATTGTTCTTTACAGCCAGGCATCAACTTGATACTCCAGCATTTCTCGGGTTTCGGCCAAAATATCTATCTAGAGATATTTCCTATCATCATTGCGGATAAGTGATTTCATTTTGCCTACTACGAATTTATTATCTAAACCCCAAATTTACCGTCTCTCACGAGCATGGCTCTCCTGAAAGTTATACCCCGAACGGGCATTCGAACTGCTATTCGATCTTCTATCCGAACTACAACTCGTGCTTCTTCCACCTCATCTCAGCCCACCAAGGCCGAGGGGGACATATCGTCCGTTTTCCCGAGCTTGAGGTCGGATTATAAGCCAGAGCCCCTCCCAAGGCGGTTTGAAGACCTGAAATTAAGCCTCTTCCAGCCGAATGGAGCTGCGTTGACGAAGAGCTGGTTTAGATTACTAGCCAGCCTGGAGCATGAAGTGGAAGAGATTCGGAAAGCTGGCAGCGACGTACGTATGACGCTTATTAATGCGTGAGAAATGAACTCTCGGGCAATTAGACGACCAGACGATTGACCACGCTTTGCGACCGCAGGTTATACCATCAATCGATTACTCAGAAGTTCTATCAGGCGAGGTTGGCCCTGGTAAGCTGGACGAGATTCGTCGGCGTGGATGCGTAGTAGTCAGAGGAGTTTTGCCGAAATCAACGGCCCTTGACCTAAAACAAGAGGCAAGGGAATATATCTCTGCCAATCGAAGTACGGTGAAAGCATTTCCCCCTGACTCTCCCGCCGTTTATGAGCTTTACTGGTCACCTTCACAAGTCACAGCTAGAGCGCATCCCAATGTCCTTCAAACCCAACGCTTTCTACAAGGAATTTGGCATTCCTCGGATCCTCAGACCCAGCTCTCCAGAACCTACCCTCTTTCTTACGCTGATCGATTTCGCATCCGAGACCCAGGCGATGCCAAGTTTGCTCTAGGCCCACACGCCGATGGAGGATCTCTCGAAAGGTGGGAGGATCCTGAATACTCTAAGGTTTATCGGAAGATACTGGATGGTTCGTGGGAGGAGTACGACCCCTTTGATGCACGGCATCGCATTCACGCGAAAATGAATCTGTACAACGGAGCTGGTGCCTGTTCCATGTTACGATTTTTCCAAGGATGGCTATCAATGTCCGACACGGGACCAGGAGAGGGGACGTTGCATATATGCCCAATGTTAAAACATAGTACCGCCTACACGATTCTCCGCCCATTCTTTAATGTCCAGACATCGGATCCTCTGCTAGATGCTTCATTCCCAGGCTCAGTTCCTGGAGCTTGTCAGGAGTACTCGGATCACACTCACCCGCATCTGGAACTTTCCACTACCATGGTATCCGTTCCTCCAGTTGAGCCGGGTGATTATGTTGCGTGGCACTGCGATTCTCTTCATTCCGTTGACAAGGAACATCGAGGTAAAGGTGATTCGAGCGTGTTGTACATTCCTGCAACCCCGCTGTGCGAGATGAACGCAAGGTACCTCGAGAAGCAGCGCCAAGCTGCTTTGGTATATTCTCCACCGTGGGACTTTCCGAACGCTGGGGGACCAGGTGAGTTTGGCTTTGCTGGGACGGTGGATTGGACAAAGTTAAGCCATGATGGGTTACAGGCTATGGGAATGGGAGCTGCGCCATGGCAGGTTCAGGAGGGCATGTCTCAAGGTGAGAAGGAAGCTATTGAGATGGGGAACAAGATTCTCTTTGCTGCATAATCGGCTCAAGTAAATTTGCATCGTGATCTGTTTTTGCGCTTATCCACTGTTGAATAATACTCGAAGTCATTATGTACTAGATAAGGAAGAAAACGAATTTAAATATAATTGCGAAATGTAATTCATCTTGAACACTTGTAACAAAATTTTCGATTCGTCGAGAAACCATGCGAGATTCTTGTTCTGATGGATATATATTTTGCCTGACCACGCCAAGGAGCTTTGCATCATCGCTCTTCGGCCTTCTTTAAGCTGCTGACACCTCAGCCTCCAGAACACCACATATCACCCTCCCTCACCATCCTCACCCTCTCCCAATGATAGCTGCAAAGCAGACGAAATAATGCGGCTTCAAGCAGCCCTCATCCTGCTGGCCTCTGCCGTGCCGTCTTCCCTGGCAATTTTCGCGGACGAAGCCTACCTCATCGATTACCACCACGCCTTGCTTGGAACTCCCCAGGAACACTCGACTTTCTTCCACAAACCCAGCACCTCCTCCGATGCCTCATTACTCTACACGCTTTCCGAAAAATATGTCCTGGGCGCCGTAAATCCGAAAGATGGCGCGATTGTCTGGCGGCAGAACCTGGCAACAGCCGCCGCGACGTATGATGAGCTTCGACTACCATTGTTGCTAAGAGGTGTTGAAGGTGAGGATACAGTGGTCAGCGCAATTGGTGGTAAGGTGGCTTCATGGGGCGCATTGGATGGGAAGCTAGCGTGGGAGAATGAGTTTCACGATGGTCCGGTTATCGATTTGGAGACCCTTGCCCTGGATGAGTCCGTGGACCAGAAGCAGGCTATGAAGGATTCAATAGTGCTTTTTGGAGAGAAACCGGGCATTGTTAGACGGCTTGATGGCGCATCGGGAAATGCTAAGTGGGAATACAAAGACGATAGGTGTGTTTATTATTATTCAGTGGTATTGGGGGGTTTTTGCCTAGTGGAGATTGTTTTCGGATTCTCGCTGACTGCTTTGTCCTTCCCCTAAAGTGATGACATCCCATTCCAAGTGTCGAGTTCCCAAACGGCTGTTTACTATATTTCCTTGCAATCTGCGATGCGGAAGGGATATAAAATCAGAGTTACTACGCTAGATTTGAAGACGGGACACCAGACTAACCAGTATACCCTGAGCTCGGAGGGAGAGGTTTCTTCTACCGAATCTATTGTCTTCGTCGGAGCCAATTCGATATCTCCGTTGATTGTATGGGCGGATAGTACGTGGAAGACTGTGAAAATAAATGTAATTGGGACCAAACACATCCATTCCCTAGATGTTGAAAACAACAGCGGCGAAGATATCGAGAAGGTCGAATTCCACGCTCCTCGTGCCCTCAATGCCGAACCGCATTTCCTCGTCCATTATTCGACAAAATCCAAATCATGGGCAGAGGTATATCACACGGACATTAAATCCGCAACAATATCCAGAGCTTACCAGCTTCCAATCGTTGGGGAAAGCTCTGTTTTCGCAACGAGTACAAAGGATGCCAACGTCTACTTTACTCGCGTCACGAAAACCGATATCAGTGTGGTCTCTTCTGTCTCTCATGGGATCCTTGCTAGATGGGCTCCGAGTAAATTAATCACTGAAAATGCGCGCCACGCGGTTTCCGAAGTCGTTGCCCGTGGCTCTACATATGCCGTCCGATTTGCCCAGGTTTTGGAGTCTGGCGACTGGATGCTTGTTCGAAACGGCGAGATTGTATGGAACAGACCAGAGACTCTGACTGAAGTTGTAGCGGCATCCTGGGCTGATGTCAATGGTGGGGAGAAGCTTGCCCAAGCGCTGGAAGTTGAGGGCCATGAATCGTTAGTGGGAGCATATATCCATCGCCTGAAACGGCATGCGGAGGATCTGGAGGGTTTGCCTACCTGGCTCCGCGAATTACCTGTTCGCATCCTATCGAGTTTTATGACGAGCGATAGTTCAGATTTAAACAGCTTCGGCTTGGGGAAATTAGTGGTTGTCGCTACACGGAAAGGTTACGTCCTGGCCATAGACTACGCGAATAAGGGCAAAATTTCATGGAAAACAAAGGCCGTCGAATCCCTCGATGTTGACTGGAAGGTGAAAGCGATCAGTGCTGTTCATTCTGTCGCGACAGTATATGTCGAAGACGGCAGCTTTGTTAAGGTCAATGTCTCGTCAGGAGAGGTTATCGAACGCGGCAATCCTTCTGAAACCCTTGAATCCATAGCATTGATACCCAATGCTGGGAATCCAGTTCCCGTTCGCGTCCAAGCTGGTGGTGTTCCCGATCTATCCTCAGTACCTTTGGACAGCAACACATTCGTTGTAACGCTCAACGAAGGTCGAGTACTCGGCTGGAACTCAGCGAGTCCCAAGGTGCCCCTTTGGGAATTTTTACCTGCTCAAGGCGAGAAACTTATTAATGCTATAGCCCGCCCGTCTCACGACCCAGTTGCATCGATTGGAAAGGTGTTAGGGGACCGGTCTGTTCTTTACAAATATTTGAACCCGAACCTTGCTCTCATCACCGCCGCTGGGGATTCGACGGCTAGCTTCTATCTCCTCGATGCTATATCTGGACAGGTCCTTCACTCCATCACCCAACCGGGCGTCGATACCAGCCAACCCATTGCCACAGCTCTTTCCGAAAATTGGTTCACTTACTCTCTCTGGGCTGATGTAACCAATAGTTCGGAATCAAAGGGCTACCAGCTGGTGATCTCCGAACTCTACGAGTCCCCTAACCCCAATGACCGCGGCCCTCTAGGTGACGCTGCAAATTACTCCAGCATCCATACAGACTCCGGTATTCCCCGGCCTCACGTAATCTCTCAGGCCTACATAATCCCCGAACCCATCTCAAGCATGGCTGTCTCTCAGACCCGCCAAGGTATAACAACCAAACAGTTACTTTGCGCCCTGCCAGCCTCTAACAGCATCATCGGTATCCCGCGCCAACTCCTAGACCCCCGACGTCCAATGGGTCGCCCGCCAACGGCGAAAGAGGTGGAGGAGGGTCTCATACAATATGGCGCTTTCCTAGACTTTGATGGCAGATGGTTCCTCACGCACTCGCGCGAGGTTATTGGTGTTCGCGATATTGAATCGAGCCCGACTTTGCTAGAAAGTACTAGCCTTGTTTTCGCCTATGGACTGGATATATTTGGCACGAGGATCACTCCTAGCCAGGCCTTTGATATTTTGGGCAAGGGATTCTCGAAGGTACAGTTGGTGCTGACCGTTGTTGCGCTGGCGGTTGGTGTTGCGATGCTGGCTCCTCTGGTAAGTCGCTCACTCTTCTTTTCCCACCCCTGGCTATAGTTTTATGCTTGCTATCACCGTCAACCCAATGCTAACCGGTGAATTATCTTTCCTTTTTTCATAGGCCCGACAGAAACAAGTGGATATGAAATGGAAGTCTTGAAATGAAAACGATAAAACCACGCAAAATAAATATCAAGTGAAACTCACTTAGTAGACCAAGAAAATATTCCTCCCCAACCACGCTGTTTCTCAAACCAATCCTCTATATAGAGAACATGGCTGTATATTATTTTACATATTGAAGAAAACGAGAACAACAAACTTTCCTTATGTCTCGAAGTGCTTGGATCTTCTATTATTTATATTTAATCTTGTTCTTTGCTGTATTATTTTATTTAAATGCATTGTTGACACATTTGCATCTAGAAGCCCTAGAGATATTATTCTTTACATACATCATAACTTTCCTCAAGGAGGTCGGTAATTATCATCAAATTGAACTTCGTTTTCATGGAGCCCTCTAGGCTGAAATCTCCCTCCGGCCAAGGCGCTAGATAGCTTAATCTCTCAGGGGCCAAAACCCTGCACCTACAAAGTAAAGAGATCAATCGATCGCGAACCTACAAAAGTCAAGATCCTGCTTTTCTTCAGGTGTCGCCAGCAAACGGCCCGGGCGCACGATGTGGTGGTATCTTCTCTACTTCGCGGTTGCGGCCAACGCCGTCGCCTTCACCTCTCCCACTGCGACAATTGCCAGCAACAAGCAAAACGCCCCGTTCAAAATCCCAGAAACAACGAAGGTTCCCCCCGTAGATGGTGGACGCGCTCGCAAACTGGTTCGTCGGGCGACCACTACAGAGGCGCCAGCTTCAGTCTGTGGTTACTTTGCAGGCTCCAAGCGTCAGATTTCCTCTCCAGAATCAAAACTCTACAGTAAGACCGTTTATAATCGAACTAAATGACCCATATATATATATATACAGAATCCCGTCTGGCTTGCTACAATAGCAATGCCTGCGTCTTCCATTCCTCCAACGCCAACTTCCCCCCAATGATGGGCTGCTGTCCGACGGTGTCCACCACCACGCATTGCACGTTTATCAGCACCTGCTACGGCAGCTCTCAGCTCGCAGAAACCTCATCACTTCGCGCCTATTCCAATGATCCGTTTGTGATGCTGTGTACCGGCGACCAAGACCCGCACTGCCACACTAGAACTTGGCCCGGTCTCTCCATCGCGGATTACAAATGTACCCATTCAGCCTCCTCAGGCGCTGAGACGATGTTCACCATCGGCTCTCTGACCGATGTCACGATCGATGCGGACCAGATTACGGAAACCATGACGATTTCCTGGGTCGACGACTCGGTTTTATTGGCGATCCGGGGTCCCTCTGCTACGGGGATTACCGGTACCGAGACCACAGGTCCACAAACCACAGCGACAGAGAGCGGAACCGCACAACCACAACCAGGAGACGACAACAGCGACTCTGATGAAGACTCCGACTCAAAGACGTCGACAGGAACGATTGTCGGCGGTGTTATTGGCGGCGTTGGCGGCGTGCTTGTCGTTGTTATCATCGTACTGTTTGTCTGGAGGTCTAAGCGGAAACGGGCGGCGGAAACAACGGAGACGGTCGCAGATAAGGCTGACCCGGAGCCACCATCACCCTTTGATGGGGGTGGTGGTGACACGGAGCCTATGATTCATGAAATGCATGACATTGACGCCCGCCAGCGACAGGAGCTGATGCCAGAACGAACCTATGTAGAACTGCCTGCACCGGAAGTGCGACACCAGCTCGAATAGAAGGTTTTTTTTTCTTCTTTTTTCATTATGGTTCTAACGGTTTCTATATAAATACCCCCCTTTTCCGTTCCATTTTTGTATTTTGGTATATTAATGATTTTGTATATTTTGCAATCTTTCAAGCAATGAACATGTACTCTTTTTGAAGGCATTTCAGCGTGAAAGCGCTTTCAGATGTCAAAATTCCATTTGCGGGACCTGTTGTTGATTATTAATGAATGAGACCGAGTTCTAGCAGTACAGATGTATATGTATGTACAGTAGTACATCTGCGCTCAGCACGCAATGGAGAGCTAGCTATGCCATTATTCGGTATAACTACAAAATATAAATTGTACATCATAAGATAAGACGATTGACATGCAGACTAGAATCACGCTAAGCGACAGGAGAACCAGCGAGGAAAACTGTCAAATAATTGAGAGGAGATAAAAATAGATCAAAAACAACCTCCATATTTCATCGACGGCAGGGCAGCAAAAGCCCCAAAGTTCAAACCCATAGCTAAAAATAAATATATCTAAACCCCTATCAATAATGATAATGGCCGGTATTAAAGATAGATTATCCGCCCAACCAACCCTATTGATAGTGATCCCACGATTATGCCGTTTCCGTTCCAATTTCATCCAGATAGTTAAAAAGAAAAAAATAAAAGTAAAGGAATAAAAAAGAAGAAAATAAATAAAAACGATAAGATGTTGTAAATGCCAAATAGCCGAAATAGAAATAAAAATTAAACTGTAAGAAGGAGCTGCCTGAAATTAGAATACAATTGTAGCCTGCGCGGAACCTGGGGTGGGTACTGGCATCTTTTATCTCCATCGCTCTTTTGCTGTCCCATCCCATCCGTCCCGTTCCCTTTCCCGCTCGTGCTGGTCCTCTCGCCCATCCCCTCCATACCGCCACAGTCTTGGACCGAAAATTGAAACCGTCTTCCTTCCATCACTTGCTGGCGAAAATGTGAAATTCCGAAGCTGAAAACTACATCTGGCGGGGGTTGGGGGGGGGGGGGGGGGGGGGGGAGGCAAAGAAAAAATTTTGAAAGGCTATACAAAAAGAAAAACAAGCCCAAAGCCTCCATCCATGTCAGGGAAAAAAAAAAAAAAAAAAAAAAAAAAAAAAAAAAGAAAAAACAAGGAATAAGAAGCGTCGTTTTTCGTGAATCCTTCTTCTTTGCCTATCACCCCCATCTGTCCACAGCCTCTTTCTCAGCAGCTTCTCTAGAGAACGTAGTCCACGGCTGCGGCGCGTCAGCAGCGTCATTGTCAATCTTCGTCCCCTTGAATTTGCAACTGCTCCCAAGAGCAGGGAAGCCCGCCACACCATTGAAGGTAATGGCTTCATTGGTCGTGAACTCGATGTAACCATCTTGCGACGTCGTGCCTTCCTCTGAATGAATTTCCCCTTCGCTCGTCGATCTACCACGCCAGCTAAAGTAAACGCGGCGATCCTTCACTGGAGCGGATTGCGTCGCGTGGGGGAGATCGCCTCCGTTCCCACTGCTGCTCGCCTCCGCTTCTTCATCGACATTGCCTGCTGCACCACTCTTACTCATCACGGCGCGGAATTTCTTCAGCGTGGGCTTGTCTGCAGCGAACAGCATCGTGCCCTCAAGGATGCCCAGATTGAATCCACCAATCAATCCCAGGGGGCTTTCTGACGTCCTTGTAATCGTAAGCTCCATCTCTTCCGCCTCGTTTGGCCAATTCTCCTCCACCTCCTTGCACTCCAGTGAGTAGATACCGATTATTTTATCCAGGGGGAAGCCAGATGAGCTCTCCACCGTGCCATTGATATCTTCGGATGCAGCATCTGTAGTTACTTTCCTGGGTCTGCCGCGTTTTGACGGCGCGGCAGTTGTGGCAGTGGTGGTAGTAGGTATATCAGAGTTCAGTCGCGGTTTTTTGCTAGGAGCGGTTGGATCATCTTTCCTTGGCCGGCCACGCCCTCTCTTTGGACCGGTAGGGGCTGGTTTAGGAGGCTCGCTGGGGTTCTTGCGTGGTCTACCTCTCTTTCTTGGAGGTCCAGCTGGGGGCGAGAGTTTCTTCACGGGGTTTCCTGTAGCGTCTAGCTTTGGAGGACGACCTCGCTTTCTAGGTAAGGGGGCGTCAGCCATAGCAGTGGTATACGTGGGTAGAAGGATGGGATCTTGCCCAATTGTCCGAATTGGATGGAGTATCGAGCTGCAAGATATGTAAGGGGATGGAGATGAAACGGGAAACTTGGGAAAGGGGAGAGAAATAAGAAATCGAGCACGGGGTGAAGCTGGGAATGGCAGGAGCACAGGGGCTGTCACCGCTTTCCTGATTCGGAACTTGGGGCCGGGCCAGACCCAAAGAAGCTAGCGTACATTCTGCCACAATTTTATTTACTTGGCACGCTAAGGAAAGGAGACCTTTCCTCTTCGATACTAGTGGATATCCTACAACCTCGGTTGGGTTGAAACCTTAGATCTTCTAAATCTACAGCGTATACGCCATATGTATATAGAGAGATGACGGGCGGGACTGAAGCACAACGGAGAAGCAATAGGTAGGAGGGAATAGTGTCCAGGGAAGTTTGTAGCCCAAAAAGTCCAAGTACTCAATTAATTAAACGGATCGGAGTTTGTGCTACGTATCAATGGGTTTCTGCATATACCTATCCTCTCTGTTCTCTGCTACATTCATCTTAAAAACTGAAGCTACGAAAAGAGGGAGTCGTCAAAAAGGATCTAAACAAATATTAGATCAAGTGGATAGTATGAATTGAATAATAGGGCTGGAAGATAATCATTACTAGAATAAGTAAAAAAGGAACTTTATGGATAAACAAAAGGCCTGGTCAACCAATATAACATGCATCCATATACATACACGTATATATACTTCTATCTCAGGCAATCAACGGTACAGGCATGTACAGAGTCATACAAGCTGAAATTACCGCACACAAACACCTAAAAGGTCAAAAACCAATCAACCCCAATGAATCTAAGAAAGCAAAGGAAGCAAAGAAGCAAGAAATAAGGTCGTCAAAGCTCTGATGCTATGTAAAGGCAAGATCCAAAAAGAAAAAAGAAAAAGGGTAAGATATTAGAAGCACCGTAAGCATGCCGAAAGACAAAAGAAATGCAGCTCACCCCTGCACGCAACGACGCTGAGTTAAACAAGGGCTTGAAGGATCCTCATGCAGTGGTCGGAATTGGCGACCCTTTATCAGCAGCTGCAGATGCGGGCTCAGGAACTTTTTCATTGTCCACTTCCAAAGCCGCAAGGCCTGCCGTGACCGCATCCATGTTTACGCCGCCCCTCCCGTCTCCATTTATCACTACCTCTTTCTCCGCAAGTGCTTCACTCCCCGCAGTACTAACCCCAGCACTGGCATCGGTACCCCGGCCATGTTTCGCCCGCGATATCGTAAGAGTCCTCCTCCGATCAACCCCGTCCAGACTCCCCATAATCTCCACCGTCTCTTCATTCCACGCAACGGGCCCGTTGACAAAATCCGTCCTTGTATCCCCCGTCACAGGCACAGATAGGTCTGCAGCGGAGACATCATTAGTCCCCCTTTCTCCAACGCGCATCAAGACGCTTGCGAGTTTCTTAGCCGGCTCGTCAAGTGACGGCATGTCCCCCCAGTTCCACTCCAGCTCGCCGCCGTACTGTTTTGGGATGTTGCTGGGGTCCATAAAGGTGCCGAGGGTGGATTTTACTTCGGATGCGGAGAGGATGAAGATCTTTGATGTTGTCACGGGGTCGAACCAGCGCTTTATCCAGCCCCAGACGGTGGGGAAGAAGGCGGGAGCTCCGATTATCTGTTCTCTAACGTTAGTTCGTATTCTTCGCTTTCAGCTCTTTTGTTAAAAAGAAAAGTTCCCATTTCCGGTTTCTTCGGAGTAAAAGGCTGGCTGTCTTTGTATGTACGCCCGTTTTGGGACGGATGGAATACCCATCCCAACAACCAAGGGACGGAACTGATGATATCCATGCTGAGATAGCAATGAAACACACACACACCAAAAAAAAAAAAAAAAAAAAAAAAAAAAGAGAAAAAGAAAAAAGAAAAAGAAAAGAAAAAGAAAAAGAAAAAGGCGGCTAAAGAGTGAAAAGAAAGGGCTCCACATACAAATATTCTATCCAAAGTCTCCGGATAATGTGCTGTCGCCAACACGCTTGCATCCTGCATATGTCCTTTTAGATTCCAAAACTGCTTAAGTCCCACGCCCGAAATATCCACAATATTCGTCGTGTTCACAATCGGAGTCTCCGGATGCGGCCGCTCTAGCTCGCTACACAACGGCAGCACAAACCGGATCATGTTCTCATACAGCGCAAAGAGACGGAGGAGCCGTGCTGGTACTTTGGAGGAGGCGTGGGTTGCGGATGTTTTGCTGGTTGAGGCACCGGACGAGTAGGCTGCCATGTTCTTGCTGTTTAGGTTCTTTATTACGAAGACGTAGATGGGAATTCCACGGCGGTCTCGTCGGCCGGTCCATTGTGGGTACTGTGTGTAAAGAAAGAAAAAGGGGCCCGTCAGCCACTCAGTCACTCCGTGAACGAGGTTCCATTTTTAGTTATTATGTCCAAAGGGGGCAGCCGTATAAAAAAATTGGTAGACGCAATGAAAATAAAGTTACTGACCACTCTGCGCGCCTCTTCATAAGAATCAATATCAAAATTCTGATATAGCGCGTCGATTTGGTTTGTCTTGCGCCATTCTTCCGTCGACTGGAACTGATCCAGCGCACCCTTCACGTCGAATCTACGCGCGCGAAGAAATCGGCTAATTTTGCAAACACGATCGGGAAAAAAAAAGTTAGATCTAGGTAAACCCAATTGCGTTTTCACTTCGAAGAAAATAGCTCTCATTGAGAAGACCCCACGGAACACACATCCCTCCCCTCCTTTCTCCCCTGGAACACGGAAACACTAATATGAGGGATGAATATATATATTAGGGTGGTAGTGCGTACAGTAATGTAGAATCATCATGGCTTGCGGGAGTTTCACCATGCGCTTCGGTATATAATTGTTCCTCTTTTAAGATGGACTTGAAAGCGTCTAGGGCTTCCGACTGTTGCGGGGATAGGTGATTGAGGAAACCCAATAGCGGATCGGGGCCCTCAGTGGCCTCTCCCTTGCTGGCTTTTGCAGCAGCGGCCTCGAACGACTCAGTTTTTTTCACAGGAGGGTGCTCTTGAGATTGTGGACGCGACTTGGGATGGGAGTGCGAGCTTCTTCTCGAGCGCCGGCTTCGGTTTGATCGGTTGGTGGGGGTTCGTGTGAGGGTCATGGTCATGGTCGAGGTGAATAGGCTTGTATTATTGTATATTTATTTTCTTCTCTGTTTCTGTCTGTCTGTCTTCTTTCTCTTTTTTTGGTTTATATTTGGTCTGTTTTATTGGATATATAATTCTAACGCTGCCGTTCTTCGACGCAGGGAGACACGGCGCAAACAACGTTCTTTCTTCTCAAGGGGTATCTCAGAACAAAACACGACGTAGGAAAAGACATGGAGGAATCTAATCTAGAAAAAGGAGAAGAAGGGGAAGAAGAAGAAAGAATCCGAAGGATCCAGCTGAAAGCAAGATCCCACGCAGTTGGCCGTTGGCGGCTCCTTCAGACGAGACCAGCGCTGAAAATGTATGTATGTTAAATAGTTAGCGCGGGAAGGATTGGTAATAACTAATAGTTATCGGAGTCGGCGGGTACGGACTTTACACGGGCTACGGCTGCCCAATTATTACCAGGAGCAAGATACGACTCATACGAGGAATGAGCCAGATGATACTTATGTTACAAGTGGCAAGCCTAACACCTTGGACAAGCGAGGTATGAAAAAAATGAAAGCATGCCAATAGGAATGTATGAAATAAAATAGACATGCATGCATACAACAAATCTACAAAGTAACAGGCAACAGCTGAAGTAACTACGGAGTAACGGAGTATAGTTAATAGAAAGATAGGTATTGCCTCTGTTGTTGAAATACTAGGTATGATTATTATTTTACATTTCTGTCCCCTTTGAAGGCGAAAAAATAAATCAAAGTGTTTGTATAATCCAAACATTTGTATGATTCACCGGTCCATCTGCCAAGTGTATTATTTGTATGGAAAACAAGATCAGATAAAAAACTATACGTCATACCTACCCCGAGTCATCAGAACCCTAATTTAAAGAAAAGCTCCTCCCCCCTTATATCTTTTTGACTTTTAGTCCTCCGTCAGATCCCCATATTCCCACATTCCCTTCCGCCCCTCCTTAGCCTCATCCTGCAGCTTCTCCAGATGCTTCAGCGTCTCAGTCGCAGACCGCTCCCACCCCTTAAGTTTGCGCGGGACCATCGCGAGACCCTCACTGATTACATCGGCATTAATGCTGTGCTCGAGACTCTTCGATTCGGACGGGTCGAGCAGAGTAACGTGCAATGTACCATCCGGTGCTGTGTAGTCGACATTCGCAACTAATTGGCGATCAAATGTTCGTTCGCCAAGGTATCCTACAGCATCGCGGAGGTACTCGGGAGACACGGGGAATTGTAGGAAGGACAGGACTGCGTCGGTGGCTTGGGGTCGAACCTTTTGCACGGAGAACTGGGGCTGCGTTAGCGGGCGGAGACGGGTCCAGGGCACGGTTTCGTAGTTGCCGTAGTCGATGTATATGACGTCCGCCTTCTTGCCTTCCCGATCGTTTCTCCGGATCTTCGCGCGGTACCACTCGTTGTCCTCCGTGAATTTGGCTGCGACCAGATCTCCGGCCTTGGGAGGGCCGCTGAGTGGAGTGTCATTGGCCTTGTTGAGGTGGAAGGTTCGGAACGCGCTCATCATCTCCGTGAGAGCTGTGGTGCCGGCGCCAATTTGCTGGATCTTTAACTTTCCGTCTTCGTCGATGTTCGTAACCATCACGTCGCGGTAGTCCTTCTCTCGCTGGGGCGCGTCTGCTCCACTGTCTGCGTCATTGGTTCCGCCTACAGTAGCACCCTCGTCCTCCTCCAGATCCTGGCTTGGATCCCAACTATGCCACAGGCCCTTTCGCGCCTCTTTCGCTTTCTTTTCTGCTGCGAACAGCTCCGCAGCGTGACCTCCCTGTTCGGCAGAGTAGGCATGGACGGTAGCAAGGCCTTCTTCAACGAGAATCTTGGCAAAGCTTTCTCTATTGATGTAAAGACTCCCAATGAAGCCACCGACCTTGTCGATTGTCTCGACGTCAATTTCAACGTCGCGTTGCATACATCTTCGATAGGCGAAGTCGTGCGCTTCTTGTCCAAAAGGCTCTCCACTCTCTCCAGGGTTTCTTGCGGATCTGGGTGCGCGGATACCGGCAAGGACCAGGGTGAGCTTAGCATTGTCTTTGGAGAGTATGATGGTGAATCGGGAGCCGGATTTTACGAAATCGACGACACCAGGCACCTTTCTCTGCCGTTGGAGAACAGAAGCCTGAATCTTAGCTTTTTGTACATTTTCGGAGTAGTCCTGAAGCGCTCTGGTTGTTGGGGGTTTGGGTGACCACATTCCCTTGCCCTCTTTCTGAGCTGCTTCTTCTGCCTGTAGTAGAGTATCGTACTCGGGAGACCGGTCGTCATCGTCACGACGATGCCGGATAACGGAAGCGTAGCCAGCCTGCACGAGGGCCAATGCCATGTTTGTATTTCCCGAAATGACCGTACCAACCTCCCGTTCCTCGTAACCGTCCGATGCAGGTCTTTTGCCGTCAATTTTTACTTTGACATGCTTGCCAATAAGCTTCTTGCGCATAAATTCCTTGGCTTCTGCGACGAAAGGCGCCTGCTTAGGGTCGGACAGCTTTGGTTGTCTGACACTGCTGAGGCTTACCCGCTTCTCATCCTTTCCAGTCTTCGTTCGCACGAAAATCGTATCTGCGCTAAACACTCGACTCACAACGTAATCCGTTTGGGCGGCACCAGCGCCGGCTTTGGGGCCAGTATGGCTCAGGAACAATCCCTTCCGCGCTTCCTTCGCGGCGGTTTCAGCCTGCCGTAGAATAGCCATATCCTTTCCGATCATAGTTGAGTGGTGGTCGGCGCACCTGGCCAGACCAGCGTCGAGAAGGAACTTCGCGATATTGCCATTGGGATGGAGGACGCTGGCAACGAGTTGATTTTGCAGTGTCAGACCAAGCAGCGAGATCTTGACCTTCCTCTGGAGTAGCCGTAGCTCCACGAACTGCTGAGCCTGTTCTCCAAGTGGTTCGCCCGGTTGTTCTGTGCCGTCTGCGTTCGTCCGTTTCGTAGCCGGAGCACGGATACCTGCAATGGCAACCAAAGTTTGAATATGTTTATGTGGGGCTACAAGCAGCCGGACCAGCAGGCGGTCGCCGCTAAGTACCCTCTCAACAACTGCATCAATTTGGTTGCCCTTCTCGCTCTCAATCAGTGCCTTTGGGTCTGGCACTTCGTGGGCTGTTTCGAGATCCCCGCTAGTCGACCCCCAGACGCCCTTGGATTCTGTCCGGGCACGGTTTTCAAGATCCCGCAGCTTGTCCAGCAGCGTCAAAGTATCCTCAGATTCTTCCCGCTTGCCCGCATCCTCGCGCACTTTGACCCATCCTTCCGCAACGCAGAGTTCAGGAAGCTCCTGGGTATTGGGAAGTTTCACGATGCCGTATTCTCGTTTTGTGGTGGGGACGGTGTAGAGAACCTGGAACTTAATGACCTTGCCTACGAGCAGTTCACGGAGGAATTCTCGAGATTGGAAGGCAAATGGCTGTTTGAGTGAGGTCAAATCAAAGCAGTATTCTTATGTTAGCGTAGATCTCCCTCAACGACAGAGTGGCAGGCCAATGAAAGGCCACACAGGGGCCTCCGGGCAAGGGGAAAATAGGAGGAATGGTTAATTTATAATTTACCTCATCGCCTTCTCTTCGTAGTCGCGGAGCGGAGACATAGGCCAAGCTCAATGTCCGTTCCTGGCTACGGTTGGTGACATGTGTCAAGATGAGGGTATCGCCAGACAGAATGGCCTTGACGCGGGCTTCCAGGAGAGACATGGTGATGGTCAACGGTGGAATTGACAGTAACGGGCTAGGGATGGAGGAACCAAACGGGTAGGAATATAGGAATAAGCAGTAGTTATAGTACACAGTAGTTATGGTGTGTTTGAGAGAATTGAATACTCGGCGAGCGGTGCAGTGGGAGTTGATGGGGGTTCGGCGCTGGAGCTAAGACGGCAGCAACTAGCAAAGGTTCAGCCACGGCCAGGGGATCCAGACCAGCAATCTACTGTCGAGGAGCCGAGCCATGGATGGCAGTATAATATTTATTTTCACTAGGGTTTCGAGATTGAGTTTACCGTATATGTAGTTACAGGAAAGGAAAAACTCAATATATATACACGTAGCTGCTACTATCAAGAGTGTAGTTAACTATCCGCAGGGAAGTTATCTTGGTTACCCAAGAATCAGAGTACACTGTCCAAAAATTAACTCTTGCTTGCTGGAACCAAGTTGAGCTGCTTGGATTGGTTTGAGCCAGCAAATAAACGCGACCGAAAGAAGCTCTGAGGAAGAAGAGATAAACTTCCAAGACTTGGTTGAGAGAAAACAGTTGGTTCGGGCCCGGAGGAGCGGTTCAGTGTCTTTGGTTCAACGTTTAACTTTATATATAATATGCTGAGGGGGGAGATATATTCCAACAGCCATTCTGCACACCGTTTCAAGAACAGACATCATCAAGGAGATGAGGTAAATCACGAAATACTGGAACCCTTCCAAAGAGCAAAGCCAGGAGGTAATTTTCATAGTGGGTGGTAAAGTTGAATGTGTCGGATATGGGAGTGAAGGGGTCCACCTAGCTCAATGACCTTTATCCCCCAGACCCAGTAGTATAGCGTATAGCAAGCCAGCGGACACTCTTTAGGCCAGTTAGAGTCAGCAATCAAGAAGGGTTTCTGCGAGAAAATAGGTAAGCTTCGAACTCTGCGGTGGTAAGCCATTTATGGGTTGGGTGCAGGGTGCTATGAGATTGATTTCTGTCGTTGAAATATTTATACTGCTAATTAATTGACCGGCCTCGATTCAACAATATTCATGCAATCGTGTCTCTGTGCCTGTAAAGGTCGGTAAGGCTCTAGGCATCTGAACCTCCTCATGCTATGGTGCCTAACAATGTTAAATACCAAAGGTTGAAGATTTTGAAATGAGAGTCATATTGCTAGAGTGATGCGACATTTCCATAACCAAAGGTCATTCTACTATCGGATTTCCCTCCCCCAGCTTACACAGAAGGAAATAGGTACCTTAATAACTACATGGAACAGGACCTTGGTACTATCTCCTACATATCCGTTTATGAAAACTCCCACTAGACCTTGAACACCAAGCCAGTTTCAGGCTCGAGTTCACCAGAACATATCTTGTCCCACCCTTTGCCTACAGCATCCATTCCTTCTCCAACCTCCATCTTCAATCCAGGAACCCCTCCAGCATCAAGAAATTCGCCCCAGCATTTTGAGAATTCGTCTTCAAATTCCTTCTTACCTACCTTCTTCGCCGCCTCCGCAAAAACGTCCGACGCGTTGACTTGAACCATTCCAATAGCCATACTGCGTGATATCCTCTCAAGTACCTCTTCCTTCGTAGTTACCTTTGGCTCTGACCCGATACCGATAGGGAGGACGGTTTTAGCCAGTGGTTTCAATGCGGTGACCAAATCTGTGAAGCATGAGCCCCGGCCCCCAAAGTCACACACAATCACTTTAGTGTCTTTATCCAGGGTACCGGTGATGGCATCAGGGACGCGCCCAGGTATAATATCGCCATACAAGCAGACTAAGTCATAGAACCCAGTGACTTCCACGAATGCCTTGGACGCCTGGCTCGTGACAGCTATAACTTTCCGCGGCCGCGATCCCGCGGGCCGCGCAGACTTCAACTGGTGAGCGAACGTCGTTGCATTCTTCCCAGACGCAGCGAGCAGAATAACAACGGCATCTTTCATGTCCGCATGTTCCATTGTCCATGGCGGACGGGGAGTGGGACCGAGCTCCAAGGTCGATGGTGGAGCTAGATTGGCCTCGTCCCACGCAAAAACATAGCGGTTGAGCCTATGCGATACCGAGAAAGGAATCCTCAGCAGGGCGTCCCAACCCCGGCGCTCATCCGACAGGAGGGAGGCTTGACTTGGCGATAGAGTTAGGTACTCGTTGTATACGGGGAACTGCTTCACCCTGGCAGGGCTAGATTCATGAAATTTGCCAGGTACGGTGGTGGACGGTGATAGTTCCAGATCGACGGGCAGCGTTCCGATGGGTAGATAGCCGTACACGAGGCTTCCGATCGGGAGATCGTCGCGGTTGCTCTCTTTCACGACCCCGTATCCCCACGCTGAGATGCGGCCGTATTTCTCCGCGTCTTTGAATTGCTCGGGAATCGAGGGAGGTAGAGGGTGGACGTCCCACCAACCAAAAAGATGCCCCGCTTTTGCGTAGGATACGTTGTTTGCTGTGAGAGAAAATATGTATGTCTTGACACGCACTGAGGATGGGGATAGTGGCGGGAGCGGCTCTGTATCAGGGATGGAGACGATGTGCTGCTGGGTGAAGTCCTGTTTGCACAAGACTTGAATGGTTGGAGTAGGCATGCTCACGAATGTATGTGCTATTTCGTATCAGGGTTTGTGTATTGGCGAATATGTTACTGCACACGTATAATCATATGAGCACGGCTGATACCCTCCAGAGAAGATGCATGAATTGCGAACATTAATATACTTCACGACCCCTCAGCTGGCAGCCATCCCATCCAGCATGGATATCCTAGATGGTAAGTATTAGTTACTAATTACTATCAGGCCTTCCACCAGAGTAGTAACTACGCTAAAGGAGGGGCCAAAAAGTTAAATATGGCAGCCTATACGGAGGGCGCTATCAAAAGAATTACGCCGGCAAAAAGACAGCTAGATAGTGCCACAAATCTTGGCAGAAATTCACACTGTAATTTATACTGAATATTCAGTTCTTGATTATTCCATTCCAAGGTTGTCTTCACTGCCATTCAACACACATGAAATATGCCCTCCAATCTGCTTCTTTTTAACATGTAATCTGTCTGCCTGTCAATATGCTTTCTTTTTAATGTGTAATCTGCCTGCCAATCTCACCTCACAGTCAGATAAGTATTCTATTTCTTTATCTGCTCATGGCGTGTGGCACACTCACTAGAGGTGAGTGAGTAAGCAGCGGCACGAGTACTCCGTATAACTAGTTACTGTACATGGAAGATTGCGAGCATATCTGTCCAATTGGGAGTTGCCGGCGCCCAAAATGTCTATTATATGCTCAGCTCATGACCCTTTAATAGTAAAACCACCTCACACTTCCTAGACGATGTTCAACCCTCATTCTCCATTCCCCAAATGTTAAACATCCGCATAAATGGTTTGGCGCGGTGGTACGGCGTCTCCACCACCCGTATTGGTGGGCATATCCTGAGGTTGTTGTGAATCAGACCATAAGCTATCCTCCTTATCTGGAGAGAAAGAACCATTGGTGAGAGAAAATGCCATACTTCGCGAGGGCCTCTGCTCCATCGAGCCCCAGGAATAAAAGGTGGAAAGCTTTTCTCGGTTGCGATTGCGATCGGAATAAGAAGAACAAGAAGTTTCAAGCTGAGATTCATCTGAGAGAATAAAGTTAGTTTGTGATTGGTGTTTTGTAATAGTAAGGGGTCAGTCATGGTGTTCTTCCCACCTTGGATATGATTACAGTTGATATCCAACGTTTTTCAAAAGTCGACGGGGCGGGTTGACGGAGAGTCTTAAGGGTTTTTTGAGCATGTTCAGCTGGGGTATTTTGAGTAACTATGCTCCGTATTCACGGGCCACACAGGTTTTGTTTTAAATATTTAGACCTGCAGGGTTTGCTAGCCACATATTTCATGCGTTTTCTCATTTCTCGGGAGACTTTGGACGAAAAAGAATAAATACTCAGGCAGGCAAAGGGACAATATGGATGCCCGGGTTAGTCAATGATGTGAACGCATCCGGTAGACGCGAACAAGATGAAATTTCTCAAAGAATTTATTTGCGACAAAAGGACTGCAAAATGTTCGTGGGAATCATCTGCTGTTGTCTTTTCCTTCGCTGTTAAGGACTCAAAGAAAGGGCCTCTGTCGAAGGCGGGATCTAGGATGTGCCGTGGATAGCAGTAGACCAGTTCTCCCCGGATCTCGTTCCTCGTTGCGCTTTGATACGTAGCATATCTGCAGTAAGTTTGGAGGCTCTTGCTTAAATCATTTTGGTATGATGATGCGCTGTAAATTCCGGCCCCTGGAGCTGCTGAGAATAGATGGGTCAATAATCCTTTGCTCATGGATACGGCGAGGGTTGCGTTGCAGTTACATTTACATGACTGCATCCTGTAGGAGACAATGGGGGTCGCTCGGTCCAACAGCCATTCTTCGTCTGCGGGTTTGAATATTTGCCATCCTGTATATGCTGATAATACACTGATCTGATTTGAAGAAAGGGAAGTCTGCACCAACGTGGTATTATTTGATATCCATAATGGGGTGTGATTTTATGGTGCAAATAGGGGTCCTATGAATGGACGGACAGAACTTTCCACCTTGTTCTTGCGGCCTCGCCCCGGGGGATTTCATATGAACATAATTGAGAGCAGTAAAGTGTGCCTATATCCAAAAGCTGTCAAGAATATTTTTGGAAGAAAAAGTGCCCAAGAAGGATATTAATGCAAACCAGAGGCTATCCGTAAAATTGACCCAAAGTATATGCGCCAGAACACACCATCATGCACCACCACAATGCTTTTCATATGTACGGAGTACACCGCCCATATATCCCCCCAACCAACATCGTCTGAGTGCACTACTTCTGCGCGAAACGGACATACCCCAAAAACCGTAGCTTCCACTTCGCGTAGCTAGGAGCCAGTAATGGAATAATGCCTATTTCCAAATAGGTACATTTAAATTATTCCCGGCGCATGGGGGAAGAGGGTGCATAATCCGCTTGAGAGTTTTTAGCTTGGACGAGTTGTATCGAAATGATATCCACAGCTAGCAAAAAAATCTCGAACCGAGGGTTGGGCTAGCTATGTGCTGCTCAACTGCATCCCGGGCCTGAAGCACAGAAGTTATTTTTTGTCTCTGCCGCAAGGACTTGTCATTGTTCAAAGTGATGAGTATCGTCAAACAGGAGTCCGTATGTATAAAAAATATCTTGCTATATAAACTGATAGTATGATGGTAGAGCGGAGACAGGAGGGTTTAGAACACGCAAGTTTTGAGAGGAGGGATTATAAGCCTCCGTGGATGGATACTGTTCTCCTTGGGTCCGTATATCAGTACTGCCCCTGTGAGCGGCAAATTCGTCTAAATGATATTCGTGACGAAGGGTTGGATCTTGTTTCCGTAGAAAAAGTAGGGGAAGGGTCAAACTGAGCATCCATATATGCCACTATTTGTTTAAGTCGGCGCGAGTCAAGGTTACATAAGTTGATTATTTTCTTGAGTATTTTGCGAACCTTCTGAGCGACTAGATATGTTTGTTCTAGCTCCAGGAGGGTCTGCACGCAGATGGCAAGATAAGTGTATTCGCTGGTGACGTCTGTAGTTTTTACCCTTTCTGCAATGTCTGAGATGAGAATGGTGCAAGCCATCTCAATAATGTGTAGGGCTATCCCACTTAGGGTGGTTGCATTACTATGGTAGACCCGATAGTCCGTCAGGTAGTTCGCGATTTTGATGGCATGCTGCACGCAGATATTTCGAAATTTGTCTGCAGTCTCTAGCTTTCGCGTGTCAACTTTCCCAACGCCAGCTGGAGGGCGATATAAGATAATGATAGCGGCACAATACTGCATACTAGGAATCACGGTTGAAAAAATGTTAGCTAAATATTGTTGCTTTCAATTTGGGTGACATTAGGGTTTGCATACTGCATGACTCCTATCGAAGGAGGTCCGTCTTTTCTATAATATAGCTGGGGGTCCAAACGGACGTACCACTGGTGAAGTCGTTCATCTAAACTATTGGTCTCCACCATCGCACGTTGATTTCTATTTCTATTGCCAGATTAGTTAAAAGTTACTTTGAACAAAGATTTAACTATAATGTAGCTGGGTTGTCATACAAGTGCTCACATATTAGCCCCACTAGCTCTAGAAGAGAGGCCCAGGAGCCAGCTAGGAGAGAGTGCAATGGTAAAGAAGCATTCTCCCCCGACGGTCGAGGGACGGTCACGTTTTCGTCGAGCGTCAAAAAAAACGAGCGCCCAAGATACAACCCCCAAAGTCTAGATGTACGATGCCACGCATTTCAGTATGACCCGAAAAACCGCAGATTGCAGGCTCGCCGCATACCTACCAAAAACAAAACAACCCCAGAAAGTAATCTGGCGCGCTTCTATGTCCATTTGTGGTATATTCTCGTTTGAACAGTCATGATGGAGACCCATCTCAATCGCAAGGCGACAAGCTGTGTTTGTCAGTGCCAAGCTCGTCATATCATTGGAAAATGCACAGTATATAACCGATAGTAAAAGTAACGATTGTATAGTCGTTATCCCCGGTTGTTTTCTTTCCGCTTCCAGTAATCTTGAAGCTTCAGCAAACAAGCACTGGTAATCGTTTATAGGTGGCGGCTGCTTGCCTCTGTAGGCCTTATCTGGCGGAAGAACCAAGGCACGTATTTCTGACCGAGGTGAGATTCTCGCTGCGCATGCCATGATGCAGTAGAGCAAAGTTTTGCTATAGAAGTTCGTTTTGCCTGCGGCCATATCGCCCTCGCTCCCTAGGCCCCAAGTGCTGACCAGGGCTCACCAGCTTCCTGTTCTTTTAGTGTCAGATGCAAACTTGAGGTTGGACCGCCATATTTTAGGCGACCATCCATATGATATCTACCATCGCAGAGATAAGCAATGACATTCTCCGGGTACGACTGAATGAGTGGCGATGGATGATAACTGGGAAATTGATTGAGCTCATATAGAGTCATGATCTCGCGTGCTTGTATGCGGCGACGGAGTTCACTTTCACGAAGAGACTTCTCGAGCTCTTCAATTCGACCGTGTAGCTCCCGGATATACCGCTTGGAAGATGGTCTAGAGGTCAAATGTTAGTTGTTTGTCCACAAATAAAGGCATGTCATAACCGTGTGAGCAAACCTTTTGCGTTCATCCATCTCAGGTCCCGGACATGGTATCCCCAGCCGTTTGCATTTCTTGCAGCCGCCATTTTCTGGTTGGCACTATGTAGGAAAATCATGTTAGCAAGCTTTGTTCATGTCAACTCCCAATAGCCATCGGGAATATGCCGCCCAATATTCAAAATTTATATGGTCTTTGCAGCAGACCTTAATTTTCTTTGCCCGGCAATTTAAACAGGCCAGAGTGAGAACCGAGCCCAACTTTGCCACTGCTGGGTCCGGCTCCGTTTCTTGGCTCTCTTGTAGCTGGAGGTGAGGATTGAGCTGAATTTCTGGCCAAGGTCTCTGTATTATACTGGACTGAACAGGCTGGGACCCAGAGGGTGGTGATGATGAAGTTGGGGGCGGCGGCGGCTGTACATGCTGACCTGGCGGCTGCGAACGAGCTCCTTGCTCCCACTTAAGGTTCTCATTGCTGCTGCTTTGCTGCATCAAGGTCGACGGGACCGAATCCTCCCCTGGCATGAACGGCGCGTACACTGGGTGGTAGAAGTTGGAGGGCTCCATCTCGGTCGTTGAGGCATGACCTAACAACGACTTCAACGACCACCGTGGTTGGTTATCGACTAGGAGAAATGACCAGGATTCAGACGTTGGAAGGAAATTGGGCCTCCAGACGCAGCTGGAGAACAACCATCAGGCCAACGCTGCGCCAATGTGCTCGGGACTCCAATTCTATAAGCCTTTAAAAAAAAAAAGGTTGCGTGGCGAATCTTGAAGCAGCGCTGATCTCCAAGCCGCCAGATCAATAATCCGCAACGGATTGTCTCTCAAGCAGTCATCCCTATGTATGTCTGTAGCTGGACTCCTTTGAATGGGCTTAAGTTATGGGCTCATGTCTCGGTAGACGGGATGCAACTAGGCCAGGTAAATACGGCACAAGTGCTTGAAGCTGGCCACTGTTTTATGCAAGGGAATGACTAACACATCTGCAGCTAGTTTACGGAATAACTAGTTAACCATGTCGGCTATCCAACATCTGTCTCCATGGGATTGGTTTGGATCGGTTTGTCATCGTTCTGCTTCTTCCCAACAGACCCTGTTGTTGCGAACGCTTCAGGCACCTGTTCACGTTCAGATGAAAGATTATCAAACCTCTAAGTCATTTTACATTGTCCCACTGCTCCCGAATGGAATGGCGGTAGGGGGTAGTGCTGTTGGCGGGAGCAAATCCAGCTAGCTCTGGCCAGTGAGAATATTATTCTGCTCCTGTCTGACATGAGTTCCACGGGTCTATTGATAGTCTACAGACTCTGGAGTCCCAATGCTTTACAGTTTAAATTCCTACGCCTTGCTCTCTGCCGAAGTTTACTGCTTTCTTTTTAAGCTTCCCTGTGGGGAATGATATAAGATGTTTGAGGCTCCAGGGCCGGACACTTTAACGACACTCGAAATACCGTGCCCAGCATAAAGGCGAGGGATCTAAACGATGTAAAAAGGCGCTCGCCATCGGCTTCAATCCCTCCAAAATCCTTCGAGAGCGATAGACATAACTACGGAGTATATCCTCGTTGATCAATGAATATCTGACCATCCAGGTGTTGTTAACGGCCGTTGCGACGTATCAACCGGTTATACCTCAAGTACCATTTTGCTTCGACTCTGTGTTACCGGGATGAAGAATGAGTTATTGTCAGTTGATGCATCCCAACCGTTCTGTTTAAGCGATCACATTTCAGCCACGTCGATCTTACCACACAATATCTGTCAACACTTGGCCTGTATTTAACATCCTGCAAGAACTCATCATAAGCTTCACTTGCATATGAGTATAATGAACCAAAGCCAGGCACGCCTGGGTGTATTTAGTCGTCGAGGTTGCCAAGTTTTCCCCTATACTTGCGTCAGAGGAGCAAGAAGTTGGTTTATCCTCTTTAGTTCAGGTGGTATGTATTGCAATCCTTGACGCCGCACACCGCGTGTTGAATTACCAAGGGGGATGGTGCTGGGTACTGGCATCCACTCGCTGCATGTACAGTACATAATCCACAGAATACGACGGCAATATTAGCTCCGTTCCCCCCTTTGCTGCTATTTCAGGCCAGTGCACGCACGGCATCAGTATAGCAGTTCCTCAATATGGCCAATGAAAGAATGGAGTGGCTTATTCTTGGGGAATCGTGACGTTTTTCATCAAAACCATGCAGCCTTTTGTCACCGGAATTACAACCCGATCTTTCTCAAAGCTTTGTTTTTTTCTTTAACATGTTTTCTGAACCAACAGATGGCGAGCTGAATCATTTCACTAAATACCTCCGTTGCAAGCTTCCCAGACCTTGGCCTTCGTGCACAGATGCCTTAAGGTCTTCTCCTTGGCCAGGATGGCGAAAGGAATGTCTTAATTTACTTAAGCGTTGGATGTGCCCTCAAGAGCGTGTTGGATGGGACACGATTGTTAAACGTGTGAACTATGTAGTCTATCCATGCCGCCAAAAAGGAGCTTACAGGTTTCACCTCCACCAACCCCATGACTTTCGACAGCTAACTTGGATATGCATACCTAACACTTTCCTCTCTCTTTCAATTTACCTTTTCATCTTCCCCATATGCGGTATATGGATGTGCAACTAGAGCGGCCCCAGCCACCACTTGAGTCTATAGAACGTCAACCAACTACCCTCAAATTCTCGTCGAGGGCAGCCCACACTATCAACCACCTCAAGAGCAGACAACACAGTTCCCCCCATATTTCTCTCCCACCTCCCACATAAGTCGGCATAGACAGGCCGCTCTGCAGATCCCGAACAAATATAAGCGCAGTGTACCACCCTTACGTACGTGCAGGACATACGATTATATTCCACCTATGTGTACATGTACTCCGTGCTCGTACGTACAATCATCACGCATCAAATCCACCAGCTCTACCGCGTTCCTCATGACGGTATAAATCACATATCCTGCACTTCCACCCCCTCCCCTCCTTTTCAGGAAACCGGGAGGGTGAAGCCGCGTGTGATAATTTTCTCTGAAGGAATCCTGGGTACAAGGTTTCTCGAAGCAATTTGAAATGGGTTTGGAGATTGACATGAAGCTGTTTTTCTACCTGAGGTGTCTCACCAGCCGAGCACACTACTCTACGTGAAAAGTACGAGTATTGTAGCCATTCAATTGATATTTTACTATACAGCTGAGAGACTGAATTACTTGGGAACTCAGTATTGACAATTCAAGTAGGTCGACCCTCTTGGCTTTTCTCCTTGCTTAAGAAATATATAATACTCGTTTCTCCTTCACAAAGTAAATATGTGGTGTGGTATAATATTTGTTTTTTCTACATTCCGGAAACACTAGCCCATTAATTTTTTAATACCACTTTTCATTTTCTGCGGGGTTGACCTAGGATTCATTTATGCAGTGATGCCAATAACACCTGTGAATAAAGGAAAGATACGTTAGTAAATACAACGGCATCATGCCCCAAACGAGGACCCGAAATATGGGCAATACATACCGCACGCGGGGCGGGGACCAGCATTGCCGGTCTTCTTGGACTCTTCATTGCCACCCTGTCCAAGGTCATCAGTGCCAGCATGGATGACGACGGTACGCTGTTTCATTCAAAGAGTTCCCTAGTTAGTAATCACCAAAATCTCTAGAAAATAGAAAAACGAAGTCAAGGGGGAAGGGGGAAGGGGGAAGGGGGAAGGGGGAAGGGGGAAGGGGGGGGTGGGCTTACTCCGAGAACGCTCTGCTCACCGATGAGCTTGACTAGTGGGTCCTCGAATCTTCCAATGGCATTGCCTTCTGCGTCAGTGGTGATGTTGCCTAGGTCTCCGACGTGGCGCTCGGTATCGGTGGGGGAACCGTGAGTTTTGCCGAAGGGGTTGACTGTTGTGATGGAACAGGAGGTTACTCTATGAACGTGGGTATATATGTGGATAATGGGATATTTTTAGATGTCAATTAATTGGTGGGGTAAAGGACATACAGTGGGGGCCGGCAGAGGTGCAGCCATTGGTATTGTCTCCGAACTGGTGGATGTGGAAGCCACGCTCGGCATTTGGGTCATTGCCGGTAATAGTGTATGAAATGACGGTGTTGGATGACTCAGAAGCCTGCTCGAAGGTGACGGTACCCTTGACATTGGAGTCACCACGGAGAATAGCGACTGCAGGAAAAGACCGGGGAGTGGTAGGGGTTAGCTCAGTTGTTGTCACGAATGTATCTAAAGGTTGTTTATGAAGGTTGAGTGTAGAGCCATCACGGGAGCAGGGTAGAGCTTGGAAATGTGCTCATGGCTACGGATGGTCACTCCACAGCCGGACAAGATTCCAATCAATCTACTGTAGGTTCTCCCATTGGGCATTTCAAGAACCCGAGGACCTTGGGTGAAAGTGCGCAAGGCTGGTTGGTAGGTTGATCCCGCACACTCTTGAGGCATCCTCAGTAGATCATCAGATGGGATGGCGGGGCAAAGGCCGGGATAGGAGTTCTAAGAAATAAACAAGCTTACCGGCCTTGACCATTTTGACGGTATTGGATATTACTTGTTAAAAGGGCGGATACAACAAGTGAGATGTTGGGTGGAGATGACTTCTGGGGGATGAACTGCAATTTAAAGGAGAAGAAGAGGATGAGGACGAGGAAGACAAGAAAAGAATCCGGGTAGAAGTAACATTCCTGTCGCCGATGTCATGTCATTTCCTGTTCGGGGGCGAGGAGGGGCATGCTGACTAACCCACCCCGCCATCGACGGGCCGAGGGTCCGTGACGTCATCTCACGTGACCACAACACCGGTCCGAGCTTCAGGCCTTTCCTCTTCCGGGTATCAATAGAGGGAAGGTAAAAGACAACGACTTCTTTTTAAAAGGACAAGGAGACATACATCTATATCTAAACGTACATCTTTACAACTTTACATCTTCTCGATTAGTCTCCGCTATGCTGGCTATATATGTTCATTTCAAACTCGAGATAAGACTGCAGCAGTGTCACTCGCCCGCTCTCATTCGCTACATACAGAATACTCATGAAGTAGATATCTATATCTCTCTGTACAGAGTAGTTACTACCTGTTCCAAAAGATGATCTTCTCTTATCTGGAGGGGTGCTCCATATAAAGTCTCCCACCCGAGTCAAACTCCCCGGATTATGCTTCCGTGAAGAAGCAAAGGATTATGCTTCCGTGAAGAAGCAAAGGATTATGCTTCCGTGAAGAAGCAAAGGATTATGCTCATTGCTCCTGCTCCACAGGTGGTTGCTGCTGTAACGTAGGCGCTGCCTAGGCCTCAGGTGACGGAAGGCAATACTGTCGAGACGACAGACGGATCCTCCGTATCAATCAGGGCTGAGATTTGCAAAGATTCAGCAAGCGGGAATACATGTAGCCATGTTGCTAAGTATGTCTTTCATGTTGACAGAGAGATCTTGCTGAGCTTGTTGGACATCATGGACGGAAAATCCCGGTTCTGACGGAGCAAAGAACCGGATTGTTAATTGTTATCGTCAAACCAGGATCACATATTGTCTTGTCCAGCCTTGACTATGAAGCCTGCTGTGTTTTCTTCCTTCTTCAAAACCTACATCTGGCGAGCCGAGAATTTTCCCGTCCATTCAAGCTCTCCCACTTGTGCCCATGGGACCTTTCTCAACGGCTAGGCACTTTTGTCATCCCCCACCCTGCGGAGGGCAGGTCAACTCAGCGTACCATGAGTTTGAGAGATTCAAAATATCGAAACTCCAAGTGGAAGTGAAAGGGAAATTCATCCAGTGCCTTTGTGATCTGCACACCCCACCACTAGTTGATACCTGAATTTCAATGGTGTCGACGGATTTACCACACGCCAGATCTGATAAACTTCGACTGAGGACATGGACTCAGCGTTTAAAATCAACGATAAATGGTGCGGCTCTTTCTTTACTAGGGACGACCATCGAGCCATTCCACGTTGTTGCCGCTAGCTTGGGCAAGTCGTGCCAAATCTCCGCGTTACGCTAGTTTCTTTTTTTGTTGATACCAACAGGCCAAGAATGGGCGTGTAACAGGAGCGAATCATGCTTTGAGACGTCCAAGTTCTCCCGCTTCAAGCCCAAAAAAAAAAAAAAAAAAAAAAAAAAAAAAAAAAATTGAAACTATGTTAAAAAGTTACAATTATTAATAGACAAAATGATGGTCTAACATGAAACAGAACGAACAATCCACCTCCCTAGCTGGAGGACAAAAGTGACAAAACTAGCGCAATACCAGCCCCACGAGATTTCCAGCCATCTGAGCGAGATATTCTCGCAGCATTTTGGGGGAATTTGAAACAATAATTATCAACATCCAATATAGAACCCACGAGTGCTCTCAGGATCCATTTGGCGCCCTGCAGAGCTAAACACAGTCAAGCAGGCAGTTTTACTGGCCGTTGATGACCGCATTTTGCAGAAAAAGAACAATAGGATATTCCTTCCTTTTGTTCTCAGCGGGGTTAGTGGCGTTCACGATTGGCTGATTCCCGATCCATGACCTCGCAGTCGCGCTGGATAGGCGAAATTTGGAAACTGATGCAACGGCTGAGGCCAACCCAGCCGCCAATTACCCACGCATGAACCCCAGCAAAGAATTTTGCAACCCTACCTCTTATTTAATCAGAGTTCGCTAGCCACTTTATTTTGACGCTTATCAAGGCACGATTTGACTCCATCTATTGTTCCCCGTGGTTCATCACCCTAAAGAGCTACCCTGAACCTAGAGTATTACTCTCTTGTCAACATATTCTTTGATACCTTTGCCTTTAAAATGAGTGATACAGGTTCTTCTCAGCTTTCAGACTGGGAGGAAGACCTGCCAGACAATGTTCATTTTCGCCTTCCAGGCTTCACGCTCCCGCTGAATTGGGAGCCTACCCCGACGAGCACCCCACTCACAACCCCGCGTGCTAGCATAGACGGACGGACGCCTAGGCTTCATATCCTTCACATTCAGGGCATACAGAGAGGCCGTTTCCCAAACGCTTTGAACTATCAAGATGCGCTCGATGATAATTTGAGGTAATCTCATGGTTCCCGGTTTGCGGTTACTAGGTATTGATTTGGCAGATACCCAGCCCTGACGACTCGAGAAACACGATGGTCCAGATCATGAACGAAATCACGGATAAACCTAACTGGAATGTGAAGGTTGGACCTATATATCCCTTAAGTATGCGGGCATTGCCCTACTTCCGTGTCTGGTTATTCATTATATCACTTCTGGCCCCCCCATTCTCTCTCTCCCCCCCCCCCAAAAACCCTACAATCCATTCTACGACAACCTCACCATAGGTAGCAAGTGCCTATCCACCACAATCATATCATTTACTAATCTTTACAATAGGTTTCTGATGATACCATCGTGGAGAAGTGGCGGAAGGAAATGTTAACGGGAAACTATGGTTTCTCGGAATCTATGGCAAAATGGGTTATCGATGAGCTCCGCTACAAAACAAGGATTTATCATGAATATGGGCTTGTGGACGTATTTAACGGCGGAGTAGTCAAATCAGACACTGCTGTTCCGGGATCAATCGACCAGGAGTTGAGAAATGGGGTTTCGAAACTAGAAGATGTGCCTGAGAACCTCAAAGATTACCACCCTTCCACGAATGAACAGATTCTGAATTTAGTGAACCCATCGCTCTTTCCCCTTGTCTATGGCCGAACGCGTATCCTTGGCGAGAAGCTCTTAGGGTTGGGCGACTGCATCGCCAGCTGCGGCCTTGGAGAAACACTTCCAGTGCCGCGAGACAAATACACCGTGTTTGATGAAAAGCTAGATAACCACTCCGGTTGGGCGGGTAATTTTTGGAAAGACAAGATATACAGCCAAAAATTCCAATGGCTACCTTGCAATGTCGAGTTCCTTGACAAGAAGGGCTCTTACCTACCTCTAGATCCGAAGGACCCTTCAAAAGTTGCTGCGGCGTCTCTTGCTCCGCCATGTCGGATAACAAGCTATATCAACAACCTCCATCCCCACAAACATCGAGATCTATACGAAACCATCGAGAAGGTGATATCCCGCGCAATTCCCCTTTGGAATAGAACCCTATCTTCTCTAAGTGCGGAATATACTCGACGTATTAACTACGATATATGCGTTCGGGAAAGTTCGCTTTCTCCGCCCCGAGAAGGAGAAAATGGATCTAGAAAACAGAAACGTTCAGTGACCAAATCTGGATATGTATTACCAGAGCCTAGAAAGTTCGAACCTACGATGACGCCGTCGCTGTCACCAGGTTCCGTGGACTTAAAGAAACAATACCGCAAGTCTGGCTTTCAAGTGATTGTGAAACTTGCAAATATCCACCTAACCCCTGAAAAACCCAAATATAACGGCGGTGTCTGGCATGTCGAAGGCCAACTTGTAAGTAACAAAGCGTACTCCCAACTCAGTGCATCCTGCATATTTAAAACGAACAGCTCCATTTTCTAACAAACCGCCAGAATGAACACATATGCGCAACAGCGCTCTACCACTACGACAATCACAACATTACCAACGGCCACATAGCCTTCCGCCAACAATGCGCCACAAACCAAAAAATCAAAAATAGCCGCGGCGAAGACCCAGACTTCCTCCCCGAAATCTTCGGCAAACACACCCTATCCTCCGCAACCCAAATCCCCGGTAGCGTCGAGTGCTCCCAGGGCCGCCTCCTCACGTTCCCCAATACCCTCCAGCACCGCCTCGAACCCTTCGAGCTAGCCGATAAGTCCAAGCCAGGCCACCGCAAGGTCCTAACCCTCTTCCTCGTCGACCCACATATCCGCATAATCTCGACGGCAAACGTGCCCCCACAGCGCCGTGACTGGTGGACGGAGCACATCGAGTCAACGGGGGCGCTGAAGAAGTTGCCCAAGGAGTTGGTGGATATGATTTTAGGCAGTGGCAACAAGGCGGATTTCCCGTTTAGCATGGAGGAAGCGAAGCGGTTGAGAGTGGAGTTGATGGCGGAGAGGACGGCGAGGGTTACGGAGCAGGATAGGCATTTTAGGCATAGGGAGTTTTCGCTTTGCGAGAATTAAACACTAGGTACTGACGGGGTCACGGTGGGCGGGGTGAGGGTGTGTCGTGATTGGGTGATTTCCTGGTTTGATATGATATTTTTTCATACTTTGTTGAGTCAAGGGTTTTTTCTATTTTTTCTATGTTTGAGCGATTGATAATGTCTTTTTTTCTTTTGCTTGTGCTTTTTCTGTTCTTCACAATTTCCTTCCTATTCAGGGGAGCACTGCTATATCTTTTTGTGGTTACCGTATGTGAAATTCCGGGTTACACCTGGGGATCACTGCAAAGCCGGTTTGCGGAATGGGGGGGAAGAGATGGGTGGCTACGCGGACAGTTTACTAGCTAGAGGTTAGAGAAGAGATTTATAACACCAACACTTTTGCAAATTATTATCTATCCTTATTATCCCCAAGACGGTGCGAATGAGCTGACAATGACGACATCCACACCCCACCTACTGCGTATCTAATACATACATGCACAATACACCCCCCTTTCCCACTCTTCCAAGTTCCTCTCCGCTGCTCCCTCCGCAACCCATATCTATCCTCCAACTTTAATGTACTGTAACTAATATGTATGGGCAAGCCTAATGCGTAAATACTTCTTGTAACGAATCTATTTCCACTCGTATATTACCTACAGATGGGGGCTTGTTTTTAAGGGAAAATCCCTACCGAGACCTAGGGGCACGGAGATATTTTCCACTTCATACGTATTATTTAGCTGTAGAAAAGAAGAAGAGGCTTTTAGAATTCGAGCCCACACCACGGACTAAGATATGCCATTCTTATCTCATGGATGTAAAATAAAAGGAATACAAAAAATAACCTAAAGAGTTCATTCATAAAGGGAGAAGAAACGTTTTTTCTTTTCTTTTTTGTCATTTTGCAGGTATCAATTTTGCCTTGATATATGAGAAAAGAAAGGAGAGAGAAAGAAAAGAAAACAGGAGGGAGTCAAAAGCTCAGATCTACGAGCCAATCTTCTCTTTGAGGATGTTCTTGAGGGTAACTGCGTCAGCAGCGAACTTGGAGATACCCTCCCGCAGCTTCTCGACGGCCATTTGGTCCTCGTTGAAGTCGAAGCGGAAGAGCGCCTCGTCGTTCAGGTATTCGCGCTTGGGGATATCGAGGGTAGCAGCGGTGGCGGAGTCCAGCTTCTTGGGGACGGCAGCGGTGGAGTTGTAGAGTTCTTCGAGGAGGTTGGGCTGCGTTGGGGAAATGTGTTAGTTTAGGCCCAACTTACTCCTAAGGGGAAAAAAGGGGGGTGGGGGGGGTGGGGGGATATATATAAAACGTACCGAGATGGTCAGGTAGTCGCATCCGGCCAATTCAGTGATTTCGCCGATATTCCGGAAGGAGGCGCCCATGACAATGGTCTTGTAGCCGTGCTTCTTGTAGTAGTTGAAGATGCTCTGCACGCTCTTAACGCCAGGGTCTTCCTCGGGGGTGAAGTCCTTCTTCATGGCTGCTTTGAACCAGTCGAGGATGCGGCCGACGAAGGGGGAGATGAGATATGCGCCAGCTTCAGCTGCAGCAATGGCCTGGACAAGCGAGAACATTAATGTCAGGTTGCAGTTGATGCCGTGCTGTGACTGAAGAATGTGAGCAGCCTGGATGCCCTCCCATGTCGAAGCGATTTTGATCAACACGCGCTCCTTAGGGATGCCAACGGATTTGTAAAGCTATTGCAAAAGGGCGGTTGAGTTAGTTTTTTTCTTTCTTTCTCTTTTTCTCCTCTTTCGCGATCTAGCTTCTTACAACAACGGATTGGCATCGAAACATACCTCGATGATGTTAAGAGCCTTATTGACGGAGGCTTTGGTATCGAAGGAGAAGCGGGCATCGACTTCAGTTGAAACTTTGCCGGGGATGATCTGCAGGATCTCTTTGCCAAACTCGACCAAAAGACGGTCGAGAGTAGCATCGACCTTCTCATCGAGTGTCTTGCCCTATAGTTTTGTTTTTGCCACCCAGGTCAGCTTTGGAGAAGCTCCAGATATATATATATATATATACATGCAGAGAAACCACAACATCAGAACTAGGTCTATTATATCTATTATATGATGGTTGCGCACATTTTCCTTTCCGTAGGCAACTGCGGAGTCGATCAACTTGGCATATTCTGGTTTCTTCGAAGCGGCGAGGATCAATGAAGGGTTGGTGGTGGCATCTTGCGGCTTATATTTACCGATGGCTGTTGCGAATTTGTCAGAGAACAGTCCGTATAGTGCAAATGTAGAAGACGTAAACGAGACATAGAACGGTAAGACATACTTGCAAAGTCCCCTAAAAAATTCAAAGGGTTCTATGTTAGCTAGAAATTCCATAGCTTTAAGAGCTAGGGGGTTTGCCGGGAATTGATATTCGAGCGAGGGATGGCATACCAGAATCGCAGACCACGGTCTAACACGGGCAATGTGTCGAAGACAGAGTCAGTTCCTAAGTTCTTCTCATTCTCTCATCCATTCCTCCTATGAGACAAAACTGGAGCGGCAAGGGGTCACTTACAGTGCCAGTGGCTTTTAATTGATCGAGAGCGGACGACATGACGGATAAAGGATTGTGCGCAGTAACTTAGTGTAGTAGTAGAATCTACGAAAGCGGCGAGGGTGCGCAGTTGAGAGGATATTCTAGCTGATCTTCAAAGCCAGTTAAAAGAAGCAAGAAAGAGTAGATTGTACGTTGTGAGATTGTTGTATATGAGGGAGCAAAGAAGAGAAGAAAGATAATAAATACAATGGATGGACTGGAAAATGGTGGGGCAAGAATAATGGAAGGGGGGGGGGTACCTGCGACCTGTGGCTGCTGCGGTGCTTGGCGGGGAGAATAGGTATCAGATACACGACTGCTCAGACGCCACTGAAAAACTAAAACCTGCCTCAGCGTTGACTAATCAACTGGCATAATAATAATACATACATATTAATATTCTGCAATTGATACTCGTATATGTACATGTTAACAGGGAGTTTCTCTTCGATCTCTTGTGTATCATCAATCATGCCCACCTCACCTACAATGCCAGTGGCAAAGCTCGGGTCCATCTAGATACTGATTTCGCGCTTTTGGGCGCTATCCCGGGCTACTGTGCTCCGACCAGGACGGTACGGGACTGTGTGGCTTCAATGTTCACATTAAGAGAACTCAAAAACAAAATAAAAAGGCAAAAATAGAAGGGCAGTCTTCAGCCCTGAGTAACTTCAGTCAACGAGAGCTTATATACAATGACAAATCATGACCGGCACTGCATCCAAGACGCTGCTGCTTCTGCACCATCTTCAGCAGAATATATAGTTTTTGTTAACTAGTCACAGGTGGTGTTCTTCCAGCAAGAATTTTTCCCTTTGGCCCCGGTTTTGTTACATCATTGCACAGGAAGAAAAATGGATCCCCGTTGCATTAAACTCAGATCTTGATGTAGCGGTACAGATAGTACCAAAGCACTAAAGCAAGCCGGCTTTGAGAGCAAGTGGTGAACAAAACACCGCTCGGCGCTCGTCATTTTCTGCACTGCACTGCACAGATACGGTGGAGCGCGGTGGAGCGCGGCGGAGCGCAGGAAGGACAACAACCCGGCTGTTGTTTAGCATATTGCTTCCGGCAACCGGAGCTGTATATAGATATGTACAGTACCGTACAGTATATTCATCCATTCGTGGCCTGCCAACGAGGTTTCTTTTTTATCTACAAAATATTTTTTACCCGACGCGCAACAGCTCGAGAGAGGAAGAAAAGCCAAAAAGCAGAATGATAAAAAGAAAAGTAACGCAAAAGACGGAGAAATCGGGCATACATACATAGCATGGCGTGTCGTGGCATACATAATATAGCATCGCATCTTTGGTCGAACCGTTATATACATATAAGAAAAAAAGCGTTCCCGTCATGAAATCATAATCCTGCTCGATCCACATGTCAGGGGCGGGTAGGTAGGTCCATCTAGTGGATCTTGGACCAAAGCGATCTAGATATAAATATCCATATTTAATGGCGCTGCACACAGTCCCATTCATACTATTTGAAGGGAGCAAGAAAAAATGACAAATTAATAAATTGCACCCCGAGCCAAATACATAGAACAACGGAACCAAGAAAGCGGTGGAATGGGGAAAGACAAAGGGGGAACTTACAACTCGTCCAGCCTCGTCACCGGTATAAACAGACTGCGCCAACGGTAAAATACAGCTAATACCCGCAGAAGCATTTCTGGCCCCGTCTCCGCGGGTGTTGTCCACATGGTGTAACTGGCGGATTAGATCGAGTTCGAATCGGCCATTCCGGATTGTTTTACTCCAGATCTATCAGGGTGGTTAGCCTTTTACGGATACCACACACAAAAAGTTTTTTTAGAAAGAAAGAAAGAAAACTTACATTAACGACTCCGCGCTTGTGACCTGTAAATAATAGCTCCCGTGCTAGCCATTCGTTACTGACCCCTTCGTAGAAAGCACAGGACAATATGCAATCATCAGCCTGTTCGCACACCGCTTGATCAAGAAGCAATGCTCCGTTTAGTGTATAGAGGCTGATACGATTTCCATGGCAGACGAGTATATTCCCGGTGGCATCGTTGATGCGTGCACACTATTTCGCGTCCGCGTGATCGGATTAATAAAAAATAACTCAAAAAAAAAAAAAAAAAACTCGAAAAAAAAGGGATGTGTAGATTTGGCTATATACAGAAAACTTACATCGACAGGTCCTTGATTCGGTAACGATCGGACAAATTCTAGGCGATTTAGATCCCATAGCATTATTTTTCCATCCTTGGAGGCGGACAGGACTGTGCTGAAGGATCTTGAAACCGCAAGAGTCGTGACCAACGACCGGTGTCCAAATAGTGTAGCTTTCGGATGAAGATCTGCCGACTTGGATGTCGATGTAAACGACCACACCGAGACTGTACAATCCGTCCCGGAGGTGATTAGGGTCTGAGAATCTGCAAATAAGGCACCAGACAGTTGACCTATATGGAGGTGCTCGAAATGGCCGATCAACTTGAAACAAATAGCCAAATTAGCCCCCAGCAATGCGCCAACGGGACAACATTCCCAAATACGTATACATACCTTCCTACTATCAGCGGCATAGAATCTAACACTGCCATCAGAGAAACCCCACTCAATGTACTTGTCATAATTCGGCGGAATATTGAGTCTGAACGCGGCCGAACAGAGTAGTCGATCTTGTTTCCATGAGAATAATAGCGATGATACTCGTTCTTGGCTATCTAAAAAATTTGTTAGTCGCATTGTAACATTGTTTTAGACGCTTCATCGGCTTACCGAGCAATGTCATAGGTAAGCGAGTTAGGGACTCTGCCGCCGTATCCAACCGTTTCTGCTTCTGGGCTACCTCTTCTCTCTGTGGGTGGGGTTTTTGGAATGCCTGGTGTGGAGTCTGTCCAAAATTATGGATAATGCCTATCGTAGCTAAGCGCTCGACGGGATCGTCGATGGTGTCCAGATCTTTAGCACCTTGATAGG